TGTCACTGAAGTTATTAGTATTTACTATTAAGTAGGTCCCTACTTCTTTGAGTTGTTTGAAACTAGTATTGATTAAAGTTGTCCAAAAGTTTTTGTTACTAGAAGGTAGTAGCACACACTAAGCTTGCTATATGAGGCATCAAATTCAATCTGTTCCTCGGTAAGTTGTGTTGTTTTTTTATTGGATGAGAAGATTGCTATGTATTGTTTACTGTCCTGGTTAGATACAGATGATTCAAAAATCCATGACAGCTGTCACGTAACGAACATTTCTGGAAGAACCAGCAAGAACCAGCACACATTATTTCCAAAGGCATTGTTGAGATAATTGCAGCTTAGACCTGGGTCAGATGGAGGATTACCCCGGGCAGTAGAGGCCCTTTCTGAGGGAATGCTCCAGTTAGCTGGTTTATGCTGGTGTTGTTTGTGTTGCCTTTGTTCCAAACAAAAACACGCGGGCACCATGCAGTCAGGTGTGTGAACTTCAACTTCAGGTGTCTGGATGAAATTCTGGTGTATCCTAGGAAGAAATATACTTGTTCATACCTGTGGCACTGAGTCACATGTAGAAAATTACTAGAAAAAAATAATTCACGACTAGAGAAGTACGGGGGATTTATTTCATAGAATTCAATATTATAGAAACTGTTTGAAGTTGTATTCTGCTTTTATACAATATAATTTTTCTCTTCAATGGACATAAGATTTTCTCCATCCTACATCCAGGATGATGACTGCATTATTCTCAGTTACAGTAAGAGGTGTGATGATTGGGAGGTGAAGACGGAAGTAGAGGAGGTGGAACAAAAGGAGGGTGGTGCTGTGTTATTTTAGTAAAACCCACCAGACTGGCTGCTTGTTTTTATACCAAACTAGTGCAAGATGCAGGGGGTCATACAGCGGTTTCAGTGAAAAATCTGTGTCACACAGGTGCTAATTTTCAAGACAGTTTTAGATAAATATCTTTGGGCTAAAGGTAAAGTCTTTTTCTACAAGATCCGTTAAGAATGCAGTCTGATACGTTGGTAGGCTTATACTGGTGTGGTGGCTTACGTCGGTGGACACACGACTGGTTTTTCGGAGGATATTAATGTCAATCTATAGTCATTAATGAGTAGTTGTTCCAGGCTGTTTTTATCTTTGTTTCCTGGTTACTAATCTCAAGAAGGAAGAAGTGGAATTAATCCTTACATCTTAAATCCAGTTATTAGAGAAGTATTAAAACCTGCCAGCTTGGCTGCTAGATGCCAAATTTGTCCATCGTAGTGTGTGTGTTGCAGTGATTATTAACAGTAAGCAGGACTAACCATGGACCAATGTCAGTAAATGTTATGAATATTGTCATGCTTTAAAGAAATATTAATAATATTTGATGGGGTCAATTCTTGACAGAAAAAATAAGCAAGGGGGATCGCAGTCTAGCCTAGTCTGTTCACGGTTAGTGGTGATCACGGCTGTCCAGACGTTGTATGTTCAGTACTGTATAAAAACGTAATACGGTGTTCCAGGTGAAGTGGACGATCTGTCCATTACTTCCTGTGATAGCCTTTGGGACCCCTCCAACCATGGCCGCTGCTTTTTCTGACTCTTTGTCCCCAGGAACCCCGCAGAGATCAGCCCCAACACCTTAAAAGCCACTGAAAAGAAAAATAAGGATTTCCAAAGGTATAAGGTGTCTTATGTGCAGGTTTTGTCAACTTTCTTGGGAAGATAGTACAAAATTATCCTGTATGAACAGATATAACATAGGTTATATTAGGCAGGTCTCTTGTTGATTGTGCAGCAGGTTGACAGATTTAATTCACGTGCCACAGACCATGACCTCTGTTGTACACTGTCTAAATATTTCCATTTCTCCATTAGCGACATTTCATGAAAACTGTTCCTAGACCCCAGCTCGATGGGGGGTTAAGGTACATGGTTCATGCTCCTTGCTTTGTTTATGCCTTTTCTTTGCATTTGACCCGCATCAAGTTGCCTAATTAACAATCGGTCCCCATTATGCGCCTGTGCTAATATTTATCCTTTGCCTTTCCCTGCTGTTTACCAAGCTCGACCCAATCTCACTTAGCGAGTCAACCCTGCTTTCAGATGTGTTGGATTTAATTAAGGTTCAGAGATGATTGGAGGCTGTCCCGAGGATGCATTACTTTCCAAACGTGACAGTACAAGGGGCTGGGTTCTTAAACCTCACCCTTGCTTTCTCTGCCCCTGGCCTGTTTGTATAGCCATAGAAACTTCTCATTGTCCTGCTACCTTGCATGAAATACAAGTTTACAGCAATAAGGGCAGTGTTGGCACAGTCTGCTGAAATTTCATCCCCAGAAACAAACTGGCAAGGATTGAGGTGGCAAGAGCACAAAAGGCCGCCTTGTGGCCGTAACAAGATTTTGTGGTCTTTTCAATGCCCCAGGTAGTGTTTCAAACTCAGAAGGCTGGCGGAGCATTTGTGCCATGTGTCTGAAAAATGTTAGGCCTTACAAACGTACAATGGGGAAGATAACTGTTTAGATTGTGCAGCAGCTAGTTGTGATTTGTAGCCTGGCTTTGTAAATTTAAGCCAGACTTTGTAAATTGTAGCAACAAATCAGACAGGAGTTAGCTACAGGTTTGGTATGTTCCTCCAGGCAAGGGTTAACCCGTTGTCTTATTTCAAGGCTGTGAGGTACTAAAATGCCTTATTTGATGAAGGACTGCTGATAACTGACATCTAGTTTTACATGCGAGTCAGTAGGGATAGGTCCGATATACATAAAGAAACATGGCCATAGAAATATTTCTATTCAAGTCAAGCGAACTGTTCAGGCATTACTGTCTGTTGTTTCGAACACCTGCATTGAAAAGTGGACAAAGTGGAATCGCGTAGTTCAATACCTTGGCCACAAACACCTTTCCATTGTCCCCAGGTAGCTACAACATACCTGTCGTCACCTACAGAGTGGGTACCACACACCTGTGGCTAGCAGGTACTGCACAACCTGGGGTACATTTCCCGGGGGGGGGGGGGTTCATGCCTGCTTTTGTTTCCAAGGTTTTGTGGGATAATTAGGTATCCAGTGTGTTAACAACCTGAGAACACTTACATTTAAACTTGACCTAGATAAGTCATCATTACAGGTAATTAATTTGTTTGTATAGCCGTAAATGGCAGGTGTAATCATGCTGGTAAAACAAATGTTGAAAAGAGTCACAAGGTCCTATGGTCATGTGTTCTGCCCCAAAACCTCATGGTTCTTATCAAATCTGTTTGTTAACTGACAAATCATCAAAGTCAGTTACGAAATATCTCCCTGTTCTATGGTCCATATCTTGTAGAGGAAGATCTTGGCAGTTGTACACTGGACATGGTCAACATGACCAGGCGTGTGTATACACAGGTGTGGACAGATGCAGCAAGCATGTCACCTGCCTCATAGCATTGGTCATATCTTAATTGTAACCCACCACATAGCTAGCTGATTGTGGCTTTGTGGAATCTGGGATGTTTAGAAGTGTTCCCTCATGTGGAAGGTAAAAATCCTGATTTATTGTTTGGGGGATGCTTTGAAGTTTTACTGCTGTTTCCCAAACGGTCATAGGTCAAACAGTTTAGAGATGCCACTATCAACTTCAGAGGGATTTGTAGTTCACTGGGTTGATCTGCTTAATCATATTTCTTCTTTAGAAATCCTGTCATGTCCTTAATACTTCTGTAATGGAGAAGTGTGTAGCTTTGTTTGAGTAGGGTATAAACACAGACACAACTTACACTGGCCCTATAGTATAGTCAAGACATGCCCAACATACTATTGACTCAATAAAATGTCATCAAATTAAGTTGCAAAATGTCTTCATATTCTACACAAAATATCTTCTAAATGTGGAGATACCTGCACCAGGTAATTTAAGAACTGTTCGCTTGACCAAAATGTCACCAAGAAGTCTTATGGGGTGTTAAGTTAGGTGGTTTTGTCTGTTTCATGTTTTGCCTTGAAAAGAACGAGAACAGATAAGATAATAAAAAAGTACACGAGACAGAAATAACTTTGAGATAACTTTTGTTTCTAAGTCCCCTCATGCATTTACATGTAACATTTGAGTTGAGGAAGTATCCCTCTTTTGGACCACGATAATCAGAATCAGTGTTATGATTTGAAACAACAAGTTATGTGGCAAAAGGCATGGATAAATGTAAGACTTTCGTCCTGTTGGATAGTTCTCAACATTCCACTTGGATCAGAACCTTAGCAGGGGAATCTCACAGGGACTTCCATAGGAAGTGCAGGCAGTTCACCCTTCCCAGCTGTCCCAGTCAGCCAGGCAACCAACCAATGGGGAGCCAGAAAACCTAAGTCCCAACTTCCTAGGTTACTTCGATAAGGTGGCTGCTGCTGTCCAGTGCTGAGAAACATGTCAGAAGTTGGCATTTCCTGGACACATGCCCCGTTTTAGTGCACACTGCAAATGCAGAAACTTTCACAGGGGTTTAATTTTTGCAGTCACCTCTTGCTGCTAAATCATAATACAGTGAATATGCATTTCAACCTACAAACACGTACTTAAGAATCGTTTTAACCACAAATTTAAAATACCATGAAACCTCTCTTTCCCTCCAACCACAAAATAAAACTACAGTGAAAGTAAATGATTTTACAGTACCACACCATGATGGCATGAAGCAGGCAGCTTATGCCTGTCGTAAATTTCAAGAATTTACTGAATGATTCTTCACTTTTTGATTTTGAATCTGACAAAAAATTGGGGCAAACGACAGCCACAGAACACTAAACATGTTCTTGTAAACTGACAGTTTTCACAGTAGCAAAGGACATAAGCTTTAAAATGTATTTTGGTAGAGGAAGTCAATGTATGGCACATCCCACACAATGGCACCTTTTTATTGTTGACAGAATAGTTTTGCTAATGTCATTTCTGTATATCATATTTAGTATTCATTGCTCAATGTCTTTCATCTTAAATACAAAATTAAATTTTGTTGTGTTTTTCTTGTCTTATTGCAGAACCTCCATCCTGGAAAAACTCCCTACAAAAGGATGTCTTTGTGTCATTAGGACAGAGAACAGAACTTAGATGTAGAGTGGCTGGAGAACCAAGACCTTCAATCACATGGATTCACAATGGAGTTGTTATTGAGGATGAAATGCCAAGATATGACTTGGGAAGATTTCGATTGACTATTAACAATGTCCAATGGGAAGATGAAGGCATCTATACATGTATAGCGAAGAACGTCTTTGGAACAATACAAGGAAATATCACATTACATGTGCATGGTACGTACACCTTCTCAAACAACACCTCTGGTAGATTAGAATTTCTTCTCACTTTCTAACTGTAGCTGAAAGAGTCATTCCTGACTCGTAACTCTGATCTCTTTATTTCACCTGGAATATTTGCACAGTTCCTAAGTTGTATTGAAAAGTAAACCCGTCTCATCATGTTCACATCAGTTCATATGTTGTTGCATACTTAAATCTATATATTGTTTGAAATTATTGTGTTTTATGGTAAAATTGTTTATATTGTGTGTCTCTCATTTAACGAGTGTGCCCTCATGCAGTTCCCATCTCCCTAACCTCTCCTCGCATGCCCCGTCCGTCCTCCATACTGCATGTTGCATGCTCGTGCCTAGCCATTAGTCTGTGTATTTCAGAGAGAGATTCAGAGAGAAAGAGAGAGATCGATTCAGACGATAATTTCTCAGGCGACGGAATCTCGATGGATACCACAGGTGCTGAAGGTTTGGAGGATATGGATGTGAGAGACCTGGACCTGGCCGCCCTGAGGGACGGAGATGATGAGGACTATGCTGCAGATGAGGAGGAGGATGATGAGGAGGAGGATGAAGCAGGGATGATCGATGATGATGGTAACTCACACTCATGCACTCATGCATCTTAAATTAGACTAAGGGTCACATTCGCCATACGATTGTCAGGGGTCGAAATAACCCTCTGTGTGCAACTTGGTGCAAGTAAATTTGGTGTCGTGCAACTAATTTTTTGCCTGCTTGCACCATGGTGCAAGTTTGCTTTATCCACTGTTACTACCTGTAGAATTACCCAATAATATTAATTAATAAAGAACTGGAGTGGAAAGGAACAAAACCAGAATCCATGAAGTTTTTCTTCATTTTTTGTAAGTAACAGAAGGTTACTATCGACGTCGCTGCCAGCGGATGTTTCCCATCACTTCTGTATTTTTGGAGGGTGCAACTATTTTTCTTCCGGTGCAAGTATTTTTCTTTTCATTTGCACCAGTGCAAGTTGGCCCCAAAATCTATTTCGACCCCTGATTGTTGTACGGTTGAAAACTGAGTGCTTTCTTGGGACAGTCTTGAATATGTTGTGTACAAAATTTTGCTGTCTTGTTACGGAAAATCTGGCTTAAATCCTTGTCAGTGGTTGGCTCTGTCAGTCTGCCCGAGAAAGTTCTATGACAGCATAATTGTACAATGGCCCATGACAAATGGGACTGCACCATAACCAAGATTGGTGGAGTATGATATGGAGTATGGTATGGAGTAAAAGATTGATACTGCAGTGATTTCATTTTGTGAAATTTGTTATTCTCAAAGACAATCATGCCAGCTGAAACCCTTTTGAAGAACAGCAGAAATGGAAAAGTTCCGGATTTGGTTGGTTTTGTTACTCTATACTGCAGAAGATGGAGACATGAGAAGAAAGTTGCAGCTTTTCTGTGTTACTAGCAGTTCCCAATGGCAGAACTTGGCAGGCTAGGGTTTCCTGTCCTGTTGGACTTCCTGCTTGCTCCTTGACAAGGAACAGAACCCCTGGTCTACAGTGAAGCTTGCATTTTCTTCACCTACACTTCAAAAGAAGCTATGCAAACGTGGAACAAATCTCATCTGTTTTAAGTGGCACTGTTTTTCCAAGGATCTCAGTAATTGTGACACATTCATACTTCATGGTCTTGTTTGGTTGAAGACACTTGCAGCAATGGTGTAATGATGACAATATACTAATATAGATACTCGTAATTGGTTGTGGTTTAGGCTAAAGTTCTTGGCTGTTCGTGGTATCTTAGAGCAGAAGCCTTGGTCCTAGTGGGCTTGTTAGAGCCATGTGTTGGTGTATTGCTGTGGTTTTAGATCAGTCATTAATTTGAAGCAAATAGCCATATCTTAACATTCTTGGCCACATGCCCCAATTCTCAGCATAAACTATGACAAGCATTCTGCACAGTTTGTGTCTCAGCTGGAAAAAAAAGAATATAGGATCAGTAAAACACTGAGCTAAAAAGTAAAGAAACAACTGTTAAACAAGTGTGTGTCCCCTTTGAGACAATTTGACCAGTCTGGGAGTGCAAATGTTGCATGTTTTGGTGTGACATTCCAACAACAGCTTTCTTCCAAATGTCATGAACTTTTCCCTGGATTACGAAAAGGTTGAAAGGCACAAATTCTCTGTTGTCTATTGGTGACATGGTGTAGAACTAATGGGACTTCCTCACGTTTTTTTCGAATCCTCTTACTCCATGTATAGAGCACAACCATACTCCGTGTTATCTCCCAGGTACAACACAGTTTTCTTAAGTCCCAAATCCACCTTTATTATTCTTTACCAATACACAAAAGTTGGCTTTGCGGCAGTGCGGAACTGGCCTACTGTACGTGTGCAGCTTGCGAAGACTGCACTCTGTCAGACCTCATTCATCACAACCAATAAATGGACAATGCTGTGAATAGGTCCCTCAATAAGCGCTTGTGGGCACAGTAAAGCCAGTTGCCCTTGTCCATCAAGATTTCCCCCCCACGATCCCCACTATTCTTCTTCCCAGCAAAAAACAGCTTTGGGCGAAATGACACTTCAAGACTGAAAACTTCAAGTCTCTGGTTTTCAGTCAAGAGCTTCTATTGTAATAAATTAGCTGCATGTACGGGTTGGTAATGTGCCCGCAGGTATTACCTTTGACTTAGACATATTAAAAAAGAACCATGAGGAACAGATACACATGTAGAAGAACTCTATGAAAGGAAAAAAATGAATTTCTTTCATTAAAAATTTAAAGGGAAGAAGTCTATAATAAGAGGTTTTTGTTGTTCCTCCAGCTCCCCATCCACCAGTGTGGCAGAAGCCAGAAGATAACCAGAAGATCATCGCAGCTCCCGCTGGGAACACGGTCAAGATGCGCTGCCCAGCGACAGGCAGACCTCGCCCCACCATCAGGTGGCTCAAGGACAAACAGGAGTTCCGAGAGTCAGACAGAATGGAGGGCTACAAGGTGGGACAGTGTTACTTGTTGACATGGCATGTTATACGAGTATATGGAGATGGTAGAAAAAGAGAATGGTGGCAATGGCAACATACACATTTCCTAGTCGCAATTTAAGTCCAAGGTTGAGGACTGGGTTGGTCTGACACATTCGTTCTTTCTTCCAGATCCGGAACAAGCACTGGAGCCTTGTGATGACTGGTATTGTCCCCTCAGACGAAGGCTTCTACACGTGCATCATCCAGAACGCCTATGGCAGCATCAACCACACCTACGAGTTGGATGTCATAGGTACATGCTTCAGGACATAAGTCATGCAACAAAACTCTGCAATACTTCCCCTTGTTTAGTCTAGAAAATAGGGAAAACTTGTCATAAGCCAGTAACCAGTCAGGAAGTCCAAGGTCTAGGTTAGCTGCTGTGCATGTGGTTTGGATTAATTCACTTATATCTCATAAGGGGTGGGGGTTTGATGCGAAGGTATCCTTTTTAGATGAGTGACGCACAGGTGTCGGGTGTAGGTTGAGATCCCAGCGTAGGTGTGTATACGTAGTAGGTGTAAAGCCAAAAGCCTGCTGGTCCTATGCTCTTAATGATTTAGTAGCAGGAGAGATGGACTTGGGCCAACAGAAATTAAATAGGAGCTGAGTCAGAACTTGAAAGTCATTGGTCCTCCAGACAAGTTGTCATCTTGAGATGCTCTTTGTCTGTGATCTGATTTCTGAGACACACAGAAGGACACTAGTGATCAGGACCAGATGATGGGGTCAAGAACGAAGTTATTCCATACAACAAGTCACAGTAAGGAGAGACAAGACAGTCTTTTAGTAAGGAAAAAGGGTGGTGAGTAAAATGCCTTCTTGTATTATCTCTGCCTCCTAGTTACAAAAAGGAAGAATGGATAAGAGACTTGCTGTAAAATAACCTGTTTCTCCTGCAATTCAAAATTAACCAAATAGTCCTAAGATTCAAATCTTCTTATAAGAAAAATGAAGCCATGACGTGAATTTTGTCCATGTAATGGAAATATAAATCTTCTGGTCTCATTCCATGTGTAAGCTGGTTGGTTGTCTTTTTCCTGGGATGCTTGACCTTTTTGACCTTCAACAGGAAGGAACAGGAAGCAAGATGTGAAATGGAACCTTCCCTGTAGAATTTGGTTGCTGTCACTCAACTGGCGGTAGTCATTTATACCTAGCCTAAATTTCTGGTTTACTTCTGGGAAGGTTTGTTGAAAGCAGTCTTAAGCCGTTATTTATTAGAAATACAGGCCGAGGAGAAGCCCTTACCAGATGCATCACAGTGTATAGAGTAGTGTGTCACCAGGTGAAACCTTGCAGTCAGGAAGGATGTTGTTAAAGAGGTTGAGTTGTAGTTCATGGTATGACTTTGATGCCCTTGTTCTCCTATCTGTAAGTCCAGCCCAAATGTCACATGATACCGGATGCACAGGGTCAGGGCATCTGAAAAGTTCTGTGACTCCTGGAGGGCCAGAGGGGAGGGGAGCCGGATGTCACCTCCTTTCAGACACAAACACAAAAGAAACAGCCAAATCCCTTAATTGGATTGTATTTGTAGAAACTCTGGGACTGGTTTTTAGCAGGACAAGAGCTGGCGGAACAAGTGGAAAGCAACTGCCACCTTAAAGAGCAGCTTACTTCTCAGCTTAGGCTGCCATCATGGTCTAATACCTCCTTCTCGTTCATGGCTTTGCCATCCAGTAATGGCCAGCACTGCAAAGACCTCTGGAAATGGGTGTGGCATTTGATAGGTACTTCTTTGCCCTGAAGGGAACTACTGTTGTGTATGATTAAGTTAACCTTATGTTCTCTTCTGCCACATGGATTTGGTTGCTGGTGGACTCCTATATCCCCAGGCTGTTTTTTTTTAAGAGTTAATCCTTTTCCTATCAAGTGATTCGTGACAGTGACTGTATCAGACACTATACTCGCAATGATGTACCCATGTCAGACATGTGAGAGGATGTATCATACTCAGTTGGAATGTAGTTTCCAACCATTTTTCATGTAGCATCATGTGGCAGTTTGAAGAATTTGCTGCAAGGTCGGGAAGGAAGGAAGGAAACCTTAAGAGGTTCAGGGGCTCTGTAATAAGGCTTGACCCTCTATGTTTACCTCGGCCTGGATATGTTGCCTATAAATTCCTCCTTTATCTACCATTATCTTCCTAGACATAGATGAGACAGTCTAGGTGCTATGTTATACACTTTTTTATTAATGTCTTCCTGTGTCCTACTTTCGCGATGAGCGGATTATGTTCTGACCAATTACTGGATGTCAGCTGTGTTGTCATGATTTACCGGAGGTTTACGTCCTCAGAAGATCAGAGGCAAATTTGTGGGTCTTAGTTGACACTGGGGGGAATGTGTGCCACCGAAGGCTTTAAGACTGGTACAGTGTATCAAGTAAGATTAAGGAAAAATCCTAGTGCGTCAAGTTGACCCTATGAGTCCAAATTAGCAATTCTCTGCATTTAGATGCTCCAAGAGAAAGCAAACTGAGTAATTATTGAATAGAAATTGATGTTTTGTGAAATACTCAATCTTTGCTTTTTAATGGCCTGAAAAGAATGCAATTTTTGTTAAATACCTTTTTCATAATGAGAGAGGGATAACTGTTGGGGAAACAAGGTCAGAAACATAAACAAGAAGTTAGCGTGACTTGCAGTGCCTCTGGAGTCTAAACGACAATCCCTCACCCCCCACATTGAAGCCTTGTAGTATCAGCTCAAATGTCCTGGTTTACATTCTTGGTCACTCTACAGGAAGGAGAAAGATTCTCCTTATCAAATCCTAATGTTTAGGTTTGGTCCTCTTCTTGCAAATAGTGAGGCTTCGCTTTTCAAACTGTGATGTCAGATTTACTTCAAAGGTCTTGTAATCCTGTCATATGAATTATAACAATAAAGTTGAGTTTGATTTGTGATATTCTGCATTTGCAATGGTATACTATTTACAAGAGTATACCTTATCAGCAACATAAAATGGCATGGAACTTGCAACACAGGTTGACATGAGAGGAAGCACCTCATTGATAAGATTGCAGAGCACAAAATAGCTTCCGCTCCGGAAGGTCAGCCCCTCAGAAGGCCGATAGGGAGTGAAATTAAGGAAATATGAAGAGCAATGGTTAATGTTTATTTTCTCTTTATCATGGCAGAGCGATCCCCAAGCCGACCCATCCTGGCACCTGGGCTGCCCCAGAACCAGACAGTGGTGGTGGGGAGTACAGTGGACTTCCAGTGTAAGGTCTTCAGTGATGCTCAGCCTCACATTCAGTGGCTGAAGCACTATGAAGTGAATGGGAGCTACGTGGATGCTAATGGCAAACCCCACGTCAGAGTACTGAAGGTATGTCCCCACACATGTAACAAATGGACACTCTAAACACACAGGTCATTAAGGAAACACACAGTATTTAATCATGAATGCTGTGCAGTGCAGTTATAAAACATGAAGTACATTATTTCAGTGAAGTGATGTGTCAACTAACTAACCCCAGTGAAAAAGAAAAAAAAAAAACTCACATTTTGATTAAAGAAAAGCTTCGGTGACGGGTTTGCAGTTTTGTGTGGTGAATTGGAAAAAAAAAGTAAGTTTGCCGTGGGTTGTCTTTGCTTGGTGGTGGAAAAGCAACGAAATTGCTTGGCAACCGTTGATATTTGTTTTAAAAGAAACACCTCTGTGTCGTCATGTTCTTCCAGAGCTCCAGCATGGACTTTTCAGATACGGATACCATTCCTATCGATGATGTGAGTGGAACGGTGAAGGATTAAAACTTTCCCCTTGGAATTTTGTGGTGACAACGCATTGACAACCTCAGCTCAAAACCAGTACTGAGGCAAAGTGTACAAAATTTCCATGCCCAAACCCCGTCTTTTCAATGGAATACATTCCACAATTCTGTTTGAAGTTGCCTGAGTACAAAAAGAGCTGAGAGTTATGAAATGCTACAGGCTGGAAACCTAAGGTGGTGGTGGGTCAAGCCGTCTTGTTAAGCAAGTATGTTTAATGCTGAATGTGTTATACTTGTCCAGACTTCTGGGATAGGTAAGACAGATGCGGCAGAAAAGCTGATAATAAGGGACGTGGAGGAATCGGATGCGGGGAAATACACTTGCCGCGCTGAGAGTTACCTAGGGAGCGTCAATCAGAGTGCTTGGTTATTTGTTTTCAAAGGTAAAAGTTTGTAACTGGGAGAGGGTAGAGTAAGAGATACAGGCCAAGCATGAGGCCATGCTGCAGAAGTTGTTAAAGATCTTGAAAGAAAAACGAAAATAAAAAGTCTGCCCTTCCATTTTCGATGATAAAATTTGTATTTGGCAGCGTGGCCTCCTGCGAGCCCCCAGCAGACACAAAACGAACACACCACACCGCACGCACCAAAACTGTCAAACTAAACGGTGGTGTTTTAATTTCCCCTCCATCCAGACAGCGGATGTGAATAACACAAAGCAAGACCTGGAGAAGCTGGTCCTAAGGAATGTTACTGAGGAGGATGCGGGACAGTATACTTGCTTGGCGGGGAACTCTATAGGCTTTTCCTATAACTCTGCTTGGCTGACTATTATACCAGGTTCGTAGGCAGCACATTTGGAGTAAGCACTAGATCCGTTAGCCACAGATTCTAACTAGGGAGGTTAGAAGGAGGAATGGGTGTATTTTTTATTTCGTTGCATGAGATGGATGACTGATCTCTTCACACTCTCTACTTCCTCACATTTCTACTGCATCATACTAACACTGCGGTGAAGCTAGTTCTCACATAGATGATTTACTTACCTTCTTCATACACTAACCCAACAAGACATTATTACCCAACAGCTTTCAACCAATCACCATCCAACCATTCATTCATTTATTCATCCATTCATATCATTTTCAAGCTGTATTATGTTTGTCACTTGTCCAGAATGCCATCTTTATTTCTACCCCTTGTAATTACAATACTACATGCATTCATTGCTTACCAACCATCACTAATGAAGTAAACAATTACTGCTATGTTTATACCATGATTTTCTGTAGTTTTCATCCGCTTGAACTTTGGCTAAGCTTTCATGCTACTGCTGTATGAAAGAATGGCATAACATCTAGTGTATTTCTTAGTTTGATCCAACGTCAAGAAATTTGTAAGTCAAAGTTAAATGTTGTCAGCATATAATTTTAAAGTCGATTGTTGTCATTAGTACATTTGAAAGCTATTAATGCACAACTTTGGGTTGTGTCATCTTATGTCTATGTCCTTGTATCTAAATGCACATGTATACATAGTGCAACATATCATGAACTAGTCTACTGTACTTTTATGTAAGTTTGTGGCATCTGCCATTGGATTTTTTATGTCCATCCAAGACTTGTTAAGTTGAATTCTGATAGCCAAAACCCTGGTAAGCTACAACCCAGCCTGTTCCTTGCTGCAGAGTATCCCACGCCTCCGACAGAGGATACCAGAAAGCCTGTCAAACCTGAGAAATACGACATCGCGGCAGAGATCGCCGTCTACTCCGTGGGCGGTGTCTTCCTCCTCACCATCTTTGCCTTCGTGGCCATCTACTACTTCCGCTTCAAGAGGAAGCAGGTGCCAAAGAGCAATGAACCCCCGCTCTGTCAGCTGAAGAAACCTCTACACTTAAAACGACAGGTGAGAATATAGTCCTTAGTATCAAGTCTATACAGGAGGCCAACTAGTTACCAACTGTGGCAGATTAGCCTGCTCTTTGGCTTGTCAGTTGCCAGTCTCTATTTGCACACATAGATCTACCTGCAAGACAGTCTAAATATGAGTGCAATGGGAAAGAAGTTGGGGAAGGGTTAATAGGAGTGGCTGACTGCAGGTAGCGATGGGTTACCTGTGCAGATGGCAAGTTTAAAAGTTCTTACTGTCTTGTTCTTTTCTGCGGCGTGGATTCCCCAGCAAAGGAAGACTGTTTCAAAGAGGCCTAGATTCATTAGGAATAACCTAGACTTAAAACGACAGGTAACAACCTTATTGTTGTATCCCAGATTGTCTTGAATTCTGTCCTGTGGTTGTCATTGTGTCTACTTCATTACCATGCACCAAGTTGGAAGTGTACACGTATAGGTTAAAACCAACTCAACCATGGAATTTCAGAGAAAGATTACAAAACTTTATACTTCAAATACTTTTCTACAGCAATGAAGATTGGTGAGCTTGTCTTAGGTTGTAGTAAGCATGTTCTGTTGGTACCAATGTGACCATTGCTGTGCTGCACCTACTGCCTTCTTACATGTAAATGTTGTTGTGCTTTTTGTAAAATGGTGTCTTTCTTTGTTAGCTTCCTCTCGAACTCCTGAAGGTCAGTCTTTTCTGTCTCTTGTTCTGTCTGTCATTTGTCTCGGTAATCATTTTGTAACCCTCATCTCTGTCAGTCTGTTTTTTACCTTTCTTTCATGTACTTAAGATTTTTCTTCAGTGATTGTAGTCCAAGAAAACCTGCAGGTAAAATCTCTCCGGTTTTGAACAAGCTGATGATTGACTCTGTACTTGCAGGTATCACTAGAGTCGTCTTCATCGATCAACTCAAACGCGCCGCTGGTGAGATTACGGAGTACCAGACTCTCGTCATCACTGGGGGGCGTCACAGAGTATGAGCTGCCCCTCGATCCAGACTGGGAGTTTCCAAGAGACAGGTGAGCTGCTCAGGATTCATACTTTAAAGATGAAGTAGTCCATCAAAGGTGAAGGTGTCACAGTCTTTTCCCATGTGGATTGCTGAAAGGCTAGGCAGAGGAGTATGTGCAAATAGTTCTGATCTCATGGCAGTATCATATTCTTTTGTCCTACTATATTGAATATTGTATCCTGTATTGATAGCAAAGCAAGTAAGACACCAGTTACGTGGACTTTCCTCAAGCCCTCTTTGTGTTTCATCCAGATGATGTAACTCATTCCTAAATTGTCCTTATTAAAGACGTACAAATGCCAAGGATATGACAACATCATGCCTGGTTACTTCCCAAAGCTGCCCAAAGTACTTATAAGATGAAGAATTAAGTCCTGTCATTAGGAAAGATAAAGGATGTAACAAAATCCTTCAGGTTTACTACTAGAAGAACATTCTGAGAACAATAGTTGAAGTGTTTTATACTTCATACTTTAAGCCAGGATAAAAACTCCTGAAATGAGCCGTGCAAGAATCTCGTGTTAATTGGGTACCTTGTCCGAGGAATAGAAGAAATAAGAAATACAATGACATGGCTGTCTTCTTATGTTGGAAATTGTTGCATTACTTATAATGCATGAACCCCAACAATGAAGGATTGAAGTTTCCCTCTCGGTATGGTGGATGGGTAAAATGTCCGACTGAGCAGACACAAAAGTATTGTGCAGAGGTCACACATTCACATTGTGAAGCAAATTAGTGACAGTCGGGTGGTAACAATGATTGTGTTGTTTTGTCAGTTCAGTTCAAACCGCCCCGTAATTGTGCTCAGATTGTGGAAGTTTGCATGCATACCTGGGCTGACCTTGTGTTCCTGAGGGTATCTTTGTCCGACCTTAACATGACCTAGACAGGTGGAAGATGACACCACACAAAGGCTCAACTATGGAGCATAATTACCTTAATAATGACAATTGCATGTTTACCTGCCAGCAAGATTCCTTCCCAGGACGAAAGTCAAAAGACTAGCGACAAATGACGCTTTGTGCATGGAGCGCATTAAATGTACTGAATATAAGTTGTTTGACAAAGAGACAAATTGAAGTCATTGATCTCAGTAATGCAAGAAACACAAAATGTTTTCTTTTGTTAAGTTTGTTGTAGAGATTGATCTAATCTGTAGTATTCTGCTCTGTAAGTAAGTGCAAGGTTGGTAGCACTGCACTAGTGTCACCCCTGAGACAATCTATGTGTCACAACGATGTGAACCCGTCATAAGCCATCAGCAGCGGAGTATTTCTGCTCGCTCAATTAAGTCAACTAGACCAGGTGAAACAAAACATCTCGTGAAAGATCCTGATTGTTCTGTGCCATGTGAAAGTGTGTACGTCCGTCCTTGTCTGCCAGCTCCACCAATTGTCACATTATGACGCTTGACCTGAGCCAGTATGGGTCGCCTCTGGAATTTTCCTCCAAGCAAAAACAATACAACAGACGGTCTTAAACACTTCAGTAGTAAAAGCTTCAGGAAAATATACCGTCAGCTATGCTGGAGTCATTATGACACATCTGGGCACGTTGAATGCCTCGTTAATGAGGTGATTAGAAGGAACAGGGTACAATCAGTTGGTTGTAAGTCTTAGGGAGGGAGAGACAAGCTATCCTTAGTGCAGCACACCCCTGCCCCAGTATTGTTCCCATCTGAGAATGTAAATGAGAGTGTGGCTTAAGAGTGAACAAGAAACAGATTTAAGACTCGGCTAAATAGTGTATTAAAGGTGTAAGATGAAGACAAGTCTACAATAGGAATTAAGGTGCTTAACACTTCCTAACATTTACAGAAAAAGTTAGTCTCTTTAGGGCCAAAATTACAACAAGTATCCATAAAAGCAACATGTTTGAAGTGTATAGATATTTGCCTGCATTTGAAGTAACTGTCCACAATTTGCCTTGCAGATTACATCTTGGTAAACCCCTTGGGGAGGGCTGCTTTGGTCAGGTGGTCATGGCTGATGCTGTGGGCATCATTGAGAAGGAAACCGTCACCACAGTAGCTGTGAAGATGCTGAAAGGTGAGAAGAGTACTTCTGTCGCACTGAGCTCGAAATACCCTTTTCGGATACCGGCACTGGTGCAAGCAACATTCAAAATTACTTGCAAACACCTGACAAGGCTTACTGTCACTACAGTTTGTCTTTCAATTCATCCAAAAATTGAACTGCTTGGAGAAAAATGTTTCTTGTAGCACCAGTTTTTACTTAAGTAAGTTCTCTGCTGTGATGCTGCTATGATGATACGTGCACAGCCCCAAGTTTACCTGAGCTAACTTGTATATGCAGCTGGTATTTTGAGCCCTGTGGCAGTTAGTGTGGTAGATGTATTCACCTCTCTAGTGTTGGTTCTGTCCACAAGGTTAAAGAGCTAACAAGATGGGTACATGTTACGTGCATGTGGCTCCTTTGTTGGCTAACCGATCCCTGAAGCCTCTTCAGTGACATACTGATCCCTGGAATAGCATCAGATACCACTGCGAGAGGCCGCGTAACCCAACTCCCCAGCTTTGATATGAAGTCAGGAGTGGGAGAAAGTGTCAAATTCCGGGAATCCCACAGTGCCCTCGCGTTTGTAGACCAAAATAAGTCGGGCTGGTGTCCTGTGGGGGCGCCCAGATGTGGCCGAGAATGCTGTAAATATTCACTGTTTACACTGTTTTTGGTGTAAACATTCCCAGCATACGGAGTTGTGTGTCATGAGAGAAGGTCTGGTGTGCCAGGACACAGCTGCTCCATCTACACATAGTGCCGCCCCAATAAACACATCCAGACCACAGATTACATTATAATTAACTGCACTATGACTGATTCATTCACTTCTTCAGCAGAAAACAGAAATATCAGTAAAGGAAGTTTTAACAGTGGATAAAAGTGGCTTTTGTATGAGCAATCATCATAGCTGTGTTTGACTGTCTCCTTCATGATAGTTTCTCACAAAGTCCATAGTAAAAGACATATTACTTTGCCCTCAGTACTAAGGCCATCTTAATTTTAACATGCTACATTTCAAGTCAGATGTCGAACTTAATATGTACATCCACTTGACTGACAGTTTTCCTCTCTGACCATTTTGCTCGGTTCTGTTCCACAGAGGACGCCACGGAGCGAGAGCTTGCCGACCTGGTGTCCGAGATGGAGACGATGAAGAGGATCGGCAAGCACAAGAACATCATCAACCTGCTGGGCTGCTGCACACAGGATGGTACGTCACAACTACACAGTCATCCAGCCTGTTTTACATAACCCACCGGTGACAAGGGTGTTTTGTAAACCAATTAGGACACTTAATACTTGATGTTCATGTTAAGTGAACGATTTGGAACCAGTTAAAACTACATGGAAGGATTATGAAACAGGATAGAAATAGATTTGGAAATTTCTACACTTCTTCAACACTTAACGATGTAAAACTAGTAATCACTGCGATGGAAGAATGCTATGGCAATTTTGAGTGCCACTTGTAAAACTAAAATGTTAAGAACTGGCCTAACAAGGAGGTTGTTTTCCCCAGGTCCCCTGTTTGTAATTGTGGAGTACGCGGAGCACGGTAACCTGCGTGACTTCCTGCGGGCCAGGAGACCGCCCAGCATGGACTACTACAAAATGGCGGTCGAGTGCGACAAGCCACTCACTCACAAAGACCTGGTGTCGTTCGCCTACCAGATAGGCAGAGGGATGGAGTTCCTGCATTCGAAAAAGGTGAGAAGACACGCAGTCTGGCCTGGCATAGAAATACCAACTGTTCCAAACCTAGAGCCAAAACAGTAGTCAGGAATTGTAGTTTGGAATGTTATTTTTTGTGGGGTGAACTGTAGTAGTACATGCAGCTATAAGGGTGTCGCAAAGGGCACTGAGCACTAACATGAGGGATACAAAACTAAATCATGCTTTCCTGTGTCTGTCTGTGTATGACCATACTGCATGATGTCATGGGATGAGATGTTGTCTACTCTGTAATCATTTTGAATGCAGGTCCAGCCAGGTGTGGGCAGGTTTTGGAACATAAATAAGTCGTACCAAACACCAGGTCCAAATTATAGGGTTTAGAGTTTTCTCATATCACAAAGGGGTTGAAATGTCACCCTCCAAAGTAGATAATTATAGACTCGGATGAAAAGCAATAGGGAAAGGTTAGAGTCACGCTAACATTAACTATTCTTGCATCAACAACTTTCCCTCCCCTCATACAATCCTAGCACTAACCAAGAGGACATTTGATAAAGCAGATGTTGATGAAAATGATAGTGCTAAACTTGTATTTAGAAGACAAAGTGTGGTGACGACTGTTGTTTTGTTTCACTATAGTGTATACATCGAGACTTGGCGGCGAGAAATGTCCTAGTCGCTGAGGGGAACGTGATGAAGATTGCTGACTTTGGCCTGGCGAGGGACATCCACAACATGGACTACTATAAGAAAACCACAAATGTAAGATTTTTGCTGCAAATGCTGTAAGCAAGCTATGAAAATAGCTGGGAAGAAGAACTGCACTGATTAAAAGATGCTATGCTAGCTGCTAAGGTGCAGCGACTCGTGACACGTGTTGCTTAGTACAGCTTACAAAGCAGTCAACCACTTATTACAGTTTTTAACTGAGCCATGTTGGGTGATGTTTTGTGTGGATTATGTAGACTTACATGGCGATTATGAGATTTAGTATCATTTTGGCTTCTATTCTTGACATAAATTAGCTGAAGAGATTGCTTTTCCCTAACAACTACTGTACCAGAAACAAATCTGTGACAGTAATTTATTGCACAGAAGGGTCTTTGATCTGTTAAAGAGCATAAGAAAGTGTTTCATGAGTGTTGCCAGCTCGAGTAGGATCAAAGCATGGATCAACTTAGTCAACTGCCTGTGAAATCATATTTCTCGAGAGTCCCAAACAAAGCTGCGGCCTGTCACTGTTCCAGTATGGCCTGTGTGTCTTCATTAGCATTGCAAATGTAGACTGCGGAATGCGGCAGTCCTGCAGGTCAGGCCTGGGGGATGTGTGGCCAGCCAGGTGAACCGTCTGCTCAGGCAGTGGTGGCAGGCTGCTGCACTCACCCATTCAGTCACACAGAATTGGAATGTATTTGTTTCACATATTTGCGTGTGTGGTTATTATAGATATCATATAGGCTTTAGTTCCATTTGGATTTCAATTTCAGTGTTGAATCAACAGGCAGAGGAAAACGAGACAATTTTACACATAACTACAGACCAGACTTTGACAAATATATTTGAAAATTGAAGTGTGTAGTTGCTTCTCTTTCTTTCATTCACATGACAATAAAGAAACTAAAGTAGACCATGCAAAACGTTTACAGAAGCAGTCTTGCAAGAGAACATTATGAAATTTATTTATTTCAAATGCATGACAACACATTACACAGACTTAAATGTAAGTCTACAGTTATACAAATGAGACAGCAAATAACAAATTGCATACAGATACAGTTATTCTAGAATTAAACCAGCTGAACAGTGAAATACATGTTGCAAAGTTCTGAATTTCCCTTTTTTTCCAGGGTCGCCTCCCTGTGAAGTGGATGCCACCAGAGGCACTGTTTGACAGGGTGTACACTACACAGAGTGATGTGTAAGTAGTCAATCATGCTTCTTTGTTTATGTTCAGATATGTGTTTAGCTCGATAGCACGTCTGGAAGAAAGCTCATCCGGCTTCTTATTAACGTGAAGTGAACAAGAAATTTGTTGGGAAAGTCTATATGGGGCTTTTGTAGTTTAGTTGTGAGGAACGTTCGGGCCAAAGTCCTGTCAGAGGAATGATCTCCTTTGAAGATCCATGCTTACTGATGATAACATTCGGACACATCTGGCTAATTTTGTACGAATTGGAATGGAATTTGGTGAAGATAATTTAATATTTAAGACCTTCTGCAGAACCATCCTGTAGTTAGAAATTTAACCGGGAGACTTGGTCTTGTGCCATGTACAAATGTGGAATATAAAAAAAAATGTTAGGTGTTTCCATAGTATCAGATTATGTTTATGGTACTAGGGTCAGGCAGTGCCTGTGTCTGAACCCTTCATGGTTGAGACTGTGTCTGGGAGACACATGGGAGAACATATTCAGGCACCAGGGTACAAATTCACACATTCAAAATAGCACCAGCTAAATGTCCTCTATCCTGGTAGTCAAATAAACTATGCTTGAAAGACAAATAAGCTGCCTGTACTCCAACTAGGCAGGAATGTATCATGCGCTGTGGGAGGGTTTATGTTTCATCTTCTTGCATCTTTGAAGTTCATAATCTGCACCCAAATATACTGTTTGTGTATTTTACTTGTGCAGTCCATTACCATTTTTGTCTGCCCAAACGTTTTGAGAATGTGCAGAAATTACTTTTAGTAATCCGCAAGCCTCTCTAAAGAAGGTTTTGGAATTCTATAAACTATACAACCCATGTAGATGTTGGCTTCAATTCTAACATGGTTTGCCAAGGATATGCCAGACTGGTCTGGTTGCAAGGGGAGGGAAGGGACCTGGTATATCAATATCTTCTACAACTATGGTACACTGGACAAAACTAAGGCCCTTGATTGACAGAAGCTATTGTGTCGTTGAGACTGCACCCAAATTGTTTCCAGTTCTCAGCATAACAGAAAAGTGTCAAGTGTGGTTTATCTGACAGGGCATGTTTACAATTCATCGTCATTTCTTTTGGCGCCATACATGATTATGACTAGTTACATATCTATAATACTGTACAATGTATGTTTAAAACAGCATAAATGATTACAGGCCAAATGATTATCAAACTTAGTTGCACTGAGAAAAAAAAACATGTTTACCAAAAGCAGCACTGCTGACTAGAAAACAACAGCCACAACAACAGAAAAGCACACATGTAATGTTAAAGAATGAACACCTGTATTATGAAGTGAAACACAAAAGAGCAAACCAGCCACCATGCTGTTAAAGCCTGAGGCACCTCAGTGGTAGGAAGCTTGCAGGGTCCGATGGCTGCCATTAAGTGGCGTCTGCAGGTACCAGACCTAAGTAGTCTGGCCAGGTGAGCATGATGTCACCTAATCCAGGTAATTACCAAGAGGCGATGGGAAACAAACAGAGTCCCTGTTTTGTATACAGTCTGATGCACCCCCCTCCCCACCTATGCACGCGATGGAAGATGGGTCCGAATATGTGGGCCCGCAGTCTCTCGTGCACTTGGTCAGAGACTACTCAGTAACTCAAGACTGTGCTCAATGTAGGGAAACAAAGGGTTAGGATGGGTTACAAGCTACACTTAAACAATAAACCTGGAAAGGCTAGGAAAGAGATATTGGTTAGAAGTGAGGGAAAGTCAAAACAACAATGCACAGGAAGTCCTTAAACTCAGCAGATGTTTACAGAATCCTGAATGAGTCACGAAGATGACTGATGATGTGTCCTTGTTCCAGGTGGGCGTTTGGAGTGCTGCTGTGGGAGATCATGACGTTAGGTGGCGGCCCCTACCCTGGCATCCCCGTTGAGGAACTCTTCAAACTGCTGAAGGAAGGACACAGGATGGAGAGGCCACAGAACTGCTCGGCTGAAATGTAAGTGTTGTACACCTCTTGCTATTACTAGGCCCAGATTTCTAGTGCATTGATAAACATGCAAAATCACAGAGAATGCAACTTTTTGTTTCACATTGGTATCAAACAGTCTTTGATATCTTCTGTTCATGGCTTGCACAACTAAGTGAAAACAATATTGTTTTTAAAGGCGTTGTGTAGAGGTGATGTGTGTGACCCTGTGTTTCTGTGTATGTACATGTAGGTATGAGCTGATGCGCTGGTGCTGGCAGGCCAACCCCAACACCAGACCAAACTTCAACATCCTGGTGGAGAATCTGGACAGGATGCTCACTCTCTCAGCCAATGAGGTGAGATCTTGCATGAATCTGTACATGTTTGAACTGTAACAAGCTCCCAGATTGGCTACTGTTTGGAATGTTGATGTCCCTGTATGTTGTTCTAGATATAACAAGGTCCCTGATGAGCTGTGGATCATGGACATGTTTTAGCTAGCATCACCATCATCCAATAGCACAGATTGATAAATTTAGTGGAAGTAGAAGAGCATTGTGAAGTTTTATAAAGAGAGTGGACACAGTGGTGCTAATGGCTGTTTAGATAAAGTGTCAAGGTCATTGTGATGACCCATTCTATGACTGTCATGTCTGAGAGGTGTTAGAAGTGCCTCCTGCCAGAGATGATTGCAACTGCAGGAAGGTGTTGTCAACAGCACTGGTCTAACAGCGCCCCCTTCTGACCAGATTTGGAAGTGCAGCAGACACTACTTGGCAACAATGTACAGTCATGTACTGGAGCCAGTTTCTAAACCTCGATTTGATCATTGTTCACAGGACTATCTGGACTTGGAGGCCCCTTTGGACAGTTTCACAACGAGCTCCTCCCAACCTCCGAGTTACCATGGCAGCAGCGATGATGATTTTGAAGAGGATGCCAAGGTCGACACTGTCATGCTCCCACCCCAGGCTCCCAGCAGAAAACCCACAGATAACAAGGAGACAACGATATAGGCTGCTGCTGAGGCCTGTGTATTTTGTACCAAACTGTCCACTTTCAACTCATCACTAATTGTATATTATTTTGTGAACAAAAAACAATCAATTTGTATTCAGAGACTAGTAACAATGCTATTTGTGTATATAAAAACTCTAAATGGTAGCATTGTTCACTGACAGCTAGACTGAAGTGGGCAGATTTCTGTAACTTTGTACTAAAGTGTATAGAAACTATGGTTAAGGAAGCATAGGGTAAGGGCTAGAGCTAATGTAAGCTTCCAAGACAGTATTTTAAGTCTTCCTGTGTTTAAACTGTAAGACAAGACAATTGTGTGCCAACTTGTAATATACTGTATGTTAAACTCTGGGTCAGTGGTTTCAACATGTAGAAAGGACTATCATACGTACAAATGGGGGTGTATTATATGTAGAGAGGGAAATGTTGTTGCCTGTGCCAAGACTGGACCTTACCTCCCCTTTTCTGGTCTGGTGTCTTCCAGAAGTGTTGAAAGGAAGACTTGAAGAAGTTAGAAGTCAATATGTTATCATATGGTAGTCGAAGCAGGTGTCAGTGGGGAGAAGGAAAGGGATAGACGGGAAGGCAACAGGAATTTTAGGGCTGAGAGAGCAACAAAGTTTGTAAAATAGTAAAAAAAAGTTTTCCTAATCCAAAAATATTTTACCAAATCTTTTACAAAAGTTTAGAGTTGGAAATACCTGCAATACGTATCAAAACCAATTTGGATATTTATTGAGGAAGTGAATATATTTTTGATTGTTTGTGAGAGAGGTGAAATTATTTATTCATATTGACCAAAAAGTCCAAACCTTTCTAGGTGAAGTTCTTTGGTATCAAATGTAGTAAGCTTTCAATCAAATCACTATTTAGTCTAAAAAATCTCTGTATAATATTATCTTTATTGGTATTGTGTAGTAGAGATAAAGTGACTGTTATACTGCCTCACTATCCCTGTGGGATTGTTCTATGTAGATTTAGGACATCAGGTCTCAGAAAATTGCCATATAGGAAAAATATCACATATTCTTTCAGTCACAAATGTTAGGTTTCTAGAACCCATGGCATACGTTGACAGATGAAGAAAGTAATCTGGAGTGAAAATGGCAGTTTGAACTTTTATTACAGAAACATGGCATAGCACTGACGAAATTGCACAAGAAAAAAAGTACTTCTTGACAAGGTGTGATGTTTTTTCTGCAACATTTTCTAGAGACCTGTTCTTAGTTCCAAGTGGCAGGGGGTTCCATGTGTACAATCAGCAACAAGGATAATCATTGTGTAGTTTCTTATCAAGTCACGTGATCAGCCATCACCAATCAGGCTTGGTCTTATATCAGAGTTAGATCTTTATTATTGGTGCGTACCGGAGGTTTGCCCCTTACCTCTGCATCCAACCAGTTGTATTATATCCACAATTTCTTAGGAAGATTTTGTCTTAGGTCTTTCTACATTATTACCTCCAAAGTATCTAAAGATGGGATGTTATGACTGTTCTTGTGTGGCTGTCTTCCAGTTCATTATTCTTCTTTAGCTTTCTCTTTCTAAACAGTGTAGGATTTCAGGGAATTCCCATGTGCCATAAGTCAACAGAAGAAATCTGTAAGTCTTCTACATGAAATGCATGATCTTTGTTATTTCTCTTCATTGAAACGTTTATAGTCCCCTTCATTTCATTTCTTGAGTACTTAAAAATACTGTATTAGGTAGGAAGAATCTCTGGGCTCCCATGGTAGTCGGGGCTCCAGGTCACAGTTTATATCTAGTTATGTAACAAAATATTTCATACATCTGCACATGCAAATGTACATGTACATACTTCCAAGTAAGAGCAGTGAAAACACCACCGCCAATAATGTAATTACATGTTAGAGAACCTTGAGGTCTGGTATTTCTCTAATTTCTTGCCACACTTGGTACATACATGTAAGTAGCATCATTACCTTCGCCAAGAAGGTTATGTTTTCAGAGGCGTTCGTGTGCCTGTCTGTCTGTCTGTGACCACGATAACTCGAGAAGGCTTAAATGGATTGTCTTCATACTTGGTAGGTGGGTAGGTCTTGATGAGACCTCAAAATGATTAGATTTTGGGCCCCCTGGCGGCTTGTTGTGGTACTGCAGCGGAACTTCCGGTTTTGATATCTCGTGATCTGGACGTGCTAGGGTCACGAAATTTGGATGGTAGGTAGCTCTTTTGCTGGGAAAGAAGTGACGCATGTTTGGGCCCCCTAGCGGCTTGCTCTGGAACTGCAGGGGTATTTCTTTAAAAATATTCAAAAGAGGATAATTGAAGAACCGGTTGACAGATCGTCATGGTATTTGGTATGTAGGTAGCACAAGTGACGCTTGACATAATTATGCGACAATATTCAAATCTGGATGTAATTTGCATAATTTATGAGGAAATTCTATAAATCAGCTGCATTACATTATAGGACTATTTAAGCTTGTGATATGTGTAATTGAGAACACGAGAAACACAGGCAGATATTTATTCTACAAATTAACACTTAATTTGCATAATTAATGAGAAAATGTTATAATTCCATAATGGTGATTGCCTGGAATTTCATACTTTGGGTATTTGAAAGTTAAGTAAAGGTGAACATCATTAAACATAAATTATTCAAATGAGGACCTAATTTGCATAATTTATGAGGAAATGATAGAATGGCTTTATTTGTTACGATAAGGCTGTCTTTTGGTGGAGAATATGATCTACTGATATAATTCATGCAAATGAGGATCCCATTTGCATAATCAGGAGGAATAATCTTTACTTTGTCAGTCATAAAGATGAACATCATTTGGCGAAGGTATGAGATCGTGGGACTCTAGTTACCCATGTAGATAGGTAAGCACACATTTAGCAGTTTGTTTTGCCAGTTTTCTATCAGTAGTCTTTTTTTTTCTGTTATGTTGATGGTGCGTTTAGGTACCTGCGTTAACACTGCCAATATTGTTCAGTAACAAGGGCACTAACATAAGTTCCTCGATGTGCATTTGGCTGTCCGGGTGTGGGGTTGCTTTGATGTAAGGGATGGTCAGGAATCTGGCAATTTTATTGCAGCCTGTGATAAGTCTCCATGCCAATGTTTGGATAGGTGAAAATACTTTTGTCAAATGACAAGACCAGCAGCCAGTACAATTTTGCTCTTGACTTGTCCACATTCTCAGTGGGGGCATCAATACAAGGGTTTGTGCCAGTCATAACCACCCATGATCCAGCTACTGTTATCATGGATTTCCTGACCATTCCTTACTGGGGGCAGACAGCCATTTCACTTCGTTTCTAGAGGGCAAAGCTTTGATTTTCAGGCTGTAATTTCTCTGTACAGTTATGATCCAGCCAGCGTTTGGGGTCATCTTTTACTTGTACAGCATAAATCTACATTATCTATACCCCGCTTATGTGAAATAGCAATAAATCTGTATTATTATAAATAAAGCCACTGTGTATTCTATTCTCACTGGTTTGTGTGTCAGTTGGACTGTGTGTTACAATTACCTGTAGTACATGTACCTGAAAAGTTGGGGTGAGACGGGTGGGCCAAATAGCCAAAAGTCAGGTGGACGACTAAGTAGTTTGGTTTTCTTGGCACATTCTTATGCCAAAGACAGTATAGTAATCATGAAGAAAGTTGGTGTACATTGTTCCAAAGGAGCTGTTCCAAAGTTAAAACTCCTTAATAGGATGTGATGCATTCAGGGGAATGTTGTTGCTCAGACTTTGCTTGATAAACCATTTTGATCTATATTTGAGTTCGAATGGGAAAGGCTATATCATGGCAGTTTGTATAAAGATTTGGGAAGTCTCCTGTTTTGGTCAAGCTAATTTAGAAGAAGGGTTGAAATGACAAAGGTCATTTTACACACATTTCCTTTACAGGTGAGTTCATATACTATAGCTGCATATATATGGAAGTATATCTAACATACTAGGAGAGGTCAAACCATGACACATTAAGGCATGTTATACTCAGAAGAGACAATGAGCCTTACATTTTATGCAAATTAGACTATGACGTAATTTATACAGCACATTTGCATGAGTAATATTGAGTTAAGCAATGGGCCAGTACCTGGCCTGAACATGGTAGGTATTTACATTACTCGCCTGTTGTTATGCAAATCAGCTGAGCTCTGCCTCACATTGTATGTAGTTACATGTTATGTCACAGGTATCAGTCTATCCATGAATTCTGCCAAAGATGCCCCTTATGTGTACATAACAACATGAAATGTTGATGACAACGCATTATTGTTGTGTTATTCATCACGATACACTCATCAGGGCCAAAATTTGATCTAACGTCATACCTTGTTTCTAGGTTACAGCCAATGAGAGGCCTCGCAGGCTACGCGGGGGATTCCCCTTCGGAAAGTCCCAGCATCAGGTATAAAGGTTTCGATCGGCCATTTTTGTGCAGTCGTCTCTCCACGTCCACATATACCTGAAACAAGGAAGTTTTGGTTATAATCATGGGGTCCGTTTGTAGTTGTTAAGGGATTTACTGACCAAATATGGATACCTCAGATGATCCAGAAGGGTGCATAGTCGTTGGTGGCCTGCCGGCTAACGTGCCAGCTGGGACTCTGAAGGACAAGTTGAGTATTCACTTCCAGAGTAGGCGGAAGTCTGGCGGGGGCGACGTCAGGAAAGTGGAGCTGGCAGGCGATGGACAGACGGCGTACGTTTGGTTTGAAGCTCCAGAAAGTGAGTACAAACGTCACGTAAGATCAAGAGCTTATACGTGCGGTATTATTTTGTATGATAAACACATAACAGTTGCACAGCCTCTGTGAGTCACCCTCATGCAACCTGTTAAACGAGTCACGAGATACTGTAATCGACCGTGATCAGCAGTTTGGATCTGGTCCGTGTAAAACATTTTCACATTAGCTTCCCTGTCTAGATAATATTAAAGTTAGCGAAAGGCCTTTGTAATTAATAGTTTTCATTAAAAAATGACATTTTTTTTCAATCAGGTGATGCTTAAAACGGCCTAGCATACATTATTGTACAACGATGCAAGGTAAATATGCTCTGAGTCATACTGTTGTCGAATGTCACGCATCATGAAAGCTTTGGGTGAACCGCTTTGCTACTGGATAGAACACTTCAACAAAACATGTTTCAGGTTACAGGTGCGACCGTGCGAACGATAAAGCAAGGGATATACCCACACTTACGGCGAAAATGTACATGCTGAGGTACTTTTATGACCTCATCTGCTATTTGAAACCTAAGAAACGTTTTGGACTTAACTAATGTATGGTAATCCAACTATATAGATCTACTTTTATCAAGTAATTGTTTAGCTTCGTGATACATGACGAGACGCAGTAAACGTTAAACGTAAGGTATTTCCGGGCGGAGTCTCGGACAAAATATTAGTCTGGTACACACAAAGATGGCGGCATGAACTTTAGCCTCGTGAAATTCAGGTGCGTCACAGGCCTTGTGGAAAGCAGGCACCAAATAAAACATCGTAAGATTACTGAGGCCTCCACAAGTGCCTATCTCTTCTCTATATAGTTCCTGCTTCGTATTGAGGTTTTCTGATAGCGTTATGTCCGTTTTACTGGTCTGATTTGGTCATGCATCAAAAGGTCAGAGTTTCCATTGTTACAGTTAGCATGACGTAACGCTAGATTAGTTGTTTATGTCGCTGCGCCCCTTTCACTTTGTACTGCACAAACTAAGTCTGTAGTCTCACAAAACGAACGTTAAGTATGGGTTTGAGATATTATCGATGTAATGACTTTGAAGTTTTAGTCCTCAATTGGATTTCGTTGATTTTAGACTTGAAGTTATTCACTAAAATAATGCGGATAGCATATAATTTTGTTTATCCAAGACATCTATTCATGCCGAGTGGACTAATGAATGTAGTTCGTTCAAGAGTGAAGCTCTCACATGCACCTTGGCTGTAGATTGACAGAAAGTTTTGTATGTCTGAAAAACCGTTAAGAGCGCCATCAACGAAGGTAAAGTGGAAACAAAGGTAAATTGGACGTGGGTTAAAGTTTATCAATGTTGTGTGTACTAAACCTGCTGTAAGAATCGTTGTCGTCATACGCATTTAGCGATCAGAATGAATTCCTTTTCCAGCGGCGCAAAACGTCCTTCAAAAAGAACAGCTCTTTGAAATCACCGTAGAGGGGGAGAAACGGGAGGTTCCGTTGAAGGTGGAGGCGCGCCGAGCTCCGGACATCAAACCTGACCAGACCGCCGACGGAGATGTGGCCAAGGAATCTACAGGATCAGATCACACTAGTGAAGACAAGAAACCGACCGAAACTTCAGAACAAACCAACACAGAAGGAGAAGCGCCCGGGGAACCGGATTCCGAACGCAGTGATTCCTTGGACGACTTCGTTGTTCTCGAGAGAGAGGGTATCGAAGACTTCGACCAAGCGGAGGTACATTGTATGGTCATGTAAACTAAAGTGTCGTAATTTTACCTAAATAAAACTGTATTGAATGAATGAATCTACCTTATGATGATGTACGTTTGTTGGCCTTGTTTGCATTCAATGTACTGCATTTTTGTGTGACGTCCAGAGCTTCTTTCACTTTCACTTTAGCCGTTTAGGGTTAAACATCAATCTGATATGGTGCGATGCCTCTTTTTACCAAGCTCCTTTGGAATAGTCGATATTGTTAATGATTTCTGTGTACCAATGTATCACAACAATAAATCTGCAGTGTGCATGGTTATGGTACTCGTTAAGGCCATGTCTAATCAGTGATAACGCACTGTTAAACAACACAGCCGACCGCGGGCTCTCCGGAGAAGTACCCCACCACGGAGACTGAACGGAAACAACTGCTACAGGACGTCCAGCGGGAGCTTGGCTTCGAGAAACCTTCGATCGTACCTTCAGTCAACCTGTATGAAGGTATGTTCCCAACCGCATTTTCTTTGCGTTCTCTATAAAAAGGGCAAAACGGGCGACCTCAGACTGAGGATGAAACATGGCGCTTTTCGTTAGCTAGTAGTCATCTTACGTCGATGAAGGTTAGACATCCAGGTAATACGATACGCCAAAAAACAGTTACTCAAGCAACTGGATATGATTTTGAAAAATCATATCCAGTTGCTTGAGTAACTGTTTTTTGGCGTAGTAGTCATCTTGTTGTATACGTAATGCAATGTATATAGCTTCTCATCGGTTCGCGTATTTTAGCCGAGCACATCGGTCCACCCCTACTCTTCTTTGGTGCGTTGGGTTCTTCTACGCGGGTTAACTTTGTTTCCTTGTTGTTATACACCAGCGTTTGTTTATATAATATAATGAATATTGGTGAAATTCAGGTTCTGAATAGAACCGGGAATTGGTCGCCTAGATCAAATAGCTGAAGCCGCATGATCAAGAGAAATTAGAATCAGTGGATACAAAAATACGTTTGATAAATGGCATAGGCATACAACGTAGCATGTCATATATTTTGGAACCGGCTGATATCTTACAGGGAGTACTCCGAATAACTCTGTCAAGTCCAAGACTGACCCAGACAGCGAGAAGCCGCTGAACAACGCCACGATGACGGGCAGCTACCTCTCCCGGGACATCGTACAGTATCAGGAGGGGGCGCTTCTCAAGGTCAACTTTACAATTACATCACACTCTTATCTTTTATTGTTTGATTGTTGTATTTATACCTTTAAGTTGAATAATCATCTCACAAACTTATGGAACTGATCATTAACAAATCTTCTGTATCACGAATAGACTTTTAAGTAATTTAAAAATTACTCTTTTTTCAAAATTATGGCAATCACCCTACCGTACCTTTTCCTTATCAACTGAACCCGCACGGTGAGACTATTTACACGCCCCCTCCTCATTCCGTCTGTTCCAGGTTCACCGGAATGTGATGAACCCCCCTGACGGCGCCACTCCGGAGGAGGAGCCGGAATCCGGACAAGACGAACAGGAAGAAGACACACAGGACGCCGATAACATAGAACCTGAGGAGATAACAGATACAGGTGAGCAAATGATGCTTCTCATGATGCTGAGCTGGTGTGTTACGCCGAAAGGCGGTTATACCGGCTATACAGATACAGATGATGTCCAATATCGAAAAGCAGGTTTATCGCCGCACCAATCATGACATGTCAGCATCATAGTTTGTCAAACTTTGTCATCATACCTTTGTTGTTTGCGCCGACTCTCCAGCCTCCGTAAATGACTAAATAGATAAATAAACAAATAAACAGCTTCACAATTATCGTCCCCAGGTGCTGACGGAGAGGACTGTACCATTCTTGTGAAGGGAGTGAAAGAGACTACCGATGACGACACTCTGAGGGACTTCTTCGAGAGCAAGCGGGTCTCTGACGGCGCGGAGGTCGAGAGTCTGGACAGGAAGGATGGCGTGGTGACGGTCACGTTCACTGAGGCAGCAGGTGGGAGAAACTACTGTCACTGTGGTGTAATGTGCCCAGTTTCATAACCGTGTTAGGTACTTTCCGCGCGTTCTTCATTACCCCACATGGGAAGCTATGAAGAGCTAGAGCTTGATGTAATTCTTTGATAAACCACGGTGGATAAACAGCCTAAGCATAATTGTAGCATTGCTGGGCTACAACTAACACTGTCTTAGCCTGACTAGACTACATCACGCTTCTAGCAGGCCCATTCAGCCCCTGTCAACACAGGCTAAATCCAATGTCATACGTTGGAAGTTCGGTGAGGTAAGGGATATTCTTTTCTTCTTTTCCAGCTGTCAGCGCTGTTTTGAAGAACCGACCCCTTCACCTGGAAGGCGCGGAGCTGGCGGTGTCAGTCCCCGCGGCAGAACGCCCGCGTGAGCCGGCACCTATCGACCAACGCAGGGTGTTCTTAACGGGACTTCCGCAGGGCACTGACGCAGAGACAGGTGAGGCGATGGAATCGTCCTCAAGAGATTTTGCTATAAAACTTGTTGATCCGTGGATTCATGTTTGCAGTCATATGTATATATGCTTCGTTCATCAATAGTCTTTTTATTCTTTAAAGTGTCGATGTACATGGAGGCCAGGACGTAGAAGCGATATCCAGTCCGTTGAATTCGGCCTGGAGCCTGGAACCGTCCTCGTCACCTTCGAGGAAGTCATGCANGTTTATATAATATAATGAATATTGGTGAAATTCAGGTTCTGAATAGAACCGGGAATTGGTCGCCTAGATCAAATAGCTGAAGCCGCATGATCAAGAGAAATTAGAATCAGTGGATACAAAAATACGTTTGATAAATGGCATAGGCATACAACGTAGCATGTCATATATTTTGGAACCGGCTGATATCTTACAGGGAGTACTCCGAATAACTCTGTCAAGTCCAAGACTGACCCAGACAGCGAGAAGCCGCTGAACAACGCCACGATGACGGGCAGCTACCTCTCCCGGGACATCGTACAGTATCAGGAGGGGGCGCTTCTCAAGGTCAACTTTACATCACGCTCGTATCTCTTCTTGTATGATTATTGTATTTATACTTCTCCACACGGCAGTATTGTTTTGGGGTGCACGGCGGAGTTTATATGAGGGTTTGTCCCTAACCTCCTTTGGTCTGGCTCTGTCTGTCCTAATTGCTTTCCATTTCATGGTGGATGGGAGGTGATTTTGACAGTTGCCCTTCCCAGTTCCCAAAACACTTCCTGTGAACTTATAATTAAAAGACCAAAATTCTCCCAAGATGTCTGGAATGTCCCATTTCCTGTCTATGTTGCAAGTTGAATGATCATCAGACAAATTTATCTTGAACTGAACAAATACTCTATACCACGAAACAAGACATAGACTTAAATGGCTCTCTCAAAATTACCGAATTTGGCAATTATCATGCCTGATCTTGTACCGATCAACTGTAGCCGCACGGTGAGACTATTTACACGCCCCCTTCCTCATTCCGTCTGTTCCAGGTTCACCGGAATGTGATGAACCCCCCTGACGGCGCCACTCCGGAGGAGCAGGAGCCGGAATCCGGACAAGACGAGCAGGAAGAAGACACGCAGGACGCCGATAGCATCGAACCTGAGGAGATAACAGATACAGGTAACATCAAGGGTCATGTCGTGAGCAAATGATGCTTCTAGTGATGTCGATTATCGAAAAACAGGTTTATCACTGCACCAATATCAGCATCATAGTTTGTTATCATACTTTTGTTATTTGCGCCAACTGCCCAGTCTCGGTATATGACTAGATAAATAAACAAATAACTAGAAAGGCCGACATTTGCTTTGGAGCAAATACAGCAATGGCTTCACCACATTTTACGACATGGCAGGGAAAGAATGAGAAACACAAGGGAAAACAATGCTTTACAAGATAAAAGAAGCGTCCATGCCCCGCATTCCAATGCTGAAAACACTGCAAAACACTTGAATACAGTTCATACTGTCAGTATGGCATGGGTCTGTGCAGGTGTTAATGAAGTTAACCCCGTTAAATCCCAACAGCCAATCAGCAAGAAGGATAGAGGAAAGCTGCATGCCTATTGGTTGATGCCCTGCATTCCATTGTGATGACTCATGGTAAACACGGCACACTAACACAGTAATACATTTGCTATAACACAGCCAAAAAACTCAAATAAAACCATTCTAAAAGCCTGTATCACAAAAATTAAAAAAACGCCTAGGGGTATTTGCCCACTGTACCTCCATACCAAATTTCAGGACCTTAGGCCCTAAAATGAAGAAGCTGAATCCATTTAAAGATATGGCAGGAGGAGGAGAAGGAGGAGGAGAAGGAGGAGGAGAAGAAACATCAGAAAAAGCAATATGGGTTCACCACCACTTCGTGGTGTGGTGAACCCATAAATATCTTCACAATTATTATCCCCAGGTACTGACGGAGAGGACTGTACCATTCTTGTGAAGGGAGTGAAAGAGACCACCGATGACGACACTCTGAGGGACTTTTTCGAGAGTAAGCGGATCTCTGACGGCGCGGAGGTCAAGAGTCTGGACAGGAAGGGTGGCGTGGTGACGGTCACGTTCACTGAGGCAGCAGGTGGGAGGAACTACTTTCCTGTTATGTAACGTGTTCAGTCTCATAACCGTGTTAGGTACTTTCCGCGCGTTCTTCATTACCCCACATAGGAAGCTATGAAGAGCTTTATGAACCACTATGAACGGTTTAGCATTGCTGGGCTACAACTAATACAGTCTTAGCCTGACTAGACCACATCACGCTTCTAGCAGGACCATTCAGCCCCTGACAGCAATTGTCAACACAGGCTAAATCCAATGTCATACGTTGGAATTTTCCCTCCTTTTCCAGCTGTCAGCGTTGTTCTGAAGAACCGACCCCTTCACCTGGAAGGCGCGGAGCTGGCGGTGTCAGTCCCCGCGGCAGAACGCCCGCGTGAGCCGGCACCTATCGACCAACGCAGGGTGTTCTTAACGGGACTTCCGCAGGGCACTGACGCAGAGACAGGTGAGGCGATGGAATCGTCCTCAAGAGATTTTGCTATAAAACTTGTTGATCCGTGGATTCATGTTTGCAGTCATATGTATATATGCTTCGTTCATCAATAGTCTTTTTATTCTTTAAAGTGTCGATGTACATGGAGGCCAGGAGTAGAAGCGATATCCAGTCCGTTGAATTCGGCCTGGAGCCTGGAACCGTCCTCGTCACCTTCGAGGAAGTCATGCAAGGTACAGGATTTTTCGTTACAAAAAAAGGTCGTTGTTCAATGAAGCCATTGTATAGCAATATCGCATTTGTTGCCATTTAGGGGCATTTTCTAGATATTTCACATCCATACCTGCTTCATGTCTTCCCAGATATGGAGTCAGTCATACGGAAGTGCCAGGGGAAGCCGCTTCGTGGCGCCACACTCTCAGCCGTCCCCGTCTTCATGACAGACTGGATCGTTGTGACTAACCTTCCCGAGCAGGTCGGTAACACATGTTCAACAACGTCGTGTTTTTCAGCATCACCAGCTATCAAAGAAACTCATCGTACCTGAGTATCCAAAAAGATATTCTACATAGTTTAATGTTTTCATGTCTACAAAGTACGGTTTTATGTAGGACCGATTGGGATTCTATGGTTTATAAATAGAACTTACACCATGTGCCCACCTTTGGCTCAGATTTACTTTTTTTATCTTAAAGGCTACCACTCACGAGGACACAGTTTCTCTGTACTTCGAAAGCAAGAGGCGCAGTGGAGGGGGCGATGTGTCCGATGTAAAACTTCTCCCAGGAGAGAAAATGGCGTACGTCCAGTTTGAGGACTACCAATGTAAGTACACATGAAATACTAAACAGTACTGATAGCGACTGCTTTGGGGGAACTGAACGATTGAATTTACTGAATCATTACCCGTTGCTGCAACATTAACTGGAATAGTCTTTGTTTCTAATATACTGAATAGCTACCAAACCTGTATAATGCTTTTTCAAGTGATGACTAGGAAAGCTTCGTACGGAAAGTTGACAATAACCATGTCATGAAGCACTAAATGACGTACTTTGATGTGAACACCTGAAGCACGTATGATCTAGAGAGTACTATTATAATTGTTACTTACTGGAATCAAATCGATCCATACATGTAGGTGTTTCTAACGTCGTCAAGCGGGAGCACAAGCTGCAGCAAACCCCGATACAAGTGCGACCGTTCCATCCTTGCCTCGGAATGAAGACGGCAACTGTCAAGCCTAAGTCAATCAAACTGCCATCACCAATCGTGGTTCAGGTGGACCCGACTGTCATGGAGTACTTGACCAGCGATGTCGACTCGATGAAGTCCGTGAAGTCTTCACTTCGCTGCGTCTCCGTATCCCTGGTGTGGCCGCATGAGGACGACCGCAGGCTCGCAGCCCTGGCCCCATCGTTTGCAGACGAAGAAGCAGCACGCGCCATTGATGAGCATGATTGGTGCCAAGAGGCGCTGAATACCTTCAATAAAATCCTGTTGAGTTTCTCCTCTGAGTCGGTCCAGGTCCCTGCCACTGTATGGGATAACGTCTCGGCCAGACTGGCGCACATTTCCAACCGCGCTGACCCAGACAAAAAAGTGGTGATGAAGGTAAGTCCCACCGACCAGGCTGTGACGCTCACAGGTCCGAAGGTGTGTGTTTGTCAAGTTGTCCAGGCCATACGTGACACCATCTCCAAAGAGGAAGACGAATATGCCAAGGTAACAGCAGTTGTCCTCGGTCCACCCATAGAGATGAAGCCACTGGAGCTGCAGCATCTGCTGGAGACAGGGTACATCGAGGCCATGACGAAGAAACACCGCGTGGAAGCAGACACAGCCGGGCGTCTAGTTTTCAAGGGAGTTTCTACAGCCATCAGCGCCGCTACAGTTGAAGTGTACGAGAAACTGAGGAAGATATCAACCAACCAGATGCCGGTGTCAGCAGCCGAGGGCTTCTTACGCTTCGTTACTAGAGACCCGTGGAAGTCGTACATCAAGCAGTGCATGAAGGAACAGCGGATCCAGGCTCACTGGGCCGTGCAGGGGGGGATGCTCACCGTCGTGGCCGAATCGGAGGATGAGTACCTCAAAGCGATCGACCGATTCAGGAGCACGGTGACGGAGACGGAAATGCCTGTCCATGGTCCGGCCCTGAAGGTCCTCGACTCGGACAAGTGGACCGGTTTCCTCTCTACCATCCAGGACTCGTTTTCGGGTCTTCTTCAGATAACTGTCAACAGCGACAAGGATGGGAAACTCGTGTTGATCACAGGTCCGTCTGGGAACGTCAACATGGCGAAAGAGCAGATCGACCAGTTCTTGATGAACAACACTGTCCTTGAAAGCTTTGTGGAGATGCCAGTCGGTGTGGTCGAGTTTCTGCAAAAGATGAAGAAAGACGTAATCGGCAAGTTTCAGGAAAGACTCCAGAAGGGCGAGGGCTACATCACAGCGACTACAGATGGGGATGTGGCTGGATTCACCGTCGTGGGGACCCAGGATGGCATACAACAAGCCGTCAAGCATCTCCAGCAACTACAGAACAACGTTACTCATCAGGAACTCTCCATCCAAAACCCAGGGATGAAGAAATACTTCTCAGCCGGACAACCAGGAGAAGAAAAGCTGAAGTCTATTGGTGACGTTTTCAACTGCATCATTAAGACACACCAGGAGAAGAAGCCAAACGATGTTCATTGTGAGCCCTTGAACCACGTCCTCCTCCCTCACAGCAGGAAGCTGGTCGTGTTTAAGGACGATCTGACGAAGCACCGCGTCGATGCCATCACGAATGCGGCAAACAAGAATCTGAAGAATGGAGGTGGTCTTGCGGAGGCAATCATAAAAGCAGGCGGTAAGGAGATCCAGGAGCACTGCGACCAAATCATGAAGGAGGAGCCCATGGGCTTGATGGCTGGTGCTGTGCGGGTCACTGGTCCAGGCAAACTGCCGTGCAAGGGTGTTCTCCACGCCGTTGGGCCGAACTTTCATGAGATCAAAGACGACAAGCACTCCCGAGATGAGTTGTTTAAAACAGTCACTAATGTCCTGACGATGGCATCAAGATATCGCTTCAGCTCTGTAGCGATCCCTGCCATATCCTCCGGCATATTTGGGGGACCGCTAGATCTCTGCACCAAAACAGTGGTCAGGGCTGCTGGCCTGTACTTCAAGAGGAACAGTGACAGCAACGTCAACGAAGTCCACTTTGTCGGAATCGACATGGATATCGCCCAGTCGTTCAACAAGGCCTTGCTGGAGACCTTCGATGAGTACGGAGGATGGAATCCCGATTCGGAGTCACGAGAGAATAGTCTGGAGTGGGTCGTGCTGCCACCAGAAGCACGGGGACCACCGCCCTGCCCCCCAGAGTATGGCGAGCACCTGGTCACCCCGGGTTCGTACAGCATGTTCACCAACCAGGGACTGAAGATCACGCTCACAAGAGGCAGCATTTCGGATCAACAGGTGATTATCCTCCACGACTTTAGCTTCATTTATGCATTTCGTTTTTTATGCTGCTGTAAGCGGACATAAAGAATTCAACTGACGATTTGTGTTTTTCTAGGCGGACGTTATCGTCAACACAATCGGCCCAGACCTAAACCTAAGGACTGGTGCCGTCTCCAAAGCACTCCTGGATGCAGGTGGACCCAAACTTCAGGTAGGTTTTCTTCTTTTGTCTTTTCGTACTCAATGACGTTTTCATTTCATCCAGACCAATTCTTTCTTTTACACGCAAAACGCAACAGGTTTTTGTCTTCTCTAGGTGGAATGTGACAAGATCAAGAAAGACCTCGGAAGACTCCCGGCTCACGGAGAAGTTGTGCAAACGTCGGGGGGAAACTTGGGATGCAAGCAAGTGTACCACGCCGTGTGCTCCTTCTGGGCCCCACAGGACAGCGCAAAGTCTGAAGACGTAAGCCCGTCCCCTTCTCTCCATCTTGCATCTCCGCACATAATTTACTTATGTACCACGATAACAGCTATTGCATTATACAGTTTTATGATTATTTCCGGGTTCTTTCCGTAGGTGCTACGCAAAATTGTTTCGGCATGTCTGAAAGGTGCAGACAAGGACAGCATGCGCACCATCGCCTTCCCTGCCCTTGGAACGGGCGGCCTGGGTTATCCTAAGGACGTCGTCGCCCGTCTGATGTTTGAGGAAATACTGTCACACAGCAGCAAGAACCCGGCGGGTGACCTGGAGGAGACCAAGTTTGTGATCTACGATCAACCGAGCTTTGAAGTAGGCACTTTGATGATATAAACCATAAATAATCTAATCCCTATAAAAATATTGGTCCAATTGACTTAAAATGTAGTGCGCATGTAACACAAATCAGGGAGGAATATACCTTATTTCTTCATACATTGAAATTGGTGTTTCGTTAATTCTTTTACAGAAACGTGTAAACAATTGGGATCTTTGTTGTCTTTTTTAGGCCTTCCTGTCCGAGCTTGGTAAGCACACCGAGATTGGTGCAGGGGCTGCAACCTCAATGGAGCCATCAGCACCTGTGACTGCTCCTGACATAGGAGGTATGTCACATCGATATCTTCATCGATCTTCTCATCTGTTCAATATTTCTTATAGCAGTTCATTTATGGTGACAGGAAATAAATTACATTGTATTTTCTTTTCTAGAGCCTGTCGCGGTCCAGATGACCCCAGACGGATCTTTCAAGACCAAAGTGACCATGCGGGACGTAGTGGTGGAGGTGGAGCAAGGTGACATCACCAGGGAGAAGGTCGACGCCGTCGTCAACCCCACCCGAGGAGACATGGACCTGTCACTCGGTACCTAATGGCGCCTGGCGCCGTCACATTTGAGCGTAGCATATCATGCGTCTTTGATGTTGTAAAATATTCAAGTAGGCTGTGACAGAACCAATCGCCGATAAGGGCCTGTGACTGCCTTTTCCACAGGACTATCCCACAGGACTATCCCGAGAATGCCTTAATAGCACGACGAATGTGCCCGGACCCTCACAAAAACAACAACAGCACGTTTTTGAGACACTTGGAGGCGGTTTAATCGAATGTCTCCCGCTTTATTACAGGTAAAGTCTCCCAAGTTCTGAAGAGGAAGGGAGGACCTGTGGTACAAACGGAATGCGAAAAATATGGTAAGTTTCCTTTACATTGCATTTTTGTATAGTTATAGTTAGCAAAAATCTCCTTCGAGTCAATTATATGTTTGATGGCATTACAGACTTTCCTGAGTCTATGTTTATAATTAGTAATCTTGAACGTTATATTGTAGGTCCTTAAACATGAACAATGCATTCTTTATAGACAAAAACAAGTTGAAGAAAGACGGCGTGGGCATCACAGCAGCTGGTGGACTGGCTGCCAGGTACATCCTCCATCTTGTTGCTCCCGGATTTGAGACTGAGAAGTGGAAGAAGGCAATCATCAACTGCCTAGCCTTCGCAGAAAGTCATCAGCTGACAAGCTTGGCCTTTCCAGCACTGGGAACCGGTAAGTAGTTTGGCGGTAACGTCATCCGTAGAAAGGCGACTTTAACATGAAAGAATCTTAGCGGATCTTTGATTGGGCTTTTAACAATGATGCAAAATCTGCAGTAATATACACTTGTCCTTAGTAGAAATATCATATAGATATGTGTGTTCATTGATTTTGCTTTGAACATAGTCTTTTTTGTTATGCCATTTTCAGGACAAATGGCCAAAGACCCAACAGAGTCAGCCACGATGATCATCGAGGCCATCGCTGAGTTCGCCCAGAAGAAAAACCCCAAACACCTGAAACGTGTCCGCATTGTGATCTTTGACGCAGGCATGATAAAACCGTTCCACGACAAGTTGGGGAAGTGTCTGAAAACGTCTTCATCCTTGTCTCTGAAGAGTTTTGTGTCAGGTGTGTAATCGGAGTGGTGGTACCTGTCTAATTTCTTACAGACTATAAAATGTCTCAAATAAATAATGAAACAAGGCTTAGCGCTTAGTACTAGTAAGTCAAATGGTTTCCTTCCCCATCTAACTGAAAAATAATGATTTTAGGAGTGAAGAAACTGGTGAAGAAGATACGTCCGGATCCAGCCAAGCCGCCGCCTCCAGCACCACCGAAGCCAGTGGTTCTGTTGGACATCTACGCGGGCAGCAAGGAGGACGTGGAGTCTGCGGTCAACAAGATCCACGAGACCGCCGACCGGGAGAGCAAAACTCACTACGTCACCGACAAGAACATCGCACGACTGACAGACGAGGACGTCGCGACTATCTTGCAGAAGGCGTTAGAGCGAGATGTCTGCATGGAGATCTGCAATGGCAGGAAGAAGATTCGCCTAGAGGTATGAAGTTGGATCTTCGATCATAGTTTCTGAGCGGTGTTTAACTATACTTTAGCCAGTTCCCTCAAACCTGATGAACTAGTAGATTCAATATTAGATGCGGGCAAACAGTTTTCTGTCTCTTTGATGTCTCTTTTGTAACACCCTTAAGGGCAATACAAAGGTGCATTTCTGTGTAACATGTACATGTTATTCTTCGCCCAGGGTCTTGCTGAGGACATCCTCGTTCTACAGACCGAAATCCACCAGATTCTGGCCCGGGTGATGAGCGAAGGGAAACAGCGGGAACACGCCCAGCTCATCGCCGCAGTCATCAAGTGGGTTTACGTGGATAACGGCACTGAGGTGGAGTTCGACCGGCTCACCAACCTGAAGATCGAAAACGCGCTAAACGAGGGGCACACTCGGGTCAGGGTTGACGTTGATGACGTCGGGGAGTGTATTGCGCACCTTCAACAAAACGTCTTAGTGACGGTAGAAGAGGGGTATCGCTACAAGCTTAAGAGGAAAGCTGCGGGTAAGTAGCACTTGTATAGAAATGAAATGAAATGAGCTGTATTGTCTTGGGTTGTGTAGAGCGTATGTGAAATGGTTTCTTGCACCAATACTAAGTGCTGCTCTGGGCTCAGCGATGTCCAGATCAACGTCAAATATTCCGGCAGAAGAGTTCAGTGGTGAAGTATTGTTGCGTTTGACTTTTAATAAGGGTACCGATTCCCAAATTAAAATAAAACGTCAAAAGACCGATCATTGACTACTTCTCCTTCTCCCAAAGGTGATCCAGAATTCCCGTCTACTTGGACTTCTGTGAAAAGTGACTTCGACATGGTCAGTGTGGAGGCCAACAGTCCGGAGTACGACGGCATAGTCAAGGCATTCATCAGATCTGCCGGAGGGAATGGCATTGAAATACAGTCGGTAAGGGTAAAATGTTTTACATGTATCTTATTTATCACAGCTTAATAAGGCTTAAAAATGGAAAGTATTTTCGTTTTAGCACTGAAAATAATAACTTTGGATTTGTGTGGCGTTTAGTAATAACTTTGCGCGTAGTTGACCATAGAAATTTAAGTATGTATTAAAAACGACTAAATATTCTGGTTTTTTTTTGTCCTTTGTCAGGTGAAACGCATCCAGAGCCGCCTGTGCTACACGCAGTACATGACCACCAAGCGGGAGAAAGAAACGAGCGGCCGGATCAGTAACGGAAACCCGGAGCGCCGTCTGTACCACGGCACGTCGGCTGAGACGTGTGACAAGATCGCTCGACACGGCTTCAACCGGGCATTCTGCAGATCAGGTAGGAAATTACTCCCCAAGCAGAGATTGGGTCTGTTTCGGACTTTTTTTCTGGGTAAAAATTCTGATGATGGGATGTCCTAGGTTTTTAGAATGTAAATCATCTTGTCATTTCGTACAACAGGACAAGGATGGTTTTAGACCACATGACAACAGTCTGTATTCTTTTCCCCACAGAAAACCTGTTTGGATCCGGTGTCTACTTTGCGAGCTCAGCCTTCTACGCCCTGCAGGATTCCTACTCCCGCCCTGACGACCGCGGCTACAAACACGTCTTCGTGGCCAAAGTCCTGACCGGAGACTACTGCAAGGGCGCGCCGAGCCTCGTGGCGGCTCCGCCGAAAACTGAAGACGGCAGCCTCCTGTACGACAGCGTGGTGGATGACGAGAACAACCCGAACATCTTCGTGGTGTTCCACGACACCGTGGCGTATCCCGAGTACCTCATCACGTTCAAAGGTAACGTTGTCATTGCAGCTTCTCGTACAAAGAAAGGGGCCTCATGGCAAATAATTGGATTTTAGTACTACGTTGCTTATTTGACTGGTAAAGTAGACTCCATAGTCTATTCGACCAAATCTATTTTGTCTATTCTGAAGTGTCGAAATGGTCTGTAAGGGCTCTCTCTCTAATCATAGCTTCTGTTTAAAGGCATATAACGTTTCGGTCACACAGATCAACATGAAGTTCAGCGAATGATTCGTGTTATTTCGTCCTTTGTAGAAAAGTCCGACACCCCAGCTGACTGGACCAGGATGAGGTACGATACGGCTCTCGCCATCGAGCCCGTGGATCCCACAACGGAGGAGTATCAGCGTGTGTCGCAGTTCTTCACCGTTACCAACACTGGCAACAGAACTATTGTTAAGGTATCGTCTCTTCTACATCATTTCTTAAATCCTATTTGTATCTCTGGCTCTCCTATTTATGGTACTTAGACGTGTCTGTACATTTAGATATCTGCAATAAACAAATATGAATTCCTTTTGTAATTTTCACACAGATCGAACGGATCCAAAGTCGGTTCCTGTGGACAAAGTACCAGGAGCGGAAACAGGTGCTGTCCGCCATCTTTCCTCCCGAGATGCAGTTCGAGCGGCAGCTTTTCCACGGGGTTTCTGGGAACATGTGTGAGGACATCAGCATCCATGGCTTCAACTCTCACAACGGAGGGAATTACGGTAAGGATTTACGTTTAATCTTCTGTCGTCGTTTCAGGTTTGAAGTGTCTATGATACATAGGTCTGGAAAGTGAACAACATAGCCTATCATGTAATACAAAATAAATCAGTCAACTGGATAGATTCTCTGAAGAGTCAAACATTTCAGACAGCAAATTATATCTTTCATCAGTAACTGATGATAAATGAAAGATATTGTCAACGTCTGACTCTTCAGAGAATTCATCCAGCCACTCGTTTTATTTTGTATTACGTAATGTTCTACCTGGATGCATAACCTTCATCGACGTAGCACAGCCTATCTTAGAGGGGAATAGCCTTATCCTGTGTCTACAATCTTATATCCGTCTTTATGTCTTGCTGTACACAGGCCAGGACTACGGTGTCGGTGTGTACTTCACCGTCAACTCGGCTGACTCGGCACACGACCGTCACGCCCCGGCTGACGGTACGACCGGAGAGCGGCACATGTACCTGGCGCGGGTCCTGACGGGAGGGTTCTGTCAGGGGGCACCAGGACTGACCCACCCCCGGCCCTGGGACCTGCCGGACGGGACAGGAGACGACGTCTACCTGAGTGCCGTGGACAACACGGAGGATCCCAAGGTTTTCGTCATCTTCGACGTCGTCGCTGAGGTTCAGGCTTACCCTGAGTACCTGATCACGTTTAAATAAGCGCATAATGCATCAAGAGACACTTCTGTGTCTTGCGTCGCTTACGCTGCATTTTTCTGGCTTCATACAATTGAAAGAGAAATACTATTATTTCTAGCAAATATGTCTATATGTACCTGTAAACCTGTAAATGAAGGAAGGTTCAAATATTTGAGACCAAATTTAATTGGTATTTGCTGTGGCACATTTTGTTGATTACAATAGAATTAACGGCTATTTGTCAAAGACAAGGAGTTGCAGGTAATGCTTTTCAAGTATATCCAAGATATAAAGTCTGTACTACACTAGTGCACAGTGATTGCCTTACTAACTCAAGTATCGGTAATGGAGAAAGAATACACGAAATCGGCGTAGTGAAAACATTTATCGAGAAACTAGTAATTACCAACCAGACGAAAAGTCGTTGCTTTTACATTATTGTCTGACTGTTGAAGTTTAAATCACTATCCATATTCCTGGATGGGCAGTTTGCTTTACCACTTACTATGACTAACATGTCCCTATCACATTCTTCTTATATAATAGATTATAACAATTATGTACATTGACAACTGGAATACCGATTGGTCGATATTCTTTACATATACATTTCTATAATGGTGGTCAACACCTTGTATCTTTACGTTTCTATAGCAATAGTTGAATCAATGGATGTTATTTCCAGACACGCTGTTAACGATGGAATGGCTTAAGGCACAGATTATGAATAACCAAGAATGGAAATTGCTTGTGTTTATCTGATAAAAAGCTTGGATTGATCGACGTTCTCTGTATTGTGTTGTGTTGTGTTGTGTTGTGTATTTACTGTCTGTCCTCCCCACTATCTGCTGTCTCTGGTCTCCCCACGTCTGGCGGCTCGGCGTAGTCGTGCGTGTCGTCCCCGCCCGAGTCCCTGCCCGTGTCCCTGTCCTCGTTCTTGTTCAGGTCGTGTTTCTGGTTCTCCGGCTTGTCGTCGGCATCGCCGCCGTGTTCCTGGTGAAGAAACGACAAGATCAGATAACAAAATAGTTTTTTGTCGTTTTATCCATCACTGTGAATTTCTCTGTCGCATCTAATCATTTTCCCACTCGCATCCGACCAAAAGACTCCCGCGGTCAGCTTCTTGATGGCTACGGGCCACCTTCTGGGACCTAACTTCCCGTGTCTGACCTTTTGTGGTTTGTTGTTCGAGATTTCCACCACCCATGTGTAATCACTCAAATGCACGAACACACACGCAAGCAATCACACATACAAACTAAGGATAGATGAAGTTAAAAAAAATTGCAAGCAGTCCTTACGGTCTTCCTCTGCTTGTTGACCGTGGCGTACTGTACTTCCGGCACGGAGTCGTAGATGTTCTCCTGTTTGGGCGGGTGGAACGTGGTGTGGCCGTTCGATGCCGTAGTGTCGTCGGAGCTGGAAGGTATATAAAAGTGGCTAGATACTGTGTAAACTTGTACATAGATTTCTGAATTGTATATGTCAACAGATGCATTTCATTTGATCGATCATATTGATTTATTTGTAGTTGCCTAATTCATTCCTTCTTACCTTTTCGTAGCTGTCATGGGAACAGTCTCGTACACGACAACCTCGCCATTACGTCTCTCGTTCCCACGGTGTCTCTCTCTATCTTTTTTCCTGGAGGAAAAAGACAAACACAAACAACACTTCTGATGACTTTGATGTAATAGGTTGCTGTTCCAGTAGCGTACAGGTATACAATATTTCGACGTGACAGATATGTTTTAGAAGACAGAATTAAATCTTCGTTAACACGGTAAGGCACAATAGATCATTAGAATTATGTAAACTTGTAACTTTAAGGACGGTCGGAGTTGTACTGAACAAGGGAACTGGGAGATGATCTTCAGTATTGGTTTGACCTGTCACCCCTCATCTCTGAATATAGGACTGTCCATGTGACCTGTGACCCTCGTTATGTGTGTAAGTCAGCCATGCCCTCCCCAACCAGCAACAGGTATTCCTTTTGTATCATTTCATATTCTAGCTAGCGTCCTATCTAATATCCACAGATTTTGCACCATGGAAGTATATTATGTTACAGCTGCATCATAACATGAAGGATGCTCAACTTTCGATTTTTTTTCACGCCGGGCGGGCGGTCTTGTATGCGTACTCGTGGATTGTTTTCTTGGCTTAGACTCCCAACCCACATTTCCCCCAAAAGAACAACTTATGTGGGTCTATGTCAGGATAAGCGCTTGAATGTTAGGAAATGGTAAGTCTTACTGTTTGCAGAGTATGATAACGAAGACGAGAAGCACCACTATAAGGAGGACCGCTATGCTGAGGGCCACGATCAGGATAAGTACTGAAACACAGAAGGCAAAAATCTTGAAGTGCTGCCACCCTTTAACAACATAAGAACAAAGTATTTCACATGAATAACGGTAAGGCATGATGGTATTTTGTTGGCATCTGCTTACGGTTTCTACGGGGAAGAAAACTGCAATAAGTCACTACTCCTAAATCTTGACCACAGTAATGACCACAGTAAAGCTGAATCCAATACTAAATGCCCATGTGACATGTACGAGACGGTAGCCTCAGTCACGAAATGGCGTCTTTCAGTGGGTAATCTTTCCGTTTTCATCTGTTATTTCTCTTCTATCGCACACCCGGTCTCTCTTGCCATCACCGCCGCTCGTATTACACAATGCGCTCACTATAACACGTATTGTAATGGCGCTGGCAAGATAGGGTGTACTCGCAATGTCAGCCGGCGATTCAAAATCTGAAGGGCCGAAGAGAGCAGAATAATCTACTGCTTCCTCACCTGCAGCAACCGTATATACAGTATAACTCTCTGTACACGTACCATAGCTAAATTTGACACGAGAGGATCGCTTGTCTGACGTCCCAGGATCGGCCTCGGCAACAGGCGTGGGTAGTCCGTCTGTAGTGTCGTGGCTGTCCTTGGTGCTGAACGGCCTTCGGTAACTGTCAGTAGGACCTATGGGTCTCGCTATAACAAATTCACAGGCTCGTTACTGTAACCTTCTGTTGTCGTATATCTAAATGGTTAGTTAGCCGTTTCTATAGCAACTTGAGATGTTTATATCTACGCATGTTTGTGATCAATAGATTCAGTGAGCCGTACAGTTCAGGAATATTGTGTATCAGGCTATGGAAGTATTTTTCTGTCCCTACCTGGACGCTCTGTAGTTTTGGTTCTCCAGTTTGTTCCGCCTGTTTCTGTCACTGCAGCTGTTCTCTTTGGCCCTTCAGATTTGGGAACAGACAACATAATACGGGCATTTTCGTTTTGCTTGTGTCGGTGTCTGTTTCTGAATAGCCAGTATAACTGCCCTTTGACGTAACGCACAAGTTATGATTAAACATGAGTAAAACGTCCCCACCGCACGTGGAATAGCAACCAGTTTTCACTTGTCTCAAACACAATTATCGTCAGTCTTACAAAGTCCGACTAATCTATACCCTCGTTAAGCGGCGTTACCTATCGTGGTGACTTTGTTGGGCACGCACTCCGGGAGTTGGTCGAACTCGCCGTTATCCTGGCACGTGGCGGTTCTCGGTCCGACCCGGGTGAAACCCCACCGGCAGCGGAAGGACGCCTTGTGGCCCGGCAGGAAGAAGCTGGCGCTCGTCATACCGTCACGTATGTTTGGTTTTGGGCACTGTTTTATCGCTGTATAAATAAAAAAAGGCATCGATGAGCACCGAATTATGTTTGAATAGTGGAGAATAGAAAGGACCTGATCCAGGCGGTATCTCTAGTCGACTAGTCCACAATATCCAGACGATATTTTTAGTCCAGTGTTTTTATTGAAATCAACGTACAAACTATACGTATATGGTTGAGTGAAAATAAAAGTACACCGTGAAAGAGTGGACAAGTTAGCAGCCCTATCGTTAGTGGGTAACGTCGGTGGAAACATTGTATAGCTGGATGATAGCTTAAATTTTTCAATCAGACATTATGATGCGGCTTAATTTCCATATGACGCCATGATATTTTTTTTTGCGAGAAGTAATAACGTTACAGAAAAGCAGACGATAAACATTTTACCTTCGTACAGCAGAGAGAATCCACCCCCGCTTCCGTGCGGATCGGACGAGAAGTAGAGGTTGACGACGTTGGACTCCACCACGTACCCGTCCTTCATGTCCTGCGGTTTCAGAACCAGCCCGGAGTCGGTGTCGTTGTTCCAGACGGACACGTAGTCGTTCTTGTCCGGGATGTCGTAGTACTTGAACTGGAGTCGGACAAACCTGTCCTGTAGAGGGATGGAATGGCATGTGGTACCCATACGTCTTCATGTCTCGATTGGTGTGATTTTATACGGCGTTTACGCACTTACGCATTTAAGTACGCATTTAAATGGTTTAAGCATTACCTTATCTTTACAATAATGCAGAAAATACAATACAAAGGTAGCAACAACGATACAACGTAACAACGATACTTCGATGTGATTCTTACTCGTGGGTTGACCCTGGGTTCATATCAAGTAACGTTCACAACCCATATCAAGTAAAATGACGACGTTTAAGGGATTTTCTCTGTCTGCTCCTCACCTCTGGAACAGTGATGGTCCAAGAACAGATCTTTGATGTGGGGAAGGGGTTGGGCCAGTTGGGTGAGTAGACGGTACCCCTCGTGCTGTACAGGTTTCCTCCGCACCGACCCATCTTCACTGGAGAACACACATGTCAGATCTACTCGGTACATCTCGATTTCAGTATTAGCATTACAATGTATTGATATCCGTACAAACGTAAAAGAACCCAACAAACTTGTCTGTATTTTTTTATATCTGTATAGTAGATGTATGGACTTGTGTGTTTGGCTAAAAACTATTTAGGTCTAGAGGACGACTGCTTTACTCGTGTTTACGCGTTCAAACAACATGCAGGTCGTCGTCGTTGATTTATCGATCAACCACTGAGAAACAATTACTTTGAACTTTCAAAAGCACGTGTAATTAAATTCTTAACCTACTAATTCCACATCGAACATTACGTCAACACTAGACAGATATGAATGCAGGGGAACAGATATGAGAATTACCATCGAACAGTGCCATGCTGCTTTGTCCCCCGCAGAACTGCCGGTTGTCCCCGCTGCAGGGCGTGCTGCAGTCGTTCACTTCCCGCAGGATCCGCTGGGAGGTCCTCGGTCCTGTGATGCAGTAGCAGTGGGTACCCCGATTGACCCCGCCGTACTGTGCCCCCTGGCGGCGACAGAAGTCCAGGCAGTATGGGATGGTGAGTGTGGCAAAAGGCTGTTGACGTGTGATTCTCCACACGTTGTACGGGTTTACTGCTTTGTAGCATCCAAGATATCCCGGCGCTGTGCAGCACGGCAAAAACAGGTGGAGGATGTTTTAGAAATGTATTGCGCACACTCGAAAACATGTTCAGCCTTTCCCTTGGCGAATATTTTGAAGTAATGATGGCCACCATACAAACGACTCTCAAAATTGACAGAAAAAAGGTTTGGAACTTGCATGGTAAAATACGTTCCGGCCAATCCTACCTTTACAGTTCTGGATGCGACATCCTAGCGCACTTCCAGGGGATTGTCCTGTGTAACACCAAAGAGTGGATCGGCCATCAGGGTTCCTGGGTTTACATCAGGAACAGAAAAAACAAACAAACATTGTATCTGAACACTTGCAAGTACATGTATAAAATAGTGCATTGAATAAGGGAAGGCGAACAGTACTTTGTGATAGAAGTAACCGTTGCAACCATTTTGACGGGAACGTGGCAAAAACAGCAGATGCGAGTTTTGCTTCTCTTTTTTGTTTACGTCCATATGGATGTAAAACTACAACAGAGGAGCTTGCCTGCAGTAGTTGTGTTCTCCGATGCCCTGCGATCCTCCAGGATATCTGGCGGTGGACACCTGCTTCCCCCCGCCGGTATCAGCCCAGGACATGCACGCTGTTCCCACGCCGGAGTACGGCTCCGACTGGTTTCCTCTGTAGTCACTTCCCGTCAGCGTGTAACATTCTGTAAAGCAGTAAATCCACCGGGATATGAGGTTTTCTATCTTTATTTACTTTTAGTCAATATTTCTGAGGGGGTCGAAAATGGAAGACACAAAGTGCCATCTTCAGGCATTGCATAACGCAGCGGTGGTCACATTCGTCGTAGGACGTTGTACGATCATTTTGATAGTGTCATTTTCAAACAGGCTGTGACAGAAACTATTGCCGACAAGTCCTTTCCCGTAACAAGATAGTTGGAATTTTGCGGGACATATTCAGGACTGTCTCATGAATGCATTCAGTCAGATCGTGCGAGGATAATACGTCGTGTGTGATTGGACCCTAACCTTCGTACCCAGTACTTTGGACCATCTTGAAGGAAAAAAATGAGAAGCATTTAATACCTGTGCAGTGTTGGATGTCACACTGTGCCTCCACCAGTGATTTCCCCCCAACCAGTACGTAACACCAGGGCTTCAGGTCCCCCACCCGCGGGGCCCGGCAGTAGTTGTGCAGCGGCTTCTGTCCGCCAGTGGCGCTCCACTGTAGACACGGGTCCCCGGACTCAGACACGTTCACTCTTCCCTCGTACACCACACGGTCATCCACTCTGGTGTAGCATTCTGGAAGGGAATAAGTGACAAAAACCTTTTTTGAGTGTACGGTATTTGACATTATTGGTTTTGCAACTATTTCACTATTGCACTAACTGGTGACCAACAAAACGGTATGGCTATCTACCAAAACCACTATGATAATACAAGCAGTAGTAAGTAATAGTTATGAAACAAGATTGAACTGCAATGTCAATTGCAGTTCAATCTTGTTTGATAATGACTTCTACCTACAAAGATGAACTTTCAAGATAAGTAAGTAATAGTATTCAGTATACTGTATCGTTTAACCATATTGAGAAAAAAATGTGTACTGACACTGCCGGTTGATCTTGTATATCACCCATACAGGGTTATATTCTGCTTTACTGTGGAACTTAGATGTGCTGTTCTGTACGAAGGGATAGCTACACTGTACACAAACTCAGCGTACTGAATACATTTGCCTGCGGTGTTCTACACGCCCAGTGACCAGGGGGTATCGACTTAAGTTGCCTAAGATTACAGAGACTTTCGCCGAATAGAAAAACGCAACGAAGCCGATCTCCTCATCAAAGGTATAGCCCCTACATCAAATGTAGGTCATTTGTCTATGACAAGTCATAGATGGCTATCTCGGTCAACAGAGACTATAGTGACCATCCAAGGACAGCTTAGAGGTCAAGGTTTGACCTTCATAACTCTCCAATCGTAGGTTTAGGCTTCGGCGTAGTTTTGGCGTGTACTAGTATAGGCGTTTCTATCGTTTTTTTTTTTGTGGTACGAGTGAAGATCTGCTTGGATATTAACGTTAGACCTTCATTAGATCAGACGACGTTCCATACCTATTCTATAGGAAGAAATATTGAATTTATGTTATTCTCGAAAGGAACAGTTTTGAACTGCATACCTATGCCATAATGCTTCTGCAGAATGTCTGACATTCTGTGCATCTTTGTTGCAGGAAGAGGAACAGAAGCTCCTTCTCAGAGGCTCCTGTAATATCTAGCTATCACATTCCGGATATTGCTGTGATGTTTGTGCCTTGTGGAGTACTACTGTCTTCACACCGTAGTTTATCTGATGAGGCAATTATCTTCGCTAGCCAACGTCATTCTGAGAAAGTCATTCTGAGCTCCGTTGAAGGCGAGTCTTTGCCCTAAACCTGATTAGAATTCTCAGCTTTGATATATAGTACTAACAGTGATGAGCCGGCCGATGTTGGTATTTCATTAATAAAGAAAGGCTTAGACAAACAAATATTGGTTATGTCGTGTAGCTAGACTAGAGTGTTCTTACCTTCAAGTTGAGAGCGGACTCGGACACAGACTAGCGCCACTAAGCCGAGGAGGAAAAGTTTCTCCCCCATGTTGCTTCAGACTTGGATGAAGAACAAACTTGGTTGTTTTTGCTTTAATCTGGAACAGAATTGTTGGTCCCCTTCCTGACGGTGAGATCAACACGGGAAGTCAGACGTCCTTGCTTCACTGTCAGGTTACAGGCGGTGAGGCTGAGGGGAGGTTCGTTCATTCCGACACGGTAAAGTATTCAAACTGTAGCTTGCATGCATTCCTATACCCATGCTCCAAACGCATTTTAAAAGTTTGTGTTGTATCCGAGAGGGAATATTGTTCTTAAACCCCTTTCCACTAGTGGCCCACTGTTCTGCGACTGCCGAGTGACCAAATATATCGCCCAACGAATTTCATAGATGTAACGAACGAATTTTTCTTTCAATGTTTTGCATGTCTTGTCTTTTGAACCACACTTTTACCTGAACATCTTACATCATGTTCCAATTATCAGCCTTAATCCCTAGCCAGCCTCTGATCAAGTTTAACACATCTAATTATATCGCTGGAAACCACTATATAGACCACAGGTAACGAATCTTCCCTAATCCTACTGAAATCCCAGCTTCCAAGTTCCTTATCTATCCCGGAACGTTTCCTGTCTCCAGCCAACCGCCATCCGCCTATTATTTGGAGGGATGACCCGAGGTTACCACTGGAACGACCTACAGTAAGCAATTGGCCTTTGACATCGGATGTTTTCTATTCGCCGGTGTCCTACCGGGCGCCCTATCTGAGAAGACTTTAGGTCGGCTTGTACGATCTAACTAGTCTAAGTAAGTACTAGGGAAAGTGGTCAGCGAGGGCTACTTCAAAACTGATTTCAGGGATGTTCAGTCAGCAACCACGTCCAATTTCTTACCTAAGGGTTAAAGACATAAAATGGTCGAATAACACTGTCAAAGGCACGTAGACCATATCGTCAACACAAAACCAGGATATCTTTAAGCATTGTAAGTTTTATTGCAACAATAATCATCATAGTTTATTCAAACAGTTGTCATTTTGTGTTACAATATTAATATTCTATAAAACGGTCACGCTCAGTGCAGTGTAGGGCATCAATAGACAATAGATACAGACAAACCAAAAGAACTATTTAAAACCACTACATATACGTCTTTTGTGTGCACTACATGTGAGCATTATGCATTGAAGGACTCACAGATTAAAGTTAAACAACGCCAGTCGAAAACATAATGCCGTGTTTGTGTAAATATACTGACCAGTGATGTCTGACATGTCGACAATGCCTTCTTGTTACCCTTTGCCAGCATCGTGAGTCAAGTAAATTCACATTGTCAATTACAACAACACTAAAAAGTTAATTCTAATGTAAATTATATTATAAATGTAGTACCTCTAAGTTACATACGTCTTGTATGATATAATGCTGTTAGAATGATAGAATAATAAACAGAATTTATAAGAAGAAATTGCATTACTTATTAGTTGACCCCTTATATGTTCGTCATCATCCCATATCTGTAACTTAATTATCCATCTCTACACGGCGTAAGTAGCCCCAGTCTTGTCCGGCGGAGGGCGGATTTGAGCGTACACCGTCTCCGGCTGGGTCCGTCTGACTGGGGCGTCCCAGTTCATGGACAGGTCCAGTTCTGTGTACGTCACTTCCGGTTCAATGTCACTGTCCACATCATCACTCTGAAGAAGAGGGACAAGGAGGTGGGGGGGGGGAGAAGTTGAATTCAGCGTGAGTGAACTACTTTTGGGGTACTGATACTCGTATGCAGTGTCACATTCAGGTTTTCAGCATGTGTCACAGCTAAATGTCCTTCGTGCATGGCATAGAATCAAAAGGGCTTGGTCATATAAATGATACTCTCATATCCATCCATTACAAAAAGACCTGATCTGACAAGTTCACCTCAGGGATGAGTCTTATCAGTAAGTACTTATAGTATCTGACTTACCATGTCTGCATTTTCCTGGGGGTTCGGGCCAGCCGTACCATTTGCCATGGAGTCACCCTGCTGTCTGAACAGTAGAGTGCAGAGCGGTTAGCATGTTGGTATGTTAGCATGTTAGCATGTTGGCTTTGAGGTGTTATTACATGGCCTCACTGAGCACAGGGCAGTCCTTATTACATAAAGCTGTCCTGGTGACGTTACCAGTAGACTGTCCCGTCGCTGTAGTTCATACACAATACCACGGTCTTACCAGTGTACATACAACTGTGGAAAATAGAAAACTTACCCACTTGAGGACATGTCTGACATTGGCACGTTTTCAGATGTAGTACCACCGGTAGGTGGCGCTCTTATTTCTGTCCTGTAGTTCTCCATTTTCTGATGCTTGATCTTGTGGTTCCTGAGGAGAGGGCACGAAAAGAACAGGACGGCTATGATCAGATATCAAGAATAATACTGTCTTCAACGGAATTTTATCGCGATCTGTCGGCAATAATGTTCTCTGTAAACAGGATATCGTACCTTCTTCGACAGCTCCATACGACCAGTATCAGCAGCAGGAATAGGAAAGCCAACGCCGCCACAGCGATAGCGATCAAGGCGAAGACTGCAATGATAGCAAAACAACACAATCACATCGCTGCCTTTAACACGCTGAGCAGGAATAGTCGAGAAATTATCATGGTCCTATCATACATGTACTACTACGATTTCAGAAATACAAATATCTCACTGTTTAATCCCAGTCTGTGGGCCTTTTTGGTTGAGTCCTTTGTGACCTCTTGCTGTTGTGTCCTCGAGTCTTCAGCGGGGGTTGTCGGGAACGTCTTCGCAGATTCTGTCGTCAGATGTTTTGTCCTCGACATCGACTGTGTGGACAAGGTTGGGAAGCCTCTCCGCACACTGGTTGCTTGTTGGATGGAGGTTGAAGTGCTGTACACTGGTCTTGACCTTGGTGTGGAGGGACCGGTACCCATCCAGTTGTACTGGGTGAAGTTAAGAGTGTGCTTTTCCAAGTAGATGGCACGTCAACGGGTGTTGTTTTCGTCGAGTAAGCTGTGAAAATGGTTTTCTGGCGGTTAAACAGTTTGTTTGGTAATGTTGGTGACATATTGAGTCGGGAGGTATGTAATGCTAGACTTAGATATCTACAGTGATGATGCATGCAAACAGAAAATCTGTTGCAGTGAGTAAAAATGACAGTGTACAGTGAACTGAAATGCAAGGATCTTACATTCTGCTTTCCCCGTGTTAGCGGGCACAATGTTAACCTCATCCCGTGCGATTGGGTGCTTTCTTGAATCGGTGGTGAAGGGGATGGAAGTGGCCTTTCCATCGGGTAGTGTGACACTGGACTGTGTAGTTACAGAGGCGCCTGGCGCAGTTCTCTCAGGTGAACGTTCCCTCGATGGTTCAGTTGTCCGTTGATCTGGCCCAGGGGCAGAGGGCCGTTTGGTTTTAGTTGGTCGGGGAAGTGGTCGTGTTGTAGGTCGTCGTGAGGGTGTAGTTGTTCGTAGAGCTGTAACTAGTGTAAGTGGTTGTAAGGTGGTGTCAAGGGCAGTGGTTCTTGCTATAGTTGACCTTGTACTTGTCCCTGACGTACCTGGGTGTAATTCAGATCCTTCTCTGGACGTCAGAGGAAGTGGTGGTGGTGTAGTTCTTCCTGTAAGATCACATCGAAAGGAAGATAATTATCTTCTTGCCGAGTTTAAGTCATGAAAGACCCATCAGATGATAAGAGATAAAGAAATAATATTGTCAAGTAAGGTTTTTCTCAACTATGTTTTTTGTAAACTTACTTGTAGTTCTGGCAATTACAATCACGATGGTCTCTGGGATGTGACACACTGGGACGTCTTTGTCGAAGTCCCCGTTCTTCGTGCACAGTAGACGTTCCGGACCGGTCAGCCTGTAGCCGTCATCACAGTAGAACCGGACGGTGTCTCCGGCCACGATGGACCCGTCGCTCACCACGGTCATGGGCCGGATGACGTCAAAGTCTCCATGAGCAATGGTCGGGGTCGGACACCTTCTAATCGCTGCAATAAAGATGGTTATCAGAGACATATTTTTTTTTTATTTTTATTATTCATTGACATAGAAAAAGGTACAGGACATGGTGGTGCCGCACTCAAGTGGAAAGCACTTATGTTGACGGCACCACTGAAATAAATACATATAATAAAGAAAAACAAACAAACGCAACTTTAAGATAGGCAAAAACAGTAGATACAGGAAATTCAAGAGCGCAGGTCTGGTTCCCCACCCAATGATAAATGATGGCAAAGAGGACACAGTACATAGATAACAAAGGGGGAAATTGAAATCTTTTAAAAACGTTCTGATGTGGTGATGAAGTTTTGGGTAAGTGATAATATATTGGAGTTAACAACTGAGAGACATATTTAGTTAAGTGGTTGAATTAAAATGATGATGAAATACAACAAGTCAGATATTTCTGGCAAGCATGCAATCCCTCGGCTTCCTGAATTCTCCCATGTCTATACATGATGGCTCCCGACTAGATTCTAAGACCTTTGATCAGCTGTCAATCCACGCACTGTCGACCTGTTCTGGTTCTGGACGAACAGACGCACAAACCCACATCTCAGCCACCCAAAACAATACTTCCGTACCCAGAAGTAATAACCTGCCTCACTGAATACTGTATAGTCTATATTGAATATGATGCAGCACATCATTACACAATAATTTTACTGCAATGCGAAGTTTTCTTCCATGTCTTTAACCTACACTGAAGCTTACCTTCAAACAGCAGAATAAACCCGTTGGGCATGCCGTCATCTTCCCGAGCCCGAGGACCCGCGGAGTCCTGTGACGGACGTGCCCGGAAGTGCACTGACGCAGCAGCCGAGCTGGTGACGTACCCGCCCACCGGGTCCTGCCCGGTAATCCTCACTCCGCCGGCCCGGCCTACGCCCACCCAGCTGGCCTCGTTAATGCTGAAGAGCTGGAAGCGGAGTTTGATGAGGTGGTCCTCCGGCACACTGATGTTCCAGTGACAATCTGTTGAACTCGGGTAGGACCCAGGATAGTTTGGGCTGTAGATGGTTCCTTGTTGTCCATAGCGCGAGATGTTACACCTTCCCATATTTGCTGAAAATATAAATTTTGTCTCTCATTACAAAGAGTTTCAAACAGCACGTATACCCACGACAACCCAAGAGCAACATTGGACATTTCAAATTTCTGGGAAGTACTTGGGTTTTTTGTCACCTTCAAGTTCACCACATTTCGTGTGTCTGACCTACTGACATCCTGTCATTCTGCCTGTTCCCTCACCCATGCTGTCAACCTACTCTCAGGTGTACCCCATTTCCTGTGTCATACCTTTTGACCTGTCAGTCTGCCTTTTCATCTCCCCCACCCACGTGCTGTCAACTTACTCTGTCTGGACAAACAGACACAGAAACCTACGGTTCAGACATCCAAGTACTTTCCTACCGACCCGAGAGTAATACTTGAGGTTGGCAACTTACTATCAAAAACGGATACGGTCCTTTTGTAGCCTCCGCAGTATTGGAACATGTTGCCATGGCAACGAACGCCACACGCGTTGCTCGGTTTGAGCGGCTTTGCTGTGCTGGTCACGCCGTCCGTACAGTAGCAGTCCTGCCCGTTCCGAATGACGGCGTACCGCCTGGTGATCAGGCGACAGTGTTCCAGGCAGGACTCGATGGTTAGCGACCATTTCGGAGGTGTCACTGCTTTAGGTATGAGGTTGCCATCATCGTCGTTATAGCAGCCCAGGTACCCTGGTGCTGTGGGGAAACGGTGAAAAGAGTGGTATATCATACCGGTATTTGAAAAACAACAAGCCATTTGACATATATGGACCAATATTGTTTGAAATGGCATTAACTTCTCGGGGCATACTTTAGTAGTCCTATCACAAAATCGATGCCAATGGCAACACCCTGAATTGAATCTTTACCTTTGCAATCCTGAATATGACAAGGTCTGTAGTCAGTCTCTCCTCCACCAGTGTAGCACCAGGGGCTGAAGTACGTGCTGGGGTTGCGGCAGTAGTTGTGTTCTCCGACGCCTCTGTTCCGGTTCTCCTGATTCTCTGCGTGCACACTTTTGCCGTTGTATGTTCCGCGGTCCGTCCACGACACGCACGGCGCTCCACCGGGCCCCGGCCGGGACTGGTTGCCTCTGTAGTCAGCGCCGGTCACCGTGTAGCATACTGAGAATGTGGCAAATAAAATGTCGCGTGTGTAGCAGTTACTCTTGAAATGAACGACTGTACAGGTCCATATACTAGTATCCCCGGTGTTGGGAATACGGTGGTTCTTAGATATCTACTAGAAAATTGCCTTGAAGTATTTGCATACAATTTGCATAATACCGGCGCAGTCAAATTTCTCGTAAGCCGTCTTACGATTTTGATATTGAATTTTCAAGCAGGCTGCGACAGAACCAACTGCCGACAGGGATATAAAAGGACAACCTTTTCCATACAAAGATAGCTGGATTTTGTACGACACACCCACAATCATGCCAAAATGTTTACGTAAAGCAGTCCCTCACTGTGTTTACATGGCGTACCTGTACAGTGCTGTATGTCACAGCGACGTTCTACCAGCTCTCCCTCCTCAGTTCTCACGTAGCACCACGGCACCAGGTCGCCTGGTCGCGGGGCGCGGCAGTAGTTACGGTGGTCCGGCCCCGCCAAGACCACGTCGGTCTCACTCCAGTACACGCAGGGCTGCCCGGTCTCGGACACGGCTAACTCTCCGTCGTACTTCACACCTCCGTCATCTCTTCTGTAGCATTCTGTTCGTGCACAGTTAGTTGTATTAGGTAACTAGGTAACGTAGGTAAATTAGATAACGTTCTTAACGGTATCGCTTTGTGCAAAGCCAATTCTTCTAGACAGTCCTAATTCATCCAGGACTATACCAGAAAATGGCGGTGGGTTTAAGTACTACTAGCCAGAACAATTGCCAGCTATGACATTGGATTTACATAAAAAGGTTATTCATGCAAGCACTATGTTGAAATGTTCTTCAGAAACGCCTTTTCAAACCTGATAGTTTACAACCAAGCCAAGAAAAGTTGTTCAAGCCTATTTTGGACGTACGATTCAGTTATGACATTATCTCGATGACCTTTTCTTGCCCATGCATACCGTAAACAATGACTAGGAAATGATCAGATGAAAGGTCATACGATGTGACGACTTCTTACCTTCCGTTTCTCTAGCCCACTGTTCTTGAAAACACAGAACCCACAGTAGGAGAACAAAATCCAAGGACAGAAATGTTGCCGCTGCCATTTTGAACCTTCATAAGACCTGTCCTTGGGGGCATGGGCGAGGTTTGGTCAAACACATCGTGCCCAAAGGCCATTGAGGAAGGAAGTTTGAAGCGAGCAGATATCTGGATACAAGAGGCAATTTCCGTCAGTGTGTCTGTCTGTGTGAGATAAGGGCTCGCTGTGGTATCCAATCACACGGTCATACAGGCTTCTTTCACACATTACCGACAAGAAGTGGTATTTAGAACGCTGAACACCCACATTTGGCTCTGTAGTTGTACACAACGGCAGACATAAAAAGAACCATGGCATAATGCCACAATGGGACTGAATATAAGCAATTGCTTATGCCAGGTCCATTGTCCCATTATCATCATTTTTCTCCTCTAGTTGGGGTGTTAGCATGGAGAGCATGTTACATGTTAAAGTTTATTTTAGACATATAGACCGACACAGAACTGCACAGTTGCCTTATTTTTTTTGGGGGGGGGGGGGGCAGATGTTGTTCATTTCTATTTGTGCAAGGCATCAGGGATAAGAAATTGTTTACTGTACTATACAAACCCTTGTGAACAAGACAACAACTTGTGAAAAGATACGACAGTGAAAAACAGGATGAACACCAAAATAACGGACAAATAGGAAATATGTTTTTGTCACTAGCCAATAAACCGCCTCTTTGCTCCGAGTGCCTCGTCTGACCAATTATGTAAGTCTTGTCCAAAGAGGATTACGTATCTTCAAAAACAGAACTCTCACCAAATGTATGTGTTAAATGATTCTTTATTGATCAAATCAAGATTCCATCAGGAGGTTTGTCGTTAACGGAAGAAATACGAGATGAACAAAAGTTGAAACTTTCCGTACATGCATACGTGGGTAGGTAAACTAGAACTGTCTAGTCATCCGCTTACATTCGTACACTACTTTATATAGTAGAGTTGTTTCTTTACAGTTTAATTTCCTCGCAAACCTATTCATTACACTTTACCACTATAAAAAGAGTTATCATCGCCATTCTTGTACCTTAGGAAGTACAAATAGAAGTGATAAAGTCTAGAGCTCTTAAGTGATACCAGCACCAACATGGCTCGACTTTTTTCTAAACTCAAGCTCTTTTAAAGAGCATCATTGTAAATATCGTTACACTTCATATAGCTTATGTAGTTGCATTTTGAACGTTGAACGCCTGTTACAGCTTGTAATGTAAGCCTATTCGCTACTGTAACCATGAGCGGCCTTATCATACGTGTTGTAAGAGTCCCCACTGCTGGACTCCCTTGAATTGCGTACCATGATGTCACGAATTTCCGCATACACACCCTCGCTGTGGGAGGGCGTGACGTCAGGGAGGAACTCCGTGACTTCTGCGACATGGCACTGCACATGGTCCAGTTCCGGATACGTCACTTCCGGATCCGGGCCTGGTTCACGCAGCTCTTCCTTCGAGCAAATAAAAATATCACAGTTTACAGGTGCTAGTAATGTATGGCCATGTATATCGTTGACCAAAACAGCTCTCAAAAAAGTACCTTTCATGTCAAGTGTCAGCAAAAACGTTTGACAGTGGTGATGTAGTACAACTGAGTTGTGTGACAATGAGAAAATGTTGAAGGTGGTTATCTAGGTGCAGACTTACAAACTATAATAGTAACGCTTGAAAACAGAATGATACAAAATCGGACTTACCAGTTCCCACGGAAGCGGTTCCGGCGGGCGTTTCTTGTTGACCTTGGCGTACAGCGTGACGGTGCGTGGACACGGCTCGGGACGCACTTTTGCCTCGCACGGATCAACATCCCTCTCAGATCTGGATGTCTGGGAACCAAGGGTGGAGCCTGGACTGTCAACCTGCCTCTTCTTCTTCTTGACCTTAGTGTAGATGGCGGGGGCTTTGGACGGGTCTTTCTTGGTGGATGCCCTCTCCGTGGTGCTGAACATGATCGCGTTTTGATACACAGTTTCACCTGGTGGGTCTGACAGCTTCTGAGGAAGCAACATGACACACCGCAGTATGTACATCATTTTGTTTCGTTATTTCTCATCGTTCTAGGGCAATATCTATACAAGACGCACAACGTACGAATGTTTCCATTTTCATACAATCCCATCTAAGATCCTCCCTATCTCTCATCTGCACTTACCTTCTTTGTCTTGGTCATACTGGCCGTCGCGTAGCCGGCGTCCGGGCATTGGTAACTTGGATCAGATCCAGCGCCGTCTACGGTTGATATTATTTGTAGCCTAAAACACATCAACATTTTGGTTATAGCTACGCCACTACAACAACTTCAACAACAAACTTGTGAATTTATTGGCAAAAACAAAGAGATGGTCCGACGTACTTTCAGCGGGCCTAGTAGAACAGAAACCTAATTGTAATTGGGTGACCCGTGTGCAGTGGGTCGGAGTCATCTTTTCCTCCCAGTCAGCCTGCCAGCCATCATTTCCTTCCAAGTTGACCTTAAGGTCAATCTATGGTACCCAAATTCCTGCCACTTCACCAAACAATACAACCATACACGGAGGTAACAAGGAGGACAAGCAGACCGAATGATAATTGCTGATATTTTGTCGTTTACTGACCTGATCTGGGCCGTGTTGGCCAGCGTGCGGAAGTTGTACGTGAGGACGTCATCCACGACTTCACTCTCCCTGTTCTGCCCATGGGGTGCAGCGTTCAGTCGGGGTCTTTTTCTTGCCCGGGTCCTGCGAAGAGACACAGATGCATTCCATTAATTCGGAAAATTGATGAAAATTGGAACATCAGTGATTTGTATTTCACGTCAAAACCTAATTTTATCCACAGAGGGGGAAATATCATACTTTCACCAGTTCAAGTTACTTTTTCGCAGGGTTCTTCGTGTGAAAACATGCAGCTTAATTTGTTGAGCCTATTCTCAGCGATCGATGCCATAGTGCATGATACTTACCTTCGCTTGGAAATCACTATACAGGTCACAACGCCTACAGCCAATAGTGCACATCCGCTGACGACTGATGCAATGATTATTACTGAAAAGAAAATGATCACACCAATTTATCCATGAATCACAATCAATAAATCAGTTAATCAATAGCAAGATGATAATAAATCACAGAACCAAAGATATTCAAGACAAATCCTGACATAGCAGATCTTCCTCAATCACATACACAAAGCTGAAAAGAGATAGACTCTATGTAGACCCTATTCCTCTATTAAAAGTACCTTAGACAAATTTATATTTCTAAGGAGGCCAGACAAACCTTCCATTGCGAATCATATCTGTCCCTTTGTTTCTACTATACCAAAAAATCAAGGAGAAGTTGAGTGTATTTATATGTGATGTATTTATCAACTTTGCATACATGTTAAAACACGTTTCGTTGCGACCTCAACTTAGCAGAAAAAAAATGCAATAAAGGCTTTCATTTATCTTCTATGGCAATCACTGTCCATAGCTATCCGGATAACTCACTGTTGTTGCCCGCTCCCTGGCCTTGTCCTTCGTACAGGTTGGGCTCTTCTGGCGGCTCAAGCTTGGATGTAGAATCTGTAGGCTCTGACGAGGCAGTTACAGTCTCCATGTGCGATGAACTGGTAAATGTGTGTGTCGGTGTCATCGTGGAGCCGGAGGTTTGGTAAAGGGTTTTCCGTCTTACTGTGGTGACTTGGTCGTGAATGGTCGATGCACGAGGAGTTGTTTCGGCAGTGGGTGGATGTGTTGTCTTGTGATGGGTCTGCTGTGTAGTAGATGTATCTGGGATAAAAGATGTTACGAATCGAATAAGTGGGATGGGAGTGATAGACGACGCGCTCAAGCCACATCCTTTAGATAAAGTTTTTGCTACTCATTCATCATCTTTCTATCTATCTACGATATATTTCAACATGTGAGCGCAAACTGCATTCGATGTTTAAGGCATGTGAATACTGTGTGCCACTTTCATATTGGTGTTTCCTTCTTAAAACTGCATAACCGACAAACCTGTAGATGTCTGCACGTCACACGTGTCGTGGTGCTCGGGACGGCACTCCGGTAGTTTACTCCAACTGCCGTTGTTTTTGCACGTGGCCGACTTTCGTTTCTTCCTACACTTCCGATAGCCCGCGTCACAGCTGAAGGTGAAGTTGACTTCTTCCCCCGGCTTGAACAGAGCCCTGTCCGGCTTGAGCTTTCTGTCTAATTCCAGAGACCCATTGGGAATGGTCGGTGCAGGGCAGCTGGCAAGCCCTAGGGGAAGAAAGTTTGTAAATGAAAGATAGCTCAGTTTGATATTTGTCATATACAAGTGCTTGTATACAGTATAATGAAAGGCAGTAGAACAGTTGTCAGTTTAGAGGATGAAATATCATTACCGATTACTGACCTTTGTAGAAAAGGGTGAACTGGCCTCCACCGCTTTTGGGGTCCGACCGAAAATACACCCGTACGCTGTTAGACGAACTGAGGAATCGTTTACCCTGGTTCACTTGCGAGATTCTGTCCCGCTTCAGGGGATATCCCATGTCCTGAACGTCCACGATATCGGTTGGGTAAGCAATATTGCGGTCTTTGAACCTGAGCTGGATGATTCTGTTCCCAGGAACGTTTATTTCCCACGTACAGTTGACTCCACCAGGATAAAGGCCGGGGGATCCGGGCGAATACAGGGTTCCTTCCAGTCCGTAGTGTTTGCCTCCACATCGGCCCATATTTACTGCAAAATGATAAAAAAAAGAATTCCTGTACTGTCCAGTAAGCACGGTAGTAAGCCCTGAGGACCTACGAAGTTTTTTGTTGTATTCGTATACGATATTGCACGCTTAATATGTACCCAAAACCACCCATACAGCAACCAACACATATGCATCGATATCGTTGCATAGAAGAAGTTAGTTGTGATAGGATTAAGAAAATATTGCATACTGCAAAACCTACCATCATAGATATCGATGCTAGTGTCGCCCCCGCAGTTCTGATTTTCGTTACCCTTGCAAGGCGACAAGCAGTCGTCAGCTTCCGATAGTCTCTGTTTTGCATAATAGGTACAATAGCACTTGTTTCCGTCTGTCAGTCCTGCGTAGTCTGGAATTTTCTTATTACGACAAAGCTTAAGACAGCGGTCGACTGTCATCGAGTCTTCGGCGGTTGGCGCTTCGCTTGCCAGCACGTCTGTCGGTGGTTTGTCAAGGCGAAAACATCCGATGTGGGCAGATTCTGGAAATATTTGTTACATCGTACGTAAGTCCTACTTATCCGATAATTAAGATTTGGAAAACACGAATATGTCATAGACGCCAACTTCAAGATGGTGTATCATATAAAGGAAGACGGTATGTGATCTTGAGACGGACCACCGGCGTGCCGGAAAAGGATATGGCTACATATTGGCTGAGTAGTAAGTCAGTATATAACCTATAACAATGCTTGCAAGCATTGGTACAATGTATAACAAGATCAGAACTATGGGGCGATCACATTCGTCGTAGGTCGACAAACGACTTTGATGGTAAACGTTTTCAAGATTGTGATAGAACCAACGGCCGACAAGAATCTATTAAAGGCAACCGTAACAAGACAGCTGAATTTTTCAGGACACACCATCACTATGTCAAGAATGTCCTCAGTTTGCAATCGTATTATACGACGATCTCACGACGCTTGTGACCTGGCCCTTACTTAACAATATTTTACAACGAACCTTTGCAGTGCTCGACCTCACACGGTACGTCCAGTCGGGATACCCTCCCCTGGATGTAGCACCACGGCTGGAGATCCCTTGGTCGGGGTGCCCGGCAGTAACTATGGTTACCGACAAACGGAAGTTCTGTCTCGTTCCACGGCAAACATGGCTGTCCGGATTTACTGATATCAAGGAGTCCCTCATATCTCACTCCCGACTTGCTTCTGGTGTAGCATTCTGCAAGAAAAATGAGAAACTTATTCATAGTCGCATAACACATGCCTGTTGTTGCATTTTTCAAAAATCGACTTGACTTAAACAAACGTCTAAACGCCTAAAAACGTCCCAAACAAGCCTGGCCTTTGCTTTGGAAATAGCGCACGATGGAGTAAGTGGCCAATAATTTACCCCCCCCCCATCCTCTGGAACCTCAAAGTTGTGTCCTGCACCTATATCTGTCTAATGCTCGCTTGTAGTATTATAATATTTCTTCATGATATACTAGTATACGGAACACGGGCCTCAATTTGATAACGACTGCATCAATATCATTATTGTACAGTACATAAATAGGCAAATTTATCTCACATCAATCATACTTAAGTTTGCCCCAAAAAACACAAGCAAGAAAATTTAGTTTCGGAAAAATCAGTACACTTGTACAAGCCTAACACATTTTGAGCCTTGAGATTGGATAGGCAACAAGCCTGTATCCTATGTAACTTCCAGTTGATGAACAAGCGGGCAAAGATAACGGTTGCTCACCTTTCGTATTTTGCTGTTGGCATTTTCCGGCGCTGAACATCCACAACAAGCAAAGAGACATCCAAACGTGGGTAGATGCCATGACCGCGGTTTAACGATTGACGCGTGCACTAATTCAATATCTCAACACACGAAATAATTCCTCCTAGAACTGCGGCGGAAGGAAACGGGCGTTACTGATGTGAGAAAACCGCCGGAAATGACCTTGTTGCTCTTCCTGTCGGTCTGGCACTGATAAGGTGTATGGCCCCCAAAGATAATCGTTATGAATAGCTGACGTTGCGCATTGCCGAGTAATGCTCTCATAGCTAAGGGACTTTGCCCGGTTAGGGTACAACTGAAACAAGATGAAACCAAACCAGACAAACCTCAACGAGCACGCAAAAAAACAAGCAAGCAAACAAACAAACAAACAAACAAACTAGAGAGGCCGACATTTGCTTGGGAGCAAATACAGCATATTTCAGTCCATCTCCCTCCCACGCAAAAGTGGACTATTCCAAACTTACCCCAGTGTAAAACTGGCAAAGATTTTCAAATAAATGAATTATATAGTAGCTATGTAATTGAGAACAAAGATGCAAGAACAAGCACATTGAATCTCGAAAGCTTTACTAATCTTATTACAGGTATGCAAATACTAACAATGATGAGATTTGATACATTTTGAAGGTCGTAGGCACATAAAATTGAATGTGTGGGTCATTATGCACGACTTACGTGCAATGTGACCCCAGGTAACCCGCAATGGAACACGTGTTCCATGGATGGAACAGGCCATTCTTTAGATAGAACATGGAACGGGTATAGCACTTTTGGCCCTTTTTTTGCTGAAAATAGCCAAATGAGTCATTTGGAAGTGGTGTATGCCAAATATGTGACTGCTATTCTGTAGACACATGTTCAAGGTACCCTTATACCGAATTTCAGATCATTCGGTTGTAAAACCAGGGCTCAGGATCCAAAAATCCATTTTTTGGCGAAAAATGCCCCAAAAAACCTTCATAAAAAATTGTCAAAGGCATGTATCAAAAAAATGAAAAAAACTCCTGGGGGTATTGGCCCACTCTACCTCCATGCCAAATTTCAAGTCATTTGGCTGAATGATGGCGGAGTTGAATCCCTTTGACTGTTTGGCAGGAGAAGGAGGAGGAGAAGAAACATGAGGGAACACAATATATTTCATCCATACCATGGTATGGACTGAAATATAACAAACAAACAAACAAACAAACAAACAAACAAACGATTCGATAAACTTTTCTACTTAAGTAAATGCCTGAAGAATAGAATATATAGCCCAACAAAGTCGATTAGTTCGTTCTAAACTTTATTGCGTATAAACGTTCCTATCTTTGTAAGAAACAAATACTACAAACTGCTGACAAGGAGCCCGTACTGTTGTGTTCTGCTGGAAAGTTCAGGGTTGTATTAAAACGTTAGTTTTTGTAATTTTACGAATGTGATTCCTAGCAAAAGTAGTTCAAGAAACTTCAAGATAAGAGAAATTTGCAAAAGACACGTCTTGAACAGGATAGCATTGCAATTCCATGACAGAGGCTACATAAATCTTCTCACATATAGTTTTCTCGTTACTTGGAGTACGTTTCAGACAATACGAGGGCTGGTTACACTTGAAGCAGGAGCGATGTGTTACAGTTCGTGCATATCTACAGTTTCTGGAAGTGGAGGAGTACGAAACGTAAAGTTCTCCATCTTTGGTCACAATTCTCCCAGCACAGCATCCTTACCAGTCTGCACATCGTCTTCATCATTAGTGTTGCTAAAACAAATATTAACAAGAAATCAGAGATTTCAGACTTCCCGGAAGTGTGCAATCTTCGGCTTCCTGAATTCCCCCATGTAAACATCTAATTCCTGCTGCCTCCTGTGCAGATCCTGGGACCTTTAACCTCTCCTGTCATTCTTCGTGTTAATTTTCCCCTACCCACGTGCTGTCAACTTACTCTGTCCGGACAGGTACACAAACTTACCACTCAGCCACCCAAAACAATACTTCAAAGTAACTTTCATATATCCATAAAGAGTAACCATAAGGCAAGTAATAATACTTTTACGTTACACAACCATTTGTAACAGACTATATCTGTGTGAACAACCCAGGCTTGTTGGCGTGAAAGACGTGGCAGAAGTATATCTATGTACACGTTTGAAGTGTCGTTTTGTTTACCTCACCTTTCCTCGCCGAAGTCCTTCAGAGGAACGTTGACTTCGGCGTCTGCGTTCTCTGCTTGTCCATTCTCAAGGCTTGCTTGTCTGGCTCTAATTGTAATGAAGTAACGTATGATAACATTGTACAACATGGCAGTGGGACCAGATCACATCATTTGTACGTTAGAATATACCTACAGCTATACAAATCACTGTGCAAAAACAATCGGTGAACTGCAGAAACATGCGAGTATACATTACTTATAACTTCTTATTGTCAAACACCTGAAAGTGTACATGGCGTTTTGTTGCTTTCTGCCCTTTATGGGCTTGTATGCATGCAATACGTATAAAAACATCATAATGATTTCCTCTGATGGGAAACATATTGTTTCCTTTGGCGTGTCCTGCTTCTGCTAGAGACGAAACATTAAAACCTGACATGCTAAAAAGATACTGCTAAAAAGATACTGCTGCCAATCCGCCCTTTTGAAAACAACAATATGGCTGCCGTATTACCAGAAATCCGAACTAAGCGAGAGCTGCAGTTTGGTGACATCTCGCCAGAAGGTGTGTGCGTGGTGGGGCACCACTGAACGGAACCCACAAATGTATTCGGGACATACATTCTGCACCCTGCAGAGTTAGCAATCTTCACCGGGTCCAACTATATTTTCCGTCGATCCAAAGGAAACTGTACCTTTTAGCAGCTAACACGGCACAAGAGATGTAGATAAGTAAACCGATGACGAGTATGAGAACGATGGCCACCACCACCCCGATCACCACAGCTAAGGTTAAACATGCAGAGAAAACGAAATCAGAACAACATCAAAATCAAATGGAACATTCAAAATGAAAATGCAGAAAAGCATCCAATAGTCAATTCATCCTGCTTAACTAACGGAGCAACTTTCCAGACACAACTGTAAGGGCAGTTAATAAAAAACGTAATTAAAGACCTACTCAACATTACAAAATGATTACATGTTATCTATATATTTATGAGCCCTAGAAATTGATCTTACTGCTTGTAGCGTCCTCTGCTTCTTGAGAACTTCCTGAAGACGAGTCGGGTTTTGAGTGCTCGGCAGACTGAGTGGTCCGTAGCTCTGTTGTGTGGTGTCTCTCCGTGGTGCTGAACGGCCTGCTAGTAGTACTACGAGCACTGGAGGTTCTTATAGATTCTGGAAGTGTTTTGATATCTGTTACTTATCCATGTGAGATATGTATATGTGTCTGCTTGCACATATATTCAGTCACCTTAAGTTGATAACGGACAGTAGTCAAAGGAGAAAAAGATAACTTTAGATTGACGTTGCAGGATGTTTTTGTGTGTCTGTGAGCGCGCGCGCGCGCGTGTGTGTTAGTGCGACTTTTTCGCACATGCATTTTCGCACTTTAAAATTGTTAAAAGAATTTGCACCGCATACCTGTGGTAGTAGCAATAAACGTGCTTGTCTTTGCTGGTCCTTGTGTTCTCGGACGAGGCCGCTTCACTGTTGTCTGTGGTACTTCGGTGGTTCCCTGGTCCCTTGTGCTTGTGGTAGATACCTGGCTACTGTCCGTTGATAAATGATGAGATGTCGTTGAGACTATGGACGCATCCGTGGTCTTGTTGTTGCTGAAAGCTAATAAGGAATGTAGCACACTGATCAGTCTTCACACCTAGGTAAGTAAAGCCGACAGGCAAATAGGGAACAGTTTCTTTTGTTAATACACGTTGACTACAACATAGGTGTCTAGTCTAATTTCCTGTACGGCCTGTTACCTTGAAACTTGTCAATTGATATAAATATTGCCGTGTAAGATACTTACATACAGGAGTTGGTAATGTGGAGTTCTCAGAAAGACACTCAGGCAGGTTCTTGAAGGTTCCATCGTCCTCACACATCACCTTAGCCGGCCCAAACACCCTGAAGCCGGGGTCGCACTCAACGGTCGCGAATTGTCCGGGCAGGAAGGAATCCGCGTCCGCTTTCCCGTTCAGAATGTCCGGTTTGGGGCACTTCTTAACGGCTGATAGAGCAAACAAACAAACAAACAAAGAAAAACAGTGAGAAAATTTTGTACAATATGGTCAGTAAAGAGATCTTTGATATGAACTCTGGCGGAATGAAAGGAATAGACAGTTAACGAAGCTTCTTGAGTAACGCTATAGTCTACTCGCTGAAATGTATGGAGACCATCGGCGAACCTTACTCTGTGTTTGAGCTAACTGAGAACACACTGAGCTCTGTTTCAGGGACTAGACGTCCTCGTAACACAAACTAACCTTCGAAGACCAGGCTGAACCCCGGACCGTTCTTCGCGCTGTCGGCGACGAAGTGAAGCCCGGCGTGGTTGGAGTCCACCACGTAGCCGTTTTTGCTGGGGGTCAGTAAGACCCTCCTCCGTGTGCTGTTGTCCCACACCGCTACATAATCCTCGCTGTCTGCGATGTCGTACATTGCAAAGTGTAACCTGACAAAACAAAAAAGGTCACACGAACAGATATTTTATTACGGCAGAAGTGAGTAGTTGGTGAGGAAGACACCAAGTGTAAAATATGTAACGCATGCGCGCTGTAATTCCAATGGGTAAAGCGCAACATGACCAAAAGACACGTTCATCAGCATCGTTCAACTTCAAGTATCTCAAACAGAATATCTTCCCCACTAAACCATGTTGTCACAGAGCAACGTACTGTTCACCTGAGCACGTGGTTCTCTGGGCCCATGATCGACCAGGAGCAGATCTCGCCGTTCGGGTAGTCACTGGGGAAGTTTGGCGAGTGGATGGTGCCGTATACCCCGTACCTCCACCCGCCACACTGGCCCATCCGCGCTGGGGACAGACAAACAGGTCGTTGAGTTGTTTACTCACTGTGACAGGAACTCGCGCACGCACACACTCACTCACGCACACGCGTACATACAATACATCCTGGAAACTGGCCAGGTAAATGTCATAGCCATTGGGTCCACGTATACGGGCAATGAGCATTACATTTCTACTTGCTTTTCCTTTTATTGTCATTGTCATTTATTTCTATTTCTATTGATCTCTTTCATTCATTACATATGTACATTTTAGATGATACCTGCTGTAGTCGGAAAGAAACAGTCTAATAAGAAACTATAAAAAAAAAACTTACTGTCAAACAAGGCAGTGCTGTTGGTTCCTCCGCAGAAATGTCGCGAGTCCCCGGCGCATTTCTTATTACAGTCGGTAACTTCGGGTAGACTCCGGAACACGTCCCTCGGCCCCGCTATACAGATGCACTGGTTTCCGTTCCGGAATCCGGCGTACTGTGTGCCGTGGTCCCGACAGTACGTGACGCAGTGCGCTATGGTGAGTTGAGAGAAGTAGGCGGTTCGGACCACGTTCCACAGGAGCGGCGCGGTCTCGGTTTCAGTGACACAACCCAGGTATCCTGGAACTGAGCGGGACCAACCGGAAAGTCATTTTGCTTATTGAGATACATGTACTATGGTCCTAATTATGACCCTACTTGTCGCGGTAATCAGTGGTGTGTGAGTTGAATCTAGTTTCGTTCAAGCCCTGGTCACATACATCTCACAATGCACCCACGAAATGCTTAGATATGAAAGTGCCTGAATAAAGCATAAATACAGAGTATCGTACCTTTACAGTTGGGAATGAGGCACTGTTTGTGGCTGGCAGGTGTTTTTCCGGTGTAACACCAGGGTGAGGGACGTCCTTCCGGCCAGGGGTTGCGGCAGTAGTTGTGATCGCCCAGGCCGCTTCTGTCGTCAGGGTGCGCTTTGGTGTTGAACCGCTTTCCGCCACTGGGGAAAGACACACCGTACCAATCATTGGCCTATTTACGTATGATATATAGTAGGAAACCTTTTATAGAAAACTTGCAGTTTAGTCTGTGATATTTACCAAGTTTTCACATTGAAATTAGGCCTCAAAGTGACCGTAGGTAATGATAATAATGGATATGATTATGACACAAGCCAGTTATCTATTCGATATTGATAATAATAAACTTATAATAATAAACGAATCTTTTAAGAATATTCGAACCACTCAACAGATAATGCTAGCTAGAATCATATGCCACCATTGCGGACTTGTGAAAGTTTATTTAGATAAAATGCACGAAAGGAACAAAAGACATTTCTTCTACCAATGACATTATACACAGTGTATAATGTCCTTGCTTCTACCTATATCATTAGAGTTCTATGTACCTCTCGTCTGTCCAGGACACGCATTCTTCCGTTGAAGACTCGTTACTGGACGGTTTGGACTGTGTTCCTCTGTAGTCCGACCCCGTTACGGTATAGCATTCTGTGTTCAAACGATAGATAGAGGCAGATACACGAGAATGATAGGGTAGCACATTGGGGCAGGGGCACAAAGGACCACTTTGTGTCATTTTAGAAATGGCGTCATAGAGTATCCACATCTATAGAATCAAAGAAAGATGTAAAACAAACCTTTAACAAGTCTCTATAACTAAATAAAAACATAACCTTGCTATTAGCCAGGCATTCTCCTTAGGGCATGGTCACATACGTTGTGCGATCAAACCGATGACATCAATATCCTCATATGAATGTACCCGCTATACCGGCTATATTGATACAGATGCCCTGCAAAATTTTGTTATCTTAAATCCTTGTCGGTGGTTACTAGCTAGTAATTCTGTCTCAGCCAACTGTCTCAGCCTTCCTGAAAATTCCATGACATCAAAATCGCACGACGACGTCGTAGACCTACGATGAATGTGATTGGTCGCGCCGTTCCACCACCCACCTGTACAGTGTTCCACGTCACAGCGCGCCTGGATGAGGTTGCCCGTGTCGGCCCGGACGAAGCACCAGGGCTGGAGGTCGCCTGCCCGCGGCGCCCGGCAGTAGTTGTGCGTCCGTCCATCCTGACTGCTCCAGGCCTGACAGGGCTGCCCGAAGTCCGCCACGTTATTTATTCCTTCATAGACAATCCGGCCATCAACCCTTGTGTAACAATCTGGGGAAAATGGAACGATGGATAGATAGTGATACAGTTCACCTCCACCCCACCATCGCAACCACGTACAGGACAAACAGACCACCACATGTACTACCCTCAATGCGTGCGCCGAAGACCCACGTCTTAACCGTGACCTGGCTTTGACCCTCCCAATTATTATGTTTGCAATCCTCTTTCCTTCATCGATATGTTGTACTGGCCTCTATGGCATATATATATATATAATATATATATATACAACCACTGCCATAATGTCATGCATAGCTATCCGCATCTTAATTTATAAAACGGCGAATAACCCACCCCTTTAAGCTTTGCATATGACATCACTCCTAACTCGACTCAATAGTTCTATATCGGTCTGCTACTTTCCTACATTCTTCTAAACGCTATAACAAATACATTGACGTACGCATCGTTTCCTAGATAAACACTGCACTGCACGTATGTAGAGTCATACCTTTGATGCTGAAGACCACCGTTACGAAATGGCCGAACAAAAACACGACAAGAGCGGCGCTCCCTCCGAACTCTCCTGGCCCCATTCTGACTACCACCAATATCGTTCAGCTTACATGTGGAGAACTTTCTTTTGAAGATCTCGTCTTTAGATGTCGGCCGCGCAGAAGAAAACGACAACAGGAAATTTGGTCACCCCACTGTGCAATATCTATATGAACCACTGCAAAGTCGGGCGGGACTTGATAACAAAGATAGTTCTCTCTTATAATCTGATGAGAATGTTGGATAAAACTCAATTATGTGGTAAATATGTATCTGAAGACCATAAGTATTGTCACATTGCTATGTGAGTCTGTTGATACTCAACGTCAGTTTAAAGTGCAGGATTTTTAAAGGTTCTAAAATAGTTGTTGACAACTAAGTAAAACAATGGCATTGCCTCTGAACTAGTCAACTTCTTAAGAACAACGCTCCTAGCGACGATGATGGTAGTTACAAGTAAGTAAGCGAGCGCACTCAGCAACGGTCTGTGTATTTGTTCTAGTCTATTCTAACGCAAACTGGTTATATGTAGTCATCTCCACTAGTAAGCCTCTTGTCTTTGAGGGTTTCTCTTATTCCAACCCTAGCTGAGACAAACGGTCCTTCCCGACCGAGGTCAACCGCAAATCCTTTATCAAGAGACCCGCTCTTCCGTTCCAGGTCGGGCATCCAGATCCGGCCTTTTCTGGGGCTGGGAGATTAGTGCGGTGACGTAACTTTCCGGACTGCAGTTTTCCACGTGATGAGGACATAGAAAAAACGAGGGGGAAGAAAACTACTCTCCAAGCAGAGGTTGATGGGGGAAGATCGTTAGCTGTTTATATGAGGTCCGTTTTTTTCTACAAACGGACCATATATAAAAGCTAACGATCTTCTCCCATCAACATCTGCTTGAAGTCTGAAGAGTAGAAGAAAATTCCACTGAGAACAACATGACAGACGCTTATAAGGGCCCTGAAACCCTGCCCAAATCTGTCACCCGCCCTTGCACAGCATCTTTTTACATTCATAGCATCTTTTCAATTGGTGTGATGTGCCAATACGGATATTGTATACTGAGTAGACAATATCCAAGCAGAGTTATGGTTTCGGATGCCTTTTCGTACGCGTTCTGTCACGTCTGTTGCGTAACGCGCAAAGTCTAGAGAAAACCACTTGAGAGATACACAAAACGAGAATTCCTGAAGGGGAAAGTTTCCACAGCTGTTTAAAAGGTTTTGCGTTTATATATCACACAAAAGTATGCCAAATTGCCAGTGATGCTTACTACATCGACTCGGAAAGTGTTGCACTATATCCTGTCAGCGGTACTTTCCCGCCATTTTTTAACCTCTCAACTTTGCACGAGAATGCCAGACGTCCATTGACTACCCTGGGCACGAGATCGTGACCGTTGCTGCAGAGGACATTAATTACAATGTATTGATCCGCACCCGAAGAACAAAAAATGGTCTATTTCTTAGATTTTAATGCCACCAAATACTACTCACGAGGTACAAGATTGAATTAAAATGACAAAATATTATTGTCAGAACAGTGTTGGTGAGTAATGACGGGAAACATTCAAATGTTTTGGGTTTATTTTGTGCGGATGGTTATACCATCCCGGCCCTTTCTCCCAAACAAATAGTAAACAGCACTGTCCCAGGTCGGGTCGAACAAGCCGAAAGTCATCCGTTTGTCTGGTGGGCAGAATTGTAAAATCTAGACTTTCAGCTTGTCTTAGGTCTCCAAGGCCAGCTTTAGGAGTATCTTAGAGCTGCGGAGACTTTGTTGGCCTCCTTTAGGGGACAGACGTCCTTTTTTGGCGGGCCCGGTTTGGAATCTTGGGTAGCGCCGTACGAGCGGTCAGCGGTGTCTGCCCCTCCACTCTGCGCTATTTGAGGCATCGCAGTCAAATCGATCTACAGACTGCATTTTCGGTGAGAATACCTCAGTTTATTAACGTGTATTTGAAAATGAGTGTTCAAGACTCTATAACATTATCTGGTAGATCCCATTTTTACAGATGTACACTTATTCTCTGCGAGCTTCTAGTGTATGTCCTGTCAAGGTCTTTGATATTTTCATCCACCATAATTTTTGGGTGCGAATGCGGAAGTACAACTGCCCATCTGAACTCCACATGGTCGATTTTGGTCAGGAGATGAAATGATTAATGTTCTTAATGCAGTACAGCGTAGATGTCGGTCGATGTTTGTCGTTTTTTATCGATATTTTGCTGGAAATTTATGTCGCGGTACCGTCCCCTCCCACCTAACGGAACGTGGAACGTACGTAGGGAAGTGAGGCCGGTTTGTAACAGTTCCTTTTACTTCTTCGCTGTGTTTTTTTCCCCTTATCAAACTTCCGTTATTTCACCTCTATTATGACTATTTGAATCGATGCTTGGATTCTGTCTGCATTGTGACGTAAAATATGTGGCATAGTGTAGAAAAATCACGTGGGTTGTCGATCAAGCCGGCCGGCACGGCTAGCTGACGTGGGAATTTTTAGTATCTGCCTTTCTAGAAGTCACTAGAGAACATCGTCATATTTGGCCATCGCGCCCATACCTGGGCACCCACAGGGTTCCAAAACGAAAATCCATAGAGATAAGAAGTTTTCTTCGATGTTACTTTGCTAATTGCACGATTTGATATTATTGTCATGCAAATGACACGTACCTCACACGTGAGGGTACACATGTACTTGTGACCACCCAGCAAATTTGCATACCCTTTCTTTTTTAACAACCTGTCCCAAATCTACTTATGATCATCAGCTGCACATCCTTTTTCAGGATAATTTCAGATGTTGTCTTAAACTTGTAAATGTTGAAACTTCTCTGGCTTTTAAAACATCTATTCAATAGAATATTAGTTCATGTACATGTAATTGTTCAATCAAAGTGAAACATGTAGCAGTAGACTTTATAGATTGTTTGGCAATCTTACAACCTCATCTAATGTGTTTCACTAAACAAGGAATCTTCGAAATTCTAGCTGGGCTTTTAGTAGTTAACTGAAAGCAATGCCGGATGCATGTCTGAATGTTGTAAGAGTAGGAGAAACAACGTGAAGGAGGCTTGCATTATTTGTAATGACCCCTCCCACTGCCGCACCTTGTTATTTGCATACCTTGTTTTTAGCCGAGGTAATTATTGCCAGACTGGTCTAGACTGGTTATACAGAATCTTATGAATATGGCATGATGCCATGACTTGGCCTCAAACTCAGCGTCTCCAGGGCCAGAATTGTAAGCAAATGAAACATGATATTTGAAATCATATTCTCTTCAAAAATTGTATCCTCTTCACAAATGGGCAAGGAACATACATGTACTAGAGACACATTAGCTAACTATGATCTTTGCAGCCATTAGTAATAGGATCAAGCATGACAAAGATCTGAAAGATATCAAAGGATCTGGGGGTATATTGTAGTTTTTTAACAGCTGAGGGATCGATGAAAGATGCCAAGTACAATGATTTGGTAAGGTGGTATCGTTTGCTAAGTCTCCTTTCAAGTTTGTGAATTGATACTACTTCTAGCAAAATTCTGGCATACCTGGGCCTTAGAAGTAAATGTGTTTGCTAAAATGATAGGTATGCCAAATCTGCATATTGGATTGTGCATTATTTAAGCTGATTGCATTGTTACTATTGCACGTTATTCTATTATGTCCTCCTCTGGAATTATTCCTACTGGTTGCCTGTGAGTATTCATCACCTTGAAGACCTTGATAACACAGTGTAATATGTACAGAACTGTTCAACAACGGTGTCTTGCTTGTTGGTATCACCTGCAGATGATGGCTGTAACATCATGAATATTCAACAGGCTGGTGTACAATCAGTTGTTCCTCTTGCATCAGCTGCTGACTTGTCATCAGTAAATGGGCAGTGTGCAATCAATGGCATTAGAGATGAAATATGCATGCTTGGGTGGACCTATCCCTGCAGACTGGGGATTTGGGAGGAACTGTGGAACTGTAGGAGGAACTGTATGGAGATATAGGACATGGAGATATAGGACAACTTGAAGAAGAAAAGGGGCTTCTTCGAACCCCGTCAATTGAGTTACTTTTTACAGATGGGCACCTGTAAATGCTTTTGTGTATGTTTTCCCAGTTTTCCCCATAAGATGTATTGTATGTAGGATATGAGTATGACCGCTTCATGAGTAGAACACTTCTCACAAAGATTTGTAGAGTTTTGATTTGTCCACATGAATGTTTTGTTGCCATGTTTGCTTGTGTTGTTTGTACATGATAAGGAAAATGCACTTCTCATACATAAACAGTGGTCAAGCAGTCTCATGGGGGTCAAAGCTCCCATGCTGCCCTTAGTGACCAGCTGCTGCCAACCATTTATCTGTCCAATGAGGTTCTATTGAATGATAGAACCTTCTTGATCTTGTAACCAGTGTTACAAACTGAAAACTCTATCTGTTACTGTCCTATATTAGCTGCTTATTGGATCAAATCATGGTGATGATATAAAGGCTTAGCACAAAGTAACCTGAAGTGGTGGTTGTTACATGGTGCTATCTTGTCAACAGGAGGGCTTAAGTCTGTAATGAGGCATGAAGGTGACATTTCCACCCACCTGTCTTATGTAAACAGTGGATATAAAGGTCCACCTGTGCACCAGCAATATGAAAATTATCTGTTAGCCCATTGTTGTCACTGTAGGATCAGCTGGAGGCTCACTTAACTTGTCGATATGGGGTAAAGAAATGTACACTGAACTATGGGAGGTAGAAATAAGGATGTATATTTGTCATATTCAGGAAATGGCCAGTCTTTGTATGGGATATTTGTTAATTACAATAGGAATCTTGTGACTTCATAGCAGTAGTTTGGTACTAAATAGAAAGAGTTCAAATGGTACAGTAGTTATTTGTTATGCTATCTGAATAATTGTCGTGTTGATTGATCTGAAACACAGAGAAATTCAATTACGTTATAATCTTTATCTAATATTGTGTCGTCTTCTTTTTGCCGTTCTTGCACAGGTGACTGAGCAGCGCTGAACCCACCACCTGCTCCACCGAAGCTGTGCCACCGAAGCTGTGCTAAATATAGTCCTCACCTCACCCAAGTAAATATTGAGTTGGGGAGGGCTATATCTCACAAGCTTGCATCAGTCAGTATTAGTATCACAGATATTCATGTTAGCATTGTCCAGTATGGATGTCAACATCATTGCCATGTGGTTCGCTACTAGTCTATCTCTTTAGAAACCCATAAATTTGTTCCTGTTGTGGAAAGTAGCAACCTTTCTGTCACCATGGCTGTGCCGATGCTGGCTTAAGGGAAAGGTGGTGTGGTGTGAGGGTAGGGTGCTTTGAGCCGTTTGGGTGGCCGGGCGGTGCGGAGACCAATGAAAACCATGGTCCTGCCGGCCTTGACGGCCCTGAAGACGAGCGGTGTGCAGTCCTGGCTGGGGCAGGAGCTGGAGATGCGCGGGATCGATGCCATGATCTACACGCGCTACATTCTCAGCATCCTGCTCCAGGAGGATGTGGACGAGATGGCCGAGGTGGACGTCGACGGGGGCACCGGCTTCGGGCGCAAGATGGGGTACGTGAAGGTCAAGGGCAAGAAGAAGGGGCGCGTGGACAAGGAAGAGCTGAAGAAAACAGCAGCTGTCCAGTGTCTGCAGTCTGTGTCTGATCAGGTGAGAGAAGTACAGTTGTATTCATACTTGGACATGATAACACTGCGTTCTAGATAAGAATGCATGATGTGTTGTAGGCAGAATTTGTATGCATGTACAAGTCAAACAGTCATTGTAGAATGAATCTTTGTTAAATGTTTCCAGATCTGCTAAGAATTCATTTTTTTGCAGCAACTCAGATGTGCAGCAGGTCAAAGTTCAATTATGTACATGTAAATGTGCCCAAATATATTAATGTGTACCATGACGCTGTTGACACATAATGTGTGTGTATACGTGTCGAGATGGTTTATGCAGGTCAATGACATGGTTACCTCTGACACTACCCAGAACTGCTGTTTACTACACTCAGCAAGGACAGCCCAGGTGTCTGGTTTCAGCAATGTCTGGTTTCACCTAGTCATAAACTACCAAGTATTTTTCAATTACAGGCATTCCTGGCTTTGTAGCCTTTGATATATAAAACTACATTAATCATTTATTGAAACAAATTGGTTAGTTGGGCATTAGTCTAAAATGTGTTTTATGGTAGGAGAATCCATGTTAGGTTTCTACAACGTATGCTCCTGTCTTGATACTGGGTGTGTTATTATATTCAGAAGTATTGATCTTGTTGGGCAGTGCAGGGACAGATGCAGTCATGTGTTCAATAACGTGCATGAGTCATGTGAGATGAATGCTGGTCAATAGTTGGGGCCCCGTGACATGCCAATAGTGTGCATTTAGTGTGCGGTATGACTTGCAAATTGTCTGGAACTGAAGCAAAAGTGGAAGTGTTCCTGTGTGTTGATGAACACATTTTCTATGTAGAATTAAAAATGCAATCTGTTAATTATTAACAGTTCAACAGATATGCCAAATGTGCTAAATTTTCTACACAAATTGGAAAGTCATCAGTATTGAAAGGTGATTCTGCCACAGGTGAGGTGAAAAGGAATTAAAAGAAATGTTATGTCTGGATAGTTTTGGCAGAAAAAAACTGAAAACTTTGAAAACTATGATTCGAGTATGAAGAATTGTTGAAAGAGAAGACAGACATTTGCAAAGACATTTGAATGAAAAATGTTATTCTTCTTCCCCTACCATCCCTTCTGGTCCAACTTTTGTAATCAGTTTGGACTGACTGTGAGTGTCTGTCCCAGATGTACATTGTACAGACCTCTGACCCAGATAAACTAGTATAGACCAGAGAAACAACATGTGCCCCAAGTCTGTATATACCTGGTCACCAGGTATATACAGACTTAGGGCACATGTTGTTTCTCAACTTTCTGTACATGAAACTGTACAGTGACAACATTTGATTCAACAGTTTGAGTATTGACGGGGTTTGTCAGAGCTTTATTCGTTTACAAGACTTATGCCGTTGCTAAATCTTCAAATTTAATTTTATGACATTTATACTCCACATGTATTGAAAGGAAAGATTCAAGTTTAACTTCATAAACATTAAAAATCAACTGTTCAGTATTATCTACAGATAATTGCAATATAAAAGCTACATTGTGAGAAACGGTATCTGTCCAAAGCAGCTCCAGGGTATTGCATCATACAGGTCCCTCCCAGAAAGGGGACGGCAACATTGGCAGGCATGGACACCTAATCACGAAAAGCTCCCCCTAGTGCATAGTAGTGGAACTGTACCATTATTTATTCATCAAAAACTGTTGATTAATTGATTTGATACCGCCTGATAAATTGTTCACTAATCCACGTTATATATGCTCTTCAGTCAGTGTCCAAATTCTGGTACACTGATGATTTTTGTGACTTCTGGTTTACATAAATTTGCCCGTGTTTCTGTGCTGGGGCCTCTCCTGGGTTTTACCCCAATGTCTGTAACATTCCATTTGTCCTTTCCTTGACCCTGACCTCAGCTGTAATCTGTAATGTGTGGCCGGCTGGTTTCTTGGTAACTTGGTGTCGAATTTTGACACTCTCAGGGACAGACTAGAAGGTTGTTAATATAGAGACAGCTTTTAAACTAAAAGAATTTACCATAACTCACCTTAAATTTCACAATAATAAATGATTTTTTAGGGAAGTTTTATTGAAAATTGACAAAATATACGTTCTGTGGACCAAATCCAGGTTTGCATGACCTGGCCTTGAGCCTGAATCTTGCAAAAAAGAGAGGATCCCTATCTTGTTGACCCTAAGTTTTCAGTACCTTAATTTGAAGCGACGTTAATTTTCCTAGGCCTAACCAAAAGAATTTTAAAATTTGAATGAAATTGTATTTTAGACCAAGGCAATTATAAATAAATAATAGTTGAGTCTCGGTAAAGCATGATGCATGGCTATTGTGAGGAAAATCATCTTTCAAATTCAGGAAATACTATGATTATGCCACTGTTATAAGCACACTTATTTTCATGCTTATCTGAGTCTCTATCATATCAAGATGTCACCTTATTCGTATCAAGGCGTCATGATAATAGTTATGTTTCGTAACAAGTTTTTCCCCCCATGACTATCTCAGGTGGGTGACATTGAAATTCAGTGTCTCACAGTCCCATTGATTTTAAGATGGGATGGCTGCCCTGTACCTGGGTTTATGGCCCAGAGTTTCCATTTGCAGTTCAAGGGAGTGCACGCACTATAAATCCCTGAGAGCCAGACAACCTTGAGTAAGGTCATACATGTAGTTGGTCCTTGTTTAGGCCAAGAGCAGCCCTGTTGACCTTGGGCAAGTGAGAGGACAGACTTGTTGGGTTTGAAGACTGATATCTTGATCCTGTATGTACATAAAGGCTTGCCAGGAGAGTCACCAACATCCAAGAATTCAGATGTTGTTAATTGGTCCTCTGAATAACCATGCATTGATGTGAAATTTGGTCGTATATCTGGAGCTCTTACGATGTTGAAGAGTGGAGGTTAGTTATCTTACCTTGAACATACACAAGTGTGCTTCTGTCTGCAGTTTGTAGGAACATGTTCAATATAGCACACCTGGCTACACTAGCCTGGTTACCAGACCTATTTTAGCTCCCGAGTCCTACATCCTCTCCACTATTTGCCGATGTAGGACACAGTAGCTAAAATACATGAAGGTTTGGTAACCAGGCTGGCTTACATGTAGTACACTTGAACAATCAAGCAACACTGGGATGACATGGCTCAAAAAATGATCATTATATCCTGGAACCTATACTATAGCCTACAACTTATATTATAATAAATCAATCAATAAATACGTCCTGTTCTGTTGCAGGAATTGGAATTTTGATACAACCATTGTATTTATACATACAATGTGATGAGTGCCATGATCATTGTTCATCCTGTACATACAGTGTATGTAGAAAATGTCAAGTCAACATACATATACATGTACATGTAAAGGTTCACCATACATATACAATCATGTAAATGTTGTCATGATCTTAAAGAATGTCATTTTGTTTGAGGCACAAAACATATCAGACATGCCTGTACATACAGCAGTGATCAATTCCAGCATCCTTTCCCTGCACTTTCTTGCTTTTATTACCAAATACAGGTGCAAGTATGCTTGTATCATAATGTTTTATGTACTTGGCAGTATTTTAATGGTTCACACATTGTAACTATATCCCTGCCAAGTACCTTTAACTGATATCATATCTACTCATCCATATAAGGACTGATGTCGTGCATTGACAACTGTAGAGCAAAGCTATTTTATGTCCCACCTGATTTATAAGACACTTGGTTGCCAATTTGATGTTACAATTGCTTTAGATAGTCATACTGAATCTTAATGCAAGCTGAGAGCTTTTCCATATTTGGTATTGTCTACGTAAGACTCTCTCACACCCACTCAGTTAGGAATACTGTATTCTCCTGTGCACAATCTCCACCTGTAAGGATTTCATACATGAGCCAGGTCGGTTTCCTACGTCACTGCCGTCTGAGCTGGTTATAAAGTGGTGGTTTCTTGGCATCATCTCCATACAGCCCAGACTGTAAGGCACACCGCAGATCAGTAGCCTGACTCCTGTTGCATTTGAAACAGCCAACTGTCTGAGTTTGAAACTCAGTCAGGAGAACGATCTCGATCAAGATTTCCTTGGTAGGTATTGCGCGAATGGTAGGTAAAATAATCTAATGTTGTATACGACAACCAAGACTAGTCAAGATATAAGTGTTGATTACTTTGTATATTTTGTGTATGTTATGTTCCATGTTCCTCGTATCAGTCAGGTGAACACATTTGTATGAAGCCATATGTTCTTCCTTTGTTGCACTTTTTGTGGACCTGATACAGGGTAGTGACAACAGAGAACTATTACAAACTCCGTTGAAATATGTGTTATGAACTTTCAGAAATGTTAAGATACCAGTAGTTGAATGAAATGATGGCCCTTTCTCTAGCAGCAGTGCACCTGACACCAATCGAGTGATTTATCTTGTCAGCTATTTGTTGAAATGATGATGTAAGCTGAGCTGGTAGGTGCGAGTCCTGCAGACTAGTTCAAAACAGTTCTGAATTAGAGGCAGCTGCAGTGGCAGGAATATATAATGACTAACAGAAACAGTAGTTACATTCCTGCATTTACAGGTTAGGTAAGGTTAGGATATCAACACGCACACAAGGGTATACATAAAACCTATTTAGCATAACCATAAGTCTATATGCTTCATATAGATTAATTAGATGATTAATTGATTATTATATTATAGCGTCATTAGCACTTGCAGTGTAATGACAGACTCTGGTGATTACATAGAGGAGGTTGTTGCCGTCAAATTAAAGACCTGAAGCAAATGATATGCCTAAACTAATGCATTGTTTGCTTTAGGGCCTAAAGCAAACTTTGCATGTATTACTTTACATAACCTCAAAGCAAACAATTACAACAATATAAATACAAGTTGTATATGCACTGTAGCACACAGCAGACACGTATCACAGTGACTACCATTTTTACAATGGCATCATCATTTGTTTTACAATCCCCTCTTACGTTGGGTGTGTACCATTGACAACAAAAGGGTGGGGCAAGATGTCAGTTAGACTTGTGTTTGTCTTTATATATCTCTGTTGTTGTTTTCTTTTTGTGCAACACTGTTACAGCGTTATGTTGGTGGCACCAAATCAAAAAGTCAAGCCAGAGTGAGAATAATATCTTTATGATGAAGTTTATGACTTGTTAGTGTATATGTAGAAAGGATGATGTTACAAAGACAATATCTTTGTTCCATTTTATGGTTGTATTTAGTTAGTATGCTAATCATCTCTTTATCGTGCTAGTGGTGGTGTCTGCTCCAAAAATGGCAATGCTGCAATAGTAACAGCTGGGCAGGGCTTGTCAGCTTTGGATTAAATTACCCGGCTGGGGCTGGGCTAGGGGGCCCTGAATTCCATCACACAGCCTCCACTGTTGCAACCTCACATGCATGCCTAGGTCTCATTCTTATTCAGCACCAGTGGTTGAAGTTATACCCATATTCCTCTTGTCAAGATGATAAATGTACCCTCTTCTACAGTGTTAGGGAATATCCATTTTGTATTGTGTACACCTTGTGGGGATGGGTGGATCTGAGGCTTAGGATCAGAGGATGCCCCCTAGCTATTCTACCTGTGGTTGTTGGTTTAGCAGTACCGGCAAGTGGGGGTGGGCCCCAAGCGGGGTTGGCCCTGGGCGCATGAGCACAAGCACGCCGGCTTCCCTCCCGGTGTCATCACTGATTGATTGCCAATGAAAGTGGCCAGCAGAAAGCCGGGGTTCCGGTAAATAATATTCCCTCTCGTGTCGCAGACACATAAGATGGTAAGGTGGGCCCTTGTTGTCTGTGTTATTTTGATGACAGGTTGTTTTACTGTGCCTCCTTGCTGAGGTGGAACAAAGGAGGGATCGTCTGGGGATTGTCAGGCGGCTTGTGCATGATCTGTATATATAGATTTGTATTGGGGTAAATGTCAGTTGTCTGGGAACCGTCTTCATTACAGGGAGAACATAGGGTCATTAGGCTGCCGTGCTGCTTAATTGGTCGTTCAGGATTAATGCAAGCGGCGTGCATGAATTAAGGAAGGTGGTATCCTGCATGGGGCCGAATGGTTTTGAGCCATATTTCATTGTAGGGAACATGGGGGTAATCTAGGGATCATTTTGGTGGGTGCTGTTGCCAGCGTCTAGCACCAGACATTTCCAGCATACCAATGCACATGCCACATGCAGCAAAACGTGGCTGGTCAAGATTTAATTCTCCTGTCTGTGTGTTTCATCACATGGGCCTTCTGTTTCCAAAATGTCAGCTCCAAATGAATCATACTTGACTGTGACATCTTAGAAAGATGCTAAATTAAGCTGTCCTATTATGATGATTTGACAGAAAAAATATGAGATCTGCAAGCCTGGTTTCTGGCATAATCATTTTCCCTAATGAGATGACAACAGTCATTTTTTCAGGTCATGGGTTTTGAGACAGTCAATACTGCTGACGGTTTTGTATATGCAGACTGTAGACAGAAAGATAGACTAGGGGGATGATGTTTGAATTTTTCAGGTCATGAGTTTTGAGACAGTCAATATTGCTGATAATGTTGTATATGCAGACAGATAGATAAACTAGGGGGATGATGTTTGAAGTACGATAACTGTCTGTTTGAACATAGTGACAGTCATTGTTTATTTTCAAACCACAATGATGATACAATGTACTACCTCTGCAGCTTGCTGATATTGTAACGACATTGATACACTGTATACATGTAATTAAAGAAATAATTGTCTGTTACAGGATCAAAGTTCGGTTTAAAGAGTATAGTCTTCTTTTGAATTTGTTGTGATGTTATGAGGAAATTGCTAAAAATGGGATGACCAGTTTGTTATAGGGGCAGAAGTCAATGTGGGAGAACCTTGCGTTCAATTGATTTTCCACTGGTCAGGATTCTGGTTCACTGTATGATGTCTGGCTTCCCAATTACCAGGGCAGACACAACCAACCTGGGAACAAGCGCAGTTGGCATTAGGACAAGTTTTCAATATTGTATCTGTTGAGTAATTGCTTGAACCAAATAGATTTCTCTCATTATGGTGTAATATTGATGATGAATGTTTGACATAGATCAAGGAGATGCTGTTTTTTTGTTGTAGAGTATCTGATGAGGATGTGACATGCATACAAAATCATGTTACTCTTGGTGCCTCACATTTTCATGTACATGTATGTATATGTATATGTATGTCATGTAGATTTAAATGTAAGGTAACCTACTCAGTAGCTGCTGCAACATAATATGATTTTTAAAATTGAGAATATAAGTCGTAAGTTACATATGTAATTTGAAAAAATCCCATACTATATATTAGTTTTTGGTTTTGAAATATCAGTTGTTCATTTGAGATCAACAAAAAACATTTCCAGAAAGTTAGAATGGTGACTTGTCAACAAGTGTTACCGGTATGTCACATCTATATCAAGGACAGTATGGGTGGGGACAATGTATTTTTCATCCTAACCTATTTGTCAGACAGCTCAAAGAAGTGCCCTGAAGGTCATTTTTTAAAAGAATTACTTGCAGTATGACATTGTGGTTTCTGGGACATTATAGCTCAGTCTGAGTCATACTAACTTTTCCAGATAATGGTACGGTAATATTGTATTCAGGTTTCTAGGAAAAGGTCCAAGGCCATGTTTTGTTGGTGGCACTGCTGTTTACATTGGTGTCTTTGTTTGTTTTTGGCTGTCCTCACAACTGGAGCAACATGTTTACTGGCCATGGCCCCATCCAACCAAGGACATGCTATGTAATTTTCTGCCAATTAACTGGTAGAGAGCAAGGACAGAGAGCCATCTTTTTGCTCATGCAAGTTGTAGGCAACAAGACAAGACAAGGTGATCCGAGGCACTGATTGTAAAACATACATGTGTGAAGCACTGTACAGTAGTGTAACTGGATTTTGCCATGTTACCTGACCAAGACTGTAATGCTATGTTTGTCCAGGATGCTGGGATAGAGAGCCTTGTGGAAGAGCTCTGCTGTCGTCTGAAGGAGCTACAAGCACAGAAGGGTACGTTTTCTTTTCATGACACCAACAATTGATTAGCCAACTGTGCCAGCCATGCTATGGGTTAGAATGATTATGACATAGAAAAAAAGATAACATTGTTTTGTTGCAGATGAGCACCTTTATATCACTGGTACTGTATAACATAAAGTTGAAGCGAAGTTGACTTATGATAGCCTTGAAAAATGTCCCAGTAAAGGTACAAGTAGGTTGCTAGACAAGAAGCTACAAGGATTAATAACATTGCCACATTGTCAATGTGATTTACCCCATGGTGTTAACTATGTGCAGAAACAGTTGTGCATGATAAAAACACAAGATTTTAGTTGAAAGAAGTACTGTATAGCAATGTACTAGTATACCCAAAATGCATTCTTTCAGTAAATAAGTAAAATAAGAAAAAAATACCAATATTTCTGCCATTATCTGATCATTACAAACAATCTACCAGTGACTCAGAATCACAAGGTTTGGAGGTTTGCCAAAACATAATGATAAGTTAGGGAGGAGCGGTTTGGCTTATTTTCTAGGATGTATGCCAGGAAAGAGCTCTAATTTGTACAACAAGAAATGGGATCTTGGAGATGCCATTTGTACACATAATCTAGAGAATTCTTACAATTGCATCTGAGGTTTCTTTACGAAGTTTTAGCACAATACACTGTTGAAGCTCAGTGCACTCTTGACATGGCTTCTGCGTGCTAGTTCATTGTCGTGACGTCTGTTTGTAGGTAATACGTTATGTAACAGCAGATTGTTACCGTCGAGGTCACATGTTGTCGTACGTTTAGTAGGACGCATGACGATGCACGATAAGCCATAAATGCCCTGTATGTTTTGTACGTGGGCTGTCCACGCCTACAGCAATGCACTCGTCCTTTACATACGTCGCAAGTCCCAGTACATGACGCTAAATATGGCACTGCTGTCTCATATGGACTTACTGTTGGCAAGGCCCAAGGTGGTGCGCATTTTACTTTCTTAATCATAGTCGGATGTTTTCCTACGAGTCAATGAACCATACATCCTAGAAGCATGTAACAGTTCACAAGCTGGATGTGTTGCTATATGCTGTGTGGGGCAGAATGCCAGCTGTGACGTATGTAGGGCAATGATGTGTATGCTGTTGCTGTTGCATGTGACACCTGCTTGTGCGTGTTGTCTACAAATAGAACGCAGGCAGTGACAGTACCGGTAAATTAAAGTCCAGTAACTGTGCGACCGGCATAGTATAGGAAGGCCAGTCAGCGAGTTTTGTACACTTGTCAGTGTGAAGAGCAGAGGTTGTTTGTTGGTAAGGTTTGATATGTGTAAATAAGACATTTCTGCAGCTTAGTGTACATAAGGAATGAAGATATCTGAGTAGGGCTTGAAATGTTTAAATGTGATTCTTATGAGAATATGCTTGTCTCAGTTTCCCTGTTACTGAAGCTGTGTTGTTTGTTTGTTTGTCCCCAGAAGCCCAGCCTGACGGGGAGAAGGAGAACGTGAGCCCTGCCGTCGAGGAGGGAGAAGACAACTCCACTTCCCCTGAGGATCAGGCTCAGAGGTAAACACTCAACTTGCAGTTCGTCTGTTCAACTTTAACCACACATAAAAGTATCTGGAATAATTTTTCCCAATAAATCCTAGCAGATCCCAAAGACTGGAAGATTGGAAAGCTGGTCATTTTTTTTAATTGTAGGTATTGCTAAACTGTGTGTTAACAGTTGGGTTCTTTTACATACGACATTCATGATTGTTGATATAAGAATGACCAATATCTTCATGACCCTGAGCAATGTAAGCAGCTCTTTACATTCGTAGTACTGACCATCTTTTTTTGTGGAGTGGAGATCTACTTTAACATCAACATCATATCTCCATGTCCGTGTAGGTACTACGAGGCGTTTCCTGCCCTGGGTGACACTGCGGAGCCTGTCACTGTTGCGGCTGCCCCCACCTGGTGTGCCAAGCCTGAGGGCTCTGGTGTAAGCAGTGGGAAAAACAGCAGCAAAGGCAGAAGCAAGTCATCTTCTGCTTCCTCCAGGTCAGTCAAACTGGACATGCTGGGTGGAGTTTGTATTATTTCCCTTTGGTGCACCACCAGTGAACAATTTTGGAAACACAGCTCCAATTTTGGGTGCATGTGCAATCAGTATATCAAACCCTGTATCACATTGTACACCACACTCTGTGGTATTGACTAATCTGTCGCTCTGTTTGTTTCCGCAGCCCTCAACAAAGTGCCACACCCGACAACACCACACCCACCAACAAAGTTTCCCATGGCAACAAGTATGGAGCTGCATCAGGCAGCAGGGTGAGCCGCAAGGGCTCCGGAGTCGGGAAGAGAGACAGCGCCCCGTCGGGGTTGAAGGGCGGAGGTCAAGGGGTGAAAGGGCGAGACAGGAAGACGGGCAAGTTGCCCGGACATTCGTCCCGTCGGTCGAAGAAGAGCAATTCCCCACCTTCAAGTAACCACCGGGGGACCCCACCCTTCGTTCTCCCGAAGATTGGAGGGAAAAGGCGTGCGTTCAGCTCTTCAGCATCAGACCACATGAAGAGCCTTCCTCTGTGGTACACAGAGCCTGTGGGGGAGGAGAAGGTGGCTGTGGCCACCAGGAGAAGTGAGGGGGACCTATCCCTTCATAGACAAGGCCAGTGCCACGGCTGAGATGAGCTACTGGTACGACAGCCCCATGTTTGAGGATTTCTTCGAGGGGATGGAGGCCGGGAGTCGGCTGGGAATGGACTACACATACGGGGACAGTGCAGTGCTGGCCAGTGGAGACAACATGAAGTCTCCAACTGTAGATAGTCGGACAAACTGGAGCCAAGAAAGTGCCACTGGTAGAGAAGAGAAGCTCCTGTATGATCAGCTATGCTGCGTAGACTGTATGCAGAACAGGCAAGCTTTTGAAGGGGAAAAAGGCTGTGAAGTAGAAGGGGACCAAATGTTTCGGAGACGGTCGGGGACAATTGTTGAAAAGTGTGACAGAGAACATTCACAAAGTGCCAAAGAACAGAGAACTGATCATGGAAATTCTATAGAACATTGCCAGAATGCTGCTATCAGAACTACATCACATCCAGACATTAGTGTATCATTAGAGGACTGCCATAGATCTATGCAACACACAGAGTCTCATGCAGAAAAACAGTCTAAAAACTCTCCAAATAGAACAGAAGATGACAACCTGTCAGAGTCTTCAGGCTCATTGGAAGATATAACAGAAGCAGAGTTTGAAGACAGGTACGGCTCAAAAATCGCGCCCATCTGGGGCAGAGAGACACCTGGGTCAGAGAGTGGCAGTATTATAGACACGAGCCACCTCGGTGACAGAAGCTTGTTCTCTCCCGTGTCAGACAGAGGAGATTCCTCGGACGCTAAACTTCACATCTGGAGAAACAGACCCAGATTAGGGTTCCTGAGTGAACGGGCGTCCCCAGTAGCAAAAGACTCGAGCTCCTACAAGGACGGGAATGCTACGTTCCCTCGTGACGTCTTCACCTACGAAGACGCAAAGGAGTCAGAACGCCCCCTGTTGGAGAACACAAACCCTGCAGATAGTGATGTGTTTGTTGTTGCCAGCTGTGCAGATTGCCAGCAGAAGCAGGGTGGGCTTGAGGACGACAGCCCAGAGTTTGGGGCAGTAGGTAATGAGAGGCAGTTCTGCTTTGATGAGGAGACAACTGAGAAGATGAACAGTACATTCCCGGTAGGACGATGGTTGCACAGGAAGCGTGTGCGTCGGCGCTCCAGCGACAGTTACCTGTACACAGGGCGCGAGTCTCCCCAAGTCCGAAAACTGTCCACAAATATCCCGATGATCGGGGACAACCCCCAGCAGGCAGAGCAACACTTCAGCCCGTGGCTGGAGAGTTCCAGGATCGAGAAATGCGAAGACGACTTCAGTGGCTATTTCTCAGACTCAGGGTATCCTTGCCCCAACGACCTGAGTTTCCTGCAAGTTGGCAGCCATTTCATCACAGGTGGGCTGTACGGACAGATCAACATGGCGGGACAGAGGGAGGTGTGGGAAACACCAGACACGGGATCCTTCACTCCCACGTCTGCTCCGTCCCCGATTTTCTCGGATGCCTCGAGTCACAGTAGGTCAAGGTTCAGTTTCGCTCAAGGTAGCGACGTGAGCAAGGATGACTCTACTGATCTGCACTCCGTGCACAGTGACAGCGAACAGTTTGCAGATAGTGTGGTTCTCTCCAGTATCTGCACAGAGTTCTACAAGCAGAATGTCGGGGAGGAAGATCCCTACAAGTATGCAGAGTACGGCCCACAGAACATCACTGAGTCCTGTCCAGCCTTCCCTGTGGAAACTGTGCAAGATGAAGCCGCAGCTGCCCCCCAGTCAGGTGCTCCTGTCAGTAAACTGGAGTACCACAAGGGGGAAAGCTGTTTCACAGAGGTGAAACCCAAGGCGAAGCCAGAGGCAGAAGCTGTGCCAAAACAGTCCAAGTTGACTCACCCTAAGCCGAACTCATACGGCTCGTTTGAGGACGAAGAAGACTTGTTTGTGTCATCGCGTACACACTTCAAACCCATAACCTCCCGGGAAACCTCCCCGGACGAGTGCTACCACTCGGACGGGACAGAAATCCTGGAAGAAGAGGAGGACTTAGAAGAGGCTGTACCTGTGGACAGCATCTTCAGTACTCCACCGGAGACTGTAGAGGAGATTGTCATGGTTCAAAGCGTGGAGGAGCCCTTACTGGCGACTGTTGAAGAACCTCTGGTCGGAGACATCTGCGAGGACCTGCTGCCACAGCTGAGGAAACTGTCCTTTGAGAAATCGTCCCAGACCAGCGTTAACGACATGGGAGGTGTGGAGGATGGCTCGGACTTCTCCCCCATTCTGGACGTGCTGGTGCTCGGCCAGGGGGAGAGGACGTCCCCCGACGGGAGGGAGTCGTTTGACGAGGATAAGGATGTCGGCACGGAGAAGGACCAGCTGCCACCGCCTCCGCCTAACCTGTGGGAGGTAAGAGACATGTCGCAGTCTACAGTAACTAAGTCTTCGTTGCATTGTAAACAGTAGTCTTTAGATATTACAATACATGTAGTTCAACTTCCATATATGTAGAAGTTGCTATACGTTGTACCTTCTACAATTGCAGTGCAAGTTAAGTATTTGTAAAAGGCAACCTTGTTATTTGTAATATTATTGTAGGTACAATTAAGTTTGTGGATATACCTGTGCTTTTATTTACTACACAAAAGTGTTGTGAATGCATTCAAGCCTGCACCATTAGAAGCCTGCAAACTGTTTTGACAACAATCTCACATTATATACAGAACTGAAATTTCTCCTTTTCCCGCAGAATATTCCCCTGAACACTGAGGATACACCCCAGTCTAGCCAGGGGATGCTGTCTGTAGAGATCTCTGGTACATGGATGGCTGCAGCCAAGCCTTGGAGCACAGAGGTCGATGACCCACAGGAGCTGGGATCTCTCGATCGTAAGTACAGCGCCTTTCAAGGTCCACAGTTGCCATGTGTTAGACATGTACATGCACAGTGAAACAGTATGATAAACAACAGCAGATAATCATTGTGACTGGCTTTTCATGAATTACTGTAGAAAAGAAGTCTCTTGCATTGTTCTGACATTCTAGGACCCAATCCCTTGATTTCTTGTCACCAGTTCTGTGATTCAGAAATCATGTTAAACTGATAGTGTTCCAGTAGTGTACAAAAAATGTATGTAGTGAGTTGAGTTAATGTGTGTTAAAGACATGAAGTGTCAAAACAGTTTTGCTCATTGTCGTCTCTGTTTCTTCCCCAGCTTTTGGAGAAGCCATAGGAGGGCTGCTGCTGGACGTGGCCTCACCCCACTCAACCTTTTCTTTTCCTGACATCGACGTAAGAAATGTTTCACCTTGGTTACAGAAGTGTGATGAAAAACAATTGTAAACCTGTGTCAGCATTACAGAAGTTTGACTTGATTGTAAAGTTAAGTACAAAATTTATGATATTCTACGTGTACATGTTTTGTCTGAATCACAGTGGTTCTAACTCTAGTATGACTCAAGTAAACTGACAGGCATCCGTATCTAGTCACAAAACATAGCCCTTTTTGTGCTGCATACTAATCTAATGATTCAAGTATTGCCTGTGCTTTGTGTGGTATGATGCATTTCTGATATTCTATTTTCCCACCCCAGGCCTCAGATCCCGAGGATGTCCTCCCCCTGCCATTGCCTGTAGGCGAGGAGCGAAGCACCCGTCTGTATGAGAGAGGTTGCTGCCAACAGGGAACCATCTGATGGAAGCTGCCACCCTATTGGTCCAATTGCCACTGAACTGTGGCAATACTGACCAATCAGGTAGTGGAGTACAGAACACACATGGATGCTGGGCAAGATTGTGAATGATGTTGATATGTGTGCAGCAACTCCATTGGTGCGTTACGTTGCAAATAGCCAATCACATCATGATTTGTCAATGGCTAGGCCAAAAGGAGACAAGCTAACTGGGGAGCTGAGGCATTTTTCTGGTAGTATTTTGCACTAAGCTTTAGATCCTGTGTAAGTTGTAGGATGTACATTTGGTAAGCAAAGACATAGTAGGTATGGTAAGACTTAAATATGTATGTATTACTCACTAGATTTGTGCTCTCTCACATATGTTTGCAAGTAAGTAGCACACAAAGTTGTACCAAAACTGTAAAATGTCTGCAAGGGGAGACACCAGTGCCTTCTAAATTCTAAACAGACAACAGTTGAGACTGCATTTGACTGGAAACTTTCACAGAGATATGAATATGAGGTTTTCAAAGGTATAGATAAATAAATGCCTGAAACAAAGTATTATTGAGTATTCCCTCAGCTCAGTATTCACTTCCTTTGCAGACATTTTGCCCAAAAAGTGACGAGCTAATTTCTAAGGTCACTCATTGGAAGTAAGATTCACCGCTCATCATGTCAGATGGGACAGAAGATGTACATGTATTATTATAAAAAGCAAAAGAGAATTAAAAATATTGACAGTGATACCGTTAGAAAGTTGTGAGAACTGTAACACACGTAGCACAGGGGATAAGTCCCTTAGATATATTTACCTGTTGAAGCAGTAGCAAAATAGCAGCTGTTAGGTTACTATTAGTAGAGCTGCCAAAAAAAGAAATCAGGGTGAAGGTGTGTTGGTTTTCATGTGTTAGTGTTCCATTGCAGTACATGTGATAGTATCTACACATGTATGTTGTATCAGAATAGATGTAGAAGCATTCATTCCCCGGTCGGTGAACTGAGGATGAAATGTTTCCATGTGTATATATGGGTACAACGTGGACAAACACATCATAGTCTCTAGCTTCAAGATGATATTGTTCAAGCTCCCGTACATTTGTTTCGAAGGGTATGCTTGGTGAGAATGAACGAGCTGGTTCATTTATGAGAATATTTATTGACAGATACAGAAAATAAACAACAATTGAGGTACAAATGTATACATGTACCTTGCCCTGATTTGTGGCCCCAAAAATGTTACCATGTAATACAAGATTCATTGTTTTGTGTATGCATGTTACCAGTTGGTAAATCTTGTAAAAAAAAAAACATGGTTAAAGGGATAGAATTACCAACTTCTTCAAGTTGACAGTCTTATCTTCCCGTATACTATGGAATTTCCGAATGGAAAGCATAAAATGGTAACAAAAATTGTACCTATCAGTGTAACATCTGCCCTGTTGGGCCAGGTGTTTAATGAAGCTAGGTTTCCACATGTGTGGAACTTGCCAAGCTGACAAAAAATGTCACAAAAATGTCACTAAAACAGTACAGCTAACAGCTCCATGGGTTGGTGAAAGTGTGAATCATGTTGTGCTTCACTGAAGTGTTTTTATGTGGCTGTGACAACTTGTTCTATTGTCAATGTGCAATATGTGTTGATATGATTCCTATATGCTATTTATTACTATTATTTATTCGAAATCACAGATCCACCAATACTGTTGAAATTCACAGAAGGCAATTTAGTACAGTAGCTTTGTGACCTTATTGCAAAATAGTCTTGCAACCAACATCAATTAGAAAGTGTGCATCCTTATAGTTTGTATTGTTAAGAGCACATTTGCATGAAAGTGAGACAACTGTAGTTTGTAAGGGTATACATACATGTGGTTGCCTATGTGAGTTTGGCAGTGTTATCTATGTAAGATATCTCCACACTATAATTGTTGATTTGTCTCCTAAGAATTGTTACCTTTGACTTGTCACTGAAAGTGAGGATGAAAACCTCACAGTAGCATAAGAATACACTTTTGTAACTTCCTTGCTTGTGTGACACATGTAATTTGTGGCCATTGTTGTGTGTCGGTGGATGCAAAAGTATCTCTTGCTGCACATTTGGCCCCACATCAACTAGTGAAGCTTCATGTATGTACAGGACATGTTGCTGTATATGTGAAGATGACATGTTAGCACATAAATCATATTACAATTCTGTGCTATTGACAGGAAGACTCCATATTGTTGTGAGATGCTGATGTCAGTAACAAATGTGCAGAGGGACTTCAGGCCAAACAGTGTGTTTTACTCCTGTTTGGTGTATGTAGATGTTCCTAATATACAGCTGTTCTTTCTAGACCGAACAGAAATAGGAACATTTATGATAGGACATTAGCTCACTGGAAAACCCCCGTTTGTGTGGGATTCATCCAGTGTCTCCGTTTATGTATAAGTCAAATATGATGTTCACTAATGATTTCTGCACATGTAGAACCTAGGCACTAGCAGTCAGGTAGACATGTAGACATGTCTAACATACCTGGCAGAGACATTTTGTGGATGCTTCCTCCTGACTTGTTCAGAAGTGAGAGACGTGTGTATTCATGTGATCTTGCTCCTGGAAGTAGTAGAGACATATATCGTAGGCTATGGAGGGCCACCCCTCCACACTGCCATGGTTTGTGTCACATTACTGGTCAATAAAGCTGCCAGAAGACATTGTTGTTATGACTTGAGCTTTCTTGTTTAGATTGACTAGACCTGTAAAGCTTTGAGGTTAGGTTAGAGACAAATGACCACTAGGGAGTGGATTGTGTCATACTACCCTGTAGTAACTATTGGGAGAAGTGCAGACTGATTAGCCTGTAGTGGCAATGTCTGTTGGTGACTGATCTGTCAGGTTTTATCTAGTCCGTGTAATGTTTGATGGCATGCAAAATTATCTACAGTCACTAGGTGGCGCCTTTGGCTAGCTTTACAGGAATCACTAGCCAGGTTGTTTCTTTGCACTGCTGACTTGTTCCTCTAGGTAGCACTACTTCACTGCTTGAACTGTTTATCAAAGAGAAAACTTGCTCAATTGCCTGAAGTTTTTGGTGAAGAACAACATGGGTAGTTGACATTGAAGACGTGTACCTTTGTTACAAAAAAATTACAATTTTTTAAAATTTGAGAATACTCTAAAAACTGAAAAAGAAACACCACAACCGCACAGTTGTAACTGTTCAACTTTTATAATTTAGTATACTCTACAAAGTGTCTTTTTTGGTTACAAAATGTACAGGTTATACCTAGTCACATTCATACTTACGAAAATGTACATACCATACTTTATACATATATATCATTATACACAAGAAATGTACATTTCCAAGTATGACGTAAATTAAAAATATCTTGGCTGACATAAAAGTATTGCTCTACATAATGAAGAATGTACAGCAATTCAAAACTACAGCGCTTTATCAAGCTAAGAAATCTTTCTTCTGCCAAACTGTAGACAAACATTAAAACACTAATCAATAAAAGACTACAAGATAACTGGTAGGCAATCAAACATATGTTAAAACCAGTAGTTGTTAAAACATTGTCTAGGAGTACTCCTACACAGATACGGATGGGCAAGACCTGAAAAATCACTGTTCAGGAAATAACTCCAATATTGCTTTTCTTCCTGTGCAAATGCCTGTTATGTGTAACATGATGATATAAAAATCACACTGAAACAACATCCCAGTAAAATGCTAGTAGTAATGGCAATGGCATAAGATACTGGTATACATGTACCAACATTTACCCAGCAAGAGCCAGCATATGCCAGAAAAAAACTTCCCAAGTCTTAGAACACTACTTGAATTTGTACATGTACAGTTTGTACAATTATAGCTACATTTGGGCAGCATTGAAACATCACTAGTAATACATTTGTACAATGACAACAATACTACATGAACCACAGAGCTGCATCTTGCACAGTATTTCCAGTATTCTAACTGTATTATTTCTATTCTAGCTTACATGTAGTACACAGTTTTCATAAGTTTTTCCTGAACACAGTGGCAGATCTAGTACTGCTATACCTTGTAGATATGGACAATTCTTGTATCTAATTCAGAACAAGGCACTACATTTTTGACTAACTTTTTGGAAGGGAATTTTTACACATCGTCAAGGATCAACAGAAATGCTGACAATTCTGTACACAGCTCACTTTGAACATACCTAGTGAATTGTTTTTAACTCAGCCCAGTAAATGTGTTCCAAGGAATACAATGTTGCAAATAGACATGTTAAAGCTGGCAATGCAAATACATGTAAATGTGAAAAGTACTGTCATGTACATGTCATTATCATCCTATAGATAGGATGTTTGAAAGCAATGCATGCTACAATAATAATTATTATAGGTTGTAGAAGTAAACTTTTTAACACCAAAAATGAACAAAGAATGTTGCAATTGTCTATTGGTTGCATTTTGATTGAAATTACTTTGTGCCATCACTTTGCACAATGCACTATTAAAAAGGTATCTGTGAATCTCCCTGTCAAGTGTTCATAAAATCTCACCTGGTACTACACTGATTTAAAACAAAAGAAAACTAAAATTCAAATCTAGAATTCTTGGATGAACAATGTACCAACAGGCCGATGGACCGGTTTACAACATGGCTTACTGGCAAGACTCAGACCATGGCACTTTTCATGGTTAAATATTTCCATAAAAGGTAGCACACTAATATTATCCATGTTTCACGTAGGCACCTTTAGCTATAGCTATAATCTGTTGGGGCAAGTCTCGATGCATGCTCACTACTAACTCACAGTAATAAACTAGATATTTCTCCAGCAGGAATCATACGAATGTCACACGTAATTTGTCCCCGTCCTGTGTTGTGGAGACCACAGTTCTTCTTGCTGTTTTGTCAGACACACAGATACCGGCTCGAGTTCTACTTTGCAGTGCACTGACGCTGCCATCGATGCTGTTATTGCTGGTATTGTGTAAATTAGCATTCTGCCTGGGTGTTGGAGTGGTGAGGAGCTCGTGGGTTGTTGGGGAGGGCAACATGGGGGAGGGGGGCAAGGATTCCGATCCAGCACTACAGTTGTGTGGCTCTATATCGGTGGAGTCTGAATTTGGCGAGTAAGCAACCCCCGGTTTTGGCACTGAGTTAGCATTGGTGTAACTGGGAGGTACTCCGTCTACGGACGGTCTGTCCTGCAGAGCTTCATCCTCCACTAACGTTCTATCTAGATCTGTGGTTCCGTACGCTCGCGCCAGCCCATGCCGCCCGTCTCCTGACAGGTCCAGTGTGTTTTCCACGACGGTGGTGTTGAGAATGGAGTCCTCGCTGTGAGACTTGGTCAGCTGCGTGTAGGCAGCGTGCGCAGCGCGAACGTTGACGGGGCTGGAGTCCGGGCGGAATGTGCTGAAGGACAGGTTGGGGGTGGCAGATTTGGGGCGAGGTTTCCTCTGTTTCTCTGGAGAAATGGTGATGTAGGCCGAGTCGTTGAACATGGACATGTTTCCTGACTCATCCATGTACGAATGGTTTGGCAAGAAGGAGTCGTCAGCGTTGTGCCCCTTGAAGTAGTGGTCGGCCTGTACTTGTGACGGATAAACACCAGAGAAGCTCTGGTTGGTGCTGTTCAGACCTTCCCTCAGGAACTCAGGCACCTCGTACATGTCCTTAAACATGGAGGACTTACGGTGGGAGTCGGCGGAGGAAGGGTTGCTTTTGTTGGTCCCAATGCTGGTGGAGTCTTGGCCACTTTTCTTTGGCTTGAGGAAATCCGGAAGTTCCAAGTTGGAAAGAGAGGCCCCCCGCTGGTCTTCCATCCTACTGCGGCTGGCACGAGATAGCATCATAAACAGGTCTGGAAAACAGGCAAATAAACACACAGTTAGGTAAGGGGAAGACTTAGAAACTGCAACACAGATTGTGTTAATGAGCACAACACTGTATATCATCTTTCACATATTAGTTGCATATGAAGCACAATCTGAATGGAAAGTCTCTTACATAATGGTGACAGATGCTGATATTCTTGTATATCCAATGGCATGTATATGTGTTTTCTTGGAAAGGCTGAATTTAAGGTTAAAAGAGTATGTATGATCTATGTCCTCAACACATCATCAGGCCTACTCATGTAGGAGTCTAGATCACAAAAGCCTCAATGGCAAAAACATACTAATTACTACGTACATGATGTAATACTATTTAGGTAGCAGGGAACTGGGGAGGACTGTTTTAAAAAAGATGATGACAGAAAAGAAAGAAGAAAATTGTATTCTACAAGCTTAGGATCTAATGTTAAGCAAATACTAAGACTTACATTGTACTAAGGTAATCATACCTACATGAGATAGTAGAGAGAAAAGAGAGAGGGTGTGCAGTCATATTTCCATTCCTAGGGATGGATGCAGGAAATGAGGGAAAGAGACAGTGCATGAGTGCAGTTTACAAATGACGCTCTGAAGTCAAATAACAATCGATAACAAATCATGAAACTTTCCTGGTGGTTTTATTTTCATGGTGACTTCTCCCCTGTGAATTCGTGACAATACAAATTTGCCTTCCTTGTATGACTAATATAGAATTGTTTCAACGGTGAATTCAAAACACAGTGAAAGACTTCCTTTTCCACCTACCATAAAATAAAATCACCATGAAAGTTTCATGATTTACGGTATTCATTCCATTTTGCTGCAGTTTTACACAAGTGACTGCAACTACCAAGCTTTGTAAGGCCTAACATTCCTGCAGCATACATGTACAATGTCTTATACATGTATAAGGACTATGACATGTGTCCAGGTAATCTGCAATATAAATCACTCTTTGACAAAATATGTCAGGTTAAGGTGTTAACAAATTAGTTTGGTGCACTTACTACCATTCAGCAGTGTTGTTATCCACATATCACCTGGTGTAAGTTGGTACAACGTCAACATTAGTGATTATTGTTACTACACACACGTGTCCTGGAACCCTTTTAGTACTCACCGTACACGAACACGTGTTAGTTAAATCTAAGGAAATGCACAAACCTCCTTTACCTTCCGTGTCCGACCCTTGCACTGGCCGTGTCTTCCTGGGAAGTCTGTCCGAGCTCTGACCATTGGAAGTGGAATTTCCCCCGTCTTTACTTTTCCTGGTGATTTCCTCGGTACCCGTTGTGTTTCTTCTGACTAAGCTGTACGAACCTGGGAAGGGTATCATTTGTAACATTATTAATATCACCACTGGAAAACAAGGGAGCAAATACCACAGAAAATCCAACTGTTGTTTCCTGACACTGGTGGCTGTGACTGCTGAGTGACCAGATTTCATAGATTTGCTTGACAAATTTCATTGATTTTTTAAAAGAACAAATCTTTTTTATGCTTCATGTGTTTCATTATCTTTTACATCATACTTTTGATTTGATTCATTGAAATTGTAACAATGAAATACATGTTGGACACTGTTGCTGGTGTTGTGTCCACGCATACATGTGGAAACAAATACAGGACAGGACAATACTAATTTTCACTTGAGTTAAGTGAGGAAAGTCGTGTAAAGTGCCTTTCCCAAGGGCACAAGATCGGTGGCATGTCAGGACTCGAACCTGGGATCTCTTGGTTCCGAGTCGAGCACCCTGCTGTTATGCCACACGACCCCACTTTTACACATACCCATAGTATCATATTCAAGATTTGAAATCGAAATCAAGGGGCACACAAATCCAATGCTGGTTGCACCGTGATCGCCGTCTAGTGGAAAGGGGGCTTACTGGATGTCCTGTCTGGCTCCAGATGTCTGGTGTCTGCCTGCAGTGGGAGTTTCCCTGGTACAGAGTACTTTGTCCCTGCAACATGACTGGTGGGCTCCACAATCACCTTCTGGTTCTCCAGCGTAGCAGCGGGGATGCCAAGGTCAAGGGGAAGGGCATTTCCATCCTAGAGGAAAGATGAATAATGGAACCTATGAATATATACAGTCTTTTCCTCACTCTACCATCAAGATAAGGAAGCTACAGTATACTGTATACAAAACTTATGTCCGCTCATGAATTTTCTTGTGCATTACTCAGAAGGTTAGTGGAGTCACAGTGCCCCATAGGGAAATGTATCATAAATGCAAAGGAGCATTGATTCAACCACCCTTTACCTCCTACTTGTCATACATTCATGTATATATGGTTAGAAGAAATGCTTAGGTCACATTTTACAACCAGGGCACCATCAGGATGTTTGCGTGAACAAAATACAAACAATTCACATCAATCAATATAGTAGTACACAGATAGTACTCATGATTTATCACTTTTTTTGTGTTTGCTGTCTTTTGGATCATACTTTTCATTCCTGGAAACTGTCTGGCTGGGCTGGGAATTGTGTCTTTAGCATAAGTCATAAACAATCACAAAGTCCTCAATGCTTAACCCTTTATCCATCAGTGTGGTGTTTTTCAGATTTTGTAGGAACAATTGAATGAAGATGTTGGACTATTTCCTACCAGTCTGATGATGGCCTCCTCCAGCCTGAGGCTGTACTTGTTGAGGACCGTCCTCATCACCTCAGCCACAGGTTTGGTTGGTTTTACCTTCACACGGAGAGAGAACTTGCCAAGGGAGGGCAGGTCCAACCTAAAGCAATGAGAACAGTAGATTAGGATGCACCAATGAAGGGTAGAAATCCAGGTAATGAGATATACAAGGAAATTGTTACTGAAGTAACTGAATAGATTTTGAAAACTGCTTTTCATCGGTGACTCACATTAGGACTAGTGGTAGTGTACAAATGTAGCACATTAGGACTGGTAATGTCACTCCAGGCTTTTAAATACAACAGTTACATAGCCATTTAAGGCTCTATGATTGAAGTGATTTGGGTGCCTGTAAGGCATACTGCAGTATGATTGTATGGCCTTGGAAAATTTCAAGGGTGCACAGAAATCAATTCTCTAAAATGCATGTCACTTATGACTGCATAATTGTTTGGTACATGTGACTGTTCAAGGCTAGTGCGTAAATGTCATGTGCATATATACATATACATGGCATATACATGTACATGTAGTTGGTTAGAAAACAGAATCAGAATCTGATGCAATAATCGATAGACCAGAAAGAGTTACAAGCATAGACAAATGTTTTGCAACCATTTCATTCTATAACTTACATGTACATGTATGCAACTAGTTAATGCAAATCAGTCTCCATCTACATGTACATCCCTCCCTGTGATTTAACAATTTGTTGTTTTCTGCTTGAAAGTAAATTGTGAGTCTAATCAACCCACAACTAATGATAAACTAACTATCTTGTCCTGGTCTGACCCTCACACTTACTTGAACAGCACCCTTTGTTCCACCCTGATCTCCTTAGATCCCAAGACAGACACGTCCTGTTCCAGATCAACCGGTTTGTCGTCTGCCAAGTGGTAAACCTCCACTGCTGCCATGGGCAGCTGACGCCGCTCACACAGCCTACAGGAGCAAAGATTTATGTTCAATCATGGTCTAATGTATATATGTTATGTTAGGCCACAACAATTTCATGTCTTGCCCTCGTCTTTCTTGATTTCACAATTTATCGACTAGGATGTCTAGGTCTGTTTTATGCCCACTTGCTTCATTGATTTCCTACAAAAATCCAAGAACCAAACAATCAAATTGGTATGGCCTTAATTCTACTGTCAACTTGTGTTCATATTCTACCAATCAACATGTCAGTGGCAAGAATCAAGTCAGTATTCTTCAAATAAGAGGACAGCAGGGTAAACTAGAAATACAGGCAACATTTTTATGCATCTGTAAAGCCTAACTGAAATCTATGAAAAGGATCCACTCTATTGCATGTAAAAGAAGTGCATAATTAACAAAGAAAAGGTCAGACGGAGTAGAAAAAGCTCCAGGCACTTAAATCATGGTAACCATTATTCTTGTAAGGGCCCATTAAGATAGTTCCTTGCTGCGAAAATTATAGCGATGACATTTTGGAAGACACTTACGGCTATCCTCTCTCAGAATCCTACCAGCTGAACAAAGCTGTGACTTACGTTTTGTGAATACCAGGATCTTCGTTTTGAACATGACTACTATGCTGCAGCTTTTGTTTGAGGTTATTTTATGCGCACATATCTGTAAAGCAACTAAAATTCATGTACATTTACATGTAGATTGGGATATTCAGTCATAAGTTCTTGGATGGCCATACATGTACTTGTTCAAAGAAGGTAGCCTTTCATAGATCCCCATCAGTTGAATGGGAACTCTTGCAACCCTGAACACTTCACTCTAATTTATAGTCTGAGAGGTCAAGGAAGAAAAGAAATGGCACAAAGTCTGAACATATATCAGGGATTCTGAAAGGGAAACTTATGGCCCCTGCTTTCTTCTTGATGTCCCACAAGCAATAAAAATAATTTTGGCCAGCGTTCAGACAACCCTACGACCTTTATGTTCTTATCAGAGACATCCTAAGTGTCGTTACAAAAACCTTGAGCAATGTTAGCTTGTTCTTCCCACTTATCTTCAAGACATAGATGTACAGTGTGGCTGTGTCTGCAGGAGACAAGAGACCTACATCTTAGTCCATATCACTGCACTGAGGCATGCTGGAAGAATACACTGAGGAATGATTGAAGAATACATGTACTTCTACATTGTATATCCCCAGGGTAGAGTTTGTTAAAAACCATTTAACTCCACAGAAATGATGCCTTTGCTACATACTTGCTGAGGGCACTCCGTATTGTCTGTCCTGGCTTGGCGTAGATGACGGTGGAGGATCCATCAGGCAACAGGACTCGGCAGAACTTGTAAGACTGCCGGGGATCCGCTACTGCACTCTCGTTCAACTGGGAAGTCTCCAAGGACTGGAGAACAGGAACAAACAGTTGGGAAGCATTGTAAGATTCAAGTATCATCAGCAGCGGAAAATCTGTTCCTGTTTGACCATATTTCTTACTAAAAAAGGAGTTGCCATGATACTTAACCTGTAATGAGTGTATAATTCAAAGCAGATTGAACATGTTGTAAAGTTCAAGCTTGTTCCAACACAAGAAGGGAACTTCATCAGATGTGGGATGAACTTGCTGACTCTCTGGAAGTCGAAAGCACGATGACGTCAGAAGTGCATCAAATCTGGCAGGAAGATGGAATCTACCACCATCACGGTTCAGAGAGGGTTGATGGGCCATTGCCTCCTTCATACCTCTCACCCCCCACAAAGTAGTCCTCCTCTGTGACCAGTATATTTTTGGAGCACAGGCGCCCCAGTTCCACTATGTCTGAAGTTTCACAACACATAAATATTGAGTCTCTGGGCCACACTGTTACACTGGATAAGGTACGTATACTGGACACAGAGAAGAACTACTTTGTGAGGGGTGTGAAGGAGGCAAAGTACATCAGGGCCCATCAACCCTCTCTGAACTGCAACGGTGGTGGATTCCATCTTCCTGCCACTTTTGATGCACCCTTGACGTCATCACGCTTCTGACTTCCGGAGAGTCTGACAAAGGTTGACGAGATCTACCAAAAATTTATGGTGGGTTCCCTTCTTGTGTTGGAAACAAAGCTTGAACTTTACAACTATGGATGTACATGTATTTATGGCATAAACCAATGAAATGTGTTTATAACCTGGTTACCAAACCTATTATAGCTCCCGAGTCCTACATCCTCTCCGCAAATTAGCGGAGAGGATGTAGGACTCAGGAGCTATAATAGGTTTGGTAACCAGGCTAATGTGTTTATGGCATAAACTAGCTAATATGATGTATTCATTAGTGCACATGGAGGACTGTTACAGTATTAAAAGCTGACTTGGGTGTGATACTGTTATTACAGTGATGGAAATCACCTCAGCAGACATGGCCTTCTGGTGCAGGACATCTAAGTCTGTACTTGCGAGGGAGCTGCGACGGCTGCTACTGTTGTCACTCAGGTGTCCGTCTAGGACCTGTACAGAACCTGGGGACAGTTCCACACATTAGCTCATACTTTGGTTAACAAAACACACTTACAATAGCCTGCTAATAATACATTGTAGAATACAACTGCTAATAATACATTGTAGAATACAACTGCTAATAATAGTACATTGTAGAATACAACTGCTAATAATACATTGTAGAATACTAGAAAGGCCAATATTTGCTTTGGAGCAAATACAGCGATGGGTTCACCACATTTTACGACATGGCAGGGAAAGAATGAGAAACACAAGGGAAAACAATGATTTACATTGATATAACTATAATATGAAGTAACATACAACTAAAACAACAGTTGGATAGCTATTCCCTACTTTATTGGTTAAGATTTTTAATTGCATAATGCAAACTGTTGATTTTCAAAATTCCAATGCTGGAGCAGGAAAGCTTGAAATACCTACCAAAACACTTGAATACAGACATACTGTTAGTATGGAAATGCTCTGTGCAGGTGTTAATCAAGTTAAATCCCAACAGCCAATCAGCAAGAAATGCTCTGTGCAGGTGGAAATGCTCTGTGCAGGTGTTAATCAAGTTAAATCCCAACAGCCAATCAGCAAGAAGTATAGAGGAAAGCTGCATGCCTATTGGTTGATGCCCTGCATTCCATTGTGATGACTCATGGTAAACACGGCACACTAACACAGTAATACATTTGATATAACACAGCCAAAAAACTCAAATAAAACCATTCTAAAAGCCTGTATCACAAAAATTTAAAAAACGCCTAGGGGTATTTGCCCACTGTACCTCCATACCAAATTTCAGGACCTTAGGCCCTAAAATGAAGAAGCTGAATCCATTTAAAAAATGGCAGGAGAAGAAGGAGGAGGAGAAGAAACATCAGAAAAAGCAATATGGGTTCACCACCACTTCGTGGTGTGGTGAACCCATAACAAGGAAAAACAGGACATGCATTTCAAGAATAGCTAGCAAACATTTTCCTGTTAAAAAGCCATTAGCTTCCAAGAAAGCCAAATCATGCCTCTTTCAGTTTCACTAGCTTCTTCACTACACTATTGTACAATAATGGCTATGTACAATGTAACATTACATGTATTATGTGAAATCCATTAAAACCCTACAGTGATTGTATGTCTTATGGCACTTTTTGCTCAATGTCAGGGGCATTTATGCCATTAACTAATGGAGAAGATTGGTCGGCCAGACTTAGGCTAAAATTAGTTGGTTGAGATTACCCGCCAATCACATCCCCTGTGGACTGGCTCTGGGACGTTTAACTGTCAATCATACCGTATATGGTAACAGAGCAGAAAGAAGTGTTCCATTATGGTCCATCAGAACTGGCATACGGTTCACTTAGCTCCAAGTCATCTTTTATTGCCGCATTATTAAAATGATTTATTCCAGTCTA